ATCTATTATTATGTTTGAAAGATAAACAGCGGAGTTTTAACCAAGATAAAATGAGATATCGAACATGTTACTCTTTGTATAAACCGTTAAGCCTTAAATAGCTGGATTGCAAAAGAGTTTATAATGCACAAGTTTCATTTTGTTTGGTTGTATGGATGACTTTACTAGGGCGATGTGACTGTAATTTACGAGGTGTTCAAAAATTGAGCTGCTTGTAAACTCTAATTTTCAAAGTGTTATGATGTTTTTAGTCTGACCAGTCTCTATTTTAACTGTACAAATTACTTCATAGTTTACATTAAGAATTGACCTTTGTTAGGCCCCATGAGGCATACCTACGATCTTAACGGAACTGATCCTCAGTACTTAACTTGAACGCGTTTAACTCAAAGTCACATTTTTAAAAGTTAGCACTAAAGTTGTGTAGGCTTTAAATGATCTGTAGTAGGACTGAGATTTCTTGTTACCCTGACCAATAATTAATCAATAAATAAAATGTGGAGATAAGAGGTAAATAAAGCGATGTATGATTACTGACTCATTATTAACATTTTCATACCACCTCAAACGTATTTAGGTATACACTAAAGAGCGGGATTCTCGTCAAGGAATACAATGTATAAGTACAACCCTTAAAAGTCTATTACTTATCATCAGAATCCCCTTTATATATTCTTCTTTATTTTACCAATAATTATTTTATAAACAGGAAAACAACAATCTAAACGAATTTTTATTTCGAGAAGTAAACAACGAAAGTAGTAAGAACATCTGTGATTACATGCATTGAATGAAACGAGAGGAAATAATTCTTGAAAATAATAACAATAGAAGAAACAAAAAAGACAAGGAGTTTTTTTTCAATCAAAATTCTTGTTTAACATTCAGTGAATAAAGAAATGAATAAATGCTAAAGTTACAATGGAACATAGTTGTTTCCTGAGTATTTCCCCTTTTTTATATTTATTAGTAATATTTGAACGGATAATAACTTGTCTATTTATGCATGTATCCCTTAAAAGTATTCTGAACTTGTCTTAGAGATTTAAACTTTTGTAGAGAGATTTATTTAATTTTTATAAGGTGATCTCTTTGAAATAACATTTGTCGAAATGTTACAAAATATCCTAACGCATAAGAGCGTTTAGTTTAAGTTTGTTGTTCTTTTAAATGTAATTTGAATGAACCAATTCCCATAAATCCCATATTTTTTATAGTATTCGTCTGTTTATCGATGATAAACTTCGATCAATACTTTCGAAGTCTTAAATAAGAAGTCTTGACCTCTGAGGTTCAACCGGGCAGAGAATGAAGTAGACATTATCGACGACATTGGATGATAATAATGATGATGATATCAGGGATTCAGTGTAGTAGAAAATATGTGCATTTGATTGGAGTTTCACGTTTCTAAAGTTCACTTATTCATTATGTGATACCTTAATTCTATAGATGAGACCGTAAGTGAAAATGGTTGTGCGTTCAGAAGCTAAAATAAAAGAATTGTCTGGTATGTAAAATGTTTCCTCAGTTGATAACAGTCTGTGACACAAAAAACCTAACTTCATATTGAATTGTAATTGATGATGATTCAAAGGTATTAATACCTTTGCTAAAATATAAGTTTGACATAGTGTTCATGATTGTTTAATGTATACATTACACTAACTCTAGTTAACAGTATTGTAAACTATTATAGAATACATGGCGATTATTTGAAACAACTGTTTACTTAGATAAGACCGATAGGTCCTAGGTTCGAATCTCGCGAGGTGAAATCGTGGGTGCGCACTACTTAGGAGTCCCACAATGAGACGAAACGTTCGTCCAGTGCTTCCAGGTTCCCCATGGTGATCTAGCTCCAATTGATTAATGATCTCAACTATTAAAATTACTACAAAATCCACAAAACCCCTTCAATTATTATTTTTTAAACACAATGATGAATAAATACATTTAAATTTGATTTTGAATGGCTTCTTTCGTTGATTTATTATGCTATATTTATTCTACATCAAAAAGTGAATCTAATGGATAATGCCGTCAGAAACCTTAAGCACATATTGTAGTTGAAACGTTTCAAACAGGGAGAACCGTACATTCTAGGTACAACTGAGAGTTGTCATTAAATATTATGCGAAAATGTTTATTAGCATAACTGTTAGGATGGGATAAAACACGAGATTATAAATAATTTGATATGAATTTTATTCAGTATAAAATCCATTCTATTTACGTATGATGTATATTCAGCACAATGTTCTTTACATTAACTTAGTATGAATTTAGTTTAATATAACACAATTGACATACGTTTCGTAGCAATTCTGTGTAAAATGAACTTTTGTATTTCCCTTATTGCAGTGTGCAGTGACATTCATTAGTGATTCATGGAATGCCCGTTAAATATGTATATAAATTAGTCTATTAAGTTAAATTAGTTTACGCGTTTTTTTGAGAGATAAATGAAGTCTGCTTTTCCCATTAATCTTGTCTTTCTTTTTGAGTAACGTAAATCAGATCACCCCTTTTCATACCTAATTTATTCGGCTATAACAGTAACAAAAAGATACTAAAGAACAGAATAATCTCACAAATAATTAGTTGGATGCCTTGAGTCGGTTACTTAACATCCAAGAATTATACAGCTTTATATAAAGAATATTTTGACATGTCTTTTGCATTCGAATAATAAAGGTAACATCGAGGCAATTCTTACATGATTCACATATGGCAATAAGAGACTACTCAATTGCAGTCCTAAACATCAATGGGAAGATTCAAAAAACCAACACAAAAATGACTTAAAACTTCACCCCAATGGACAAGCTGGTGACTGTCAGGATTCTGTAGCAAAGCGGATAACGCGATGGCGTTTGAAGCGAACGGTACTGGGTTGGAGTCCCAGAGTGAACATCAACTGTGAGATGCAAGCACGTGTAGCTGACGAGTGCCAAATAGGACGGAACGCGCGTGAAATTGTATTCCACTACTAGCCACCATCCATCTTCTCAATAATTTTGTTTACGACAAGAATTTTGACAAAAAAGTTTTACTTTCACGAAATTTTACGTAGTCCACAAATGGAATCATTTATTATAAATTTCATCAAATTAATGTTGGTATAAATTTATAATAAATTTATTTTTATATCACTAATATGAAAAGTGAGACTAAAGATCTTAACTACTTTTTAACTCATGAAAGTCAACATTTAAAACGTTGCCATTATTTACTTCAGATTTGTTATATTTATTGAATATCCGTTAGTTCAGTTAATTAATTAATTTGCGTTTGTAAATTGTAATGAAGTCGAAGAGAAATTAGATATGAGGGAATAGGAAGTTATTGGTAACCGCGTATCTTTCAGTGACATGACCAGAAAGAAGACGATGATGGTTGGTAGGACAGCCGTGTTCGATTTGACTTAGAGGTAAAGTAAAGCGAGACTTCTAACTAGATCACTAGAGCAGGTTGTGGAGTAGTCTGATGTTAATGAATATCCAAGCATTTTCAGGTAGCTGGTGTTTTTATTCCAGTGTTTGTGATCAACCGTAACACAGTTATATTCCTAATCGATTAGGACAATGTGTTTTAGAGCATCATGTGTAGTTTAAAGACTTCATTCACTAATTTGCAATGATGTGTTAACGTTCTTGCGATTACATTACTGATAAACTGAGTAACTGATATCGAGATAATGTCAAATCTTTATTCGGTCTTAAGCTACAATTTTGTCTTGGATGTTAATGATACTATCTGATTATTCAAACAAAGTAAATGGAACAGGTTTTGAATCTCCTACCTATTTGTAAAATTCTAAGTGCTCCAACCAACTTCCCAACCCTTATTTATGGTTGGTAGCTAGGTACAAACAACTTACGAATAAAAAAGTTTTACTTAGCTAAGGTCTAAACAAATTAACATTTCAGCTCTGAATGACAAACAGACCTACATTACAAAAGCTGTTTTCGGTTGAATCCTATGACCCGTTTCAACGATATGTTTGACAACAGAAAGGAATGAGCGTTTATCTCAGATTCCTCAAAGTGTATTGCATGAATAAGTCATATTAGTCGCACAAACTATCTCATTGATATAACACTTTGTATATTTATCTTGAGAGATTATCCATTTTAAAATAATCGCAGTTATTAATTTCAATGATATATACTAGATTATTCAATCATAATACAGATGCTATCACAAACTGACATTATCCATAGGAAAAATACGGTTATCCCTCAAATCAACTAAAAAAAACAATAAAGGAAGTCTTTGGCGGACTTTTAACTTTTAAAAAATGTTGAAATTTAGGAACCATTTAAAATATGAACAAAATGCTGACTATAACGGTTGCATTATACTTTTTTACCATCCTGATTGGTTATTAAAGTATGTACACTTCCGACAAAATTATTTAAATTACATAGACGAAAGATCTCACTAGAATTTGATTGGTTTAAAAGTTACTATTATCAAATACTATATATAACTATTGAAATTTATCGTTGATCAGTATATTTCATGGGCGGGCACATTTTAAATCTAAGCGTAAAACTTTCTTTTCTCATTGTAAGAACAATTTCATAACTTAGAGTTCACTAATTCCACTACAGTAATTTTTAAACTTATGTATCTAATTATCTTTGACGCATTTATTTGTTGTCATTATGATACACAAATGTTTTAAATAGTTATTGTTCCTCATTATAGTTTTTATTTACTATATTAAATGAAAATGGAATCCATCTAATGCACATATCATAAAGGATATGGTACTTTGGATTAAGAGATATGTTTAGGTAACTTTTAAGTTAAAATATAAACATATAGAAATAAGGATTATTCACAGTGTGTGAAGTCATTTAGTAAATTCCATAATGAAATAGAGGATTATGTAGTAGAAAAAGTAATCTTACGCTTTCTTCAAGATGATATTAATTTGTAAAGTCTATGAAATAAAGTATCAGTTTTTCATACTTTTAGACAAAATGAAGATGGTTATGATGTGTGACCAAAGCATTGAAGAAAATAACAAACCTTTAACTATTGAATTAAGTGAGTTCTAAATTTGAAACATTCTGTGAATAAAACATTAGATCATGATGAAAAAAACAGTAAAATACATTCAGTTATTATTTATTTTCATCCAATAACTAATGAACAATCTAATAACCAATTTTATTTACAAGCTTTGCAAGAATTATTGAAATGTATAATTGATAAGGTAAGTGTTGTTATACTTTTAGTATCTTTCTGATATGTTCATTACATAACAATGATTACTGTTCTTACATTCAATAACGGTGGCGTAATTTCATGGATTGGTTGAAGTTAGACATTAACACCGTTGAATGCTGGATCAGTGGCTCAAAGGTTAAAAGTTCGCGCGAGAGACTGATAGATCCTTGTCTCGGATCGCGAATGTGCACTGCTGAGGAGTCCCACGATAGGATGAAACGGCCATCTGGTGTTTCCATGTTTTTCTTTGTGGTCTAGCTTCAAGTGACTCATGAAGTAAATTATTGAATAACTTTCTACTTAAAAAATAATTTGTTAATTACTTCTGAATAATGAAATTCATGTTTGTTTGTCGACTAGCTAGTCGACTCAGATTCAAAGAGAAGAAATAAGATAACTGATGATAAAAAGATGTTTGAGATTGATCACTAGATCTAAATTCAACAGAACCATTAAAGTGTACAAAAACCGAAGAGCATTAAACAGCGATAAAGCATGTTACTTTATATTTAGAAAAACTCATGTTGACACAATTAATTTCATTTCATGTTAGGCAAACAAGGTAAACTCATAAATAAAGTCATTTTCCCATCAGTCTTTATATTTTTTCTGCATTTCTGAAGTACATTTATACAAAATAACCATTTTATTTTAGAAATTGAAGCTTGTTCACTTTGAAACGAGACCACCTCTGGCTTTATCCAATTCAAACCAAGACATTCAATATTCTTGTTTAATAACTTTGGAAACAAATGAAATAAATATGAATTTATTTTACGAAGAATTACGGTGCAACAGTTTTATTTCTAGAATAAATTTACCAAATAATCAAGAATCTCGATGTAAGTATACAATTTCGGTGTCAGCATTGAAGTGTTTCACTAATTATTAATTCACTTGATTGAATTAATGTGAACAAAGTTTTCATCATTAACTGAAGTCAACTTAAATCACATGAGAAAATAGAGAGAAGTGAACAGATGTTTTGTTCTACTTTAGGACTTATCACATGCATACGCTCAATAAATTTATGAGATTGGACCCAGCGCGCATTTTACTAGATAGATGTCTGTAATCATCTTGAATAAAGCATTACGTAGACGTTTTGATAGAGTAGTTCATAAATAAGTCCAGATATTTCGTATTTAGATATCTTAAACTCTGGCTTGATTCTTGTAAAAAGGTCAGAACTATCGTACTCTTTGTTTTTTTCATAGACTCATTCCCTTAATACCAGCTGAATGAGAAAGTATTATCTAGTAACTGTTCAATAGAATATGAGATGGTAGTACTTGGCTAGAACCACAGGATATTGCTCCTTTTGAATGTAAACAGTTGATATCGTTTAAAGAGTAAAATCATTAAAGCTTCCTCCTGTCTTGTACTTATTATATCACAGACTAAATTCTAATAATTATAACTCAAGCGGTTCTACTGTTGTGGAAAATAGTTTAAATAGAATGTTAAGTCAATTATTGATTATATATTTTGTATCGTTATTCAAGATATCTATTTGTTTTAGTTAAAATAATTGTTTCAATAAACTGTTTGATGTTTGACCCGGTAGAGATGTTTTCTTGTTCTTGTTCTTCGTCTTCTTTATGTCAGCTAATCGACTTTAGTTAATAATTAGTTTCATTCGATTATAAGAAAAATAAAAAAAGTTTCATTTAGATATGTAGATGATTTTGGTAGAGTTTTGTTCTTTGAGCTGAATGAAAGCTCCACGACCAAACCATCCAGCTCAGAGAACGAAACTCCACGAAAACAAACTGAAAGCGTGAAGAAGTAATTTTGTATTTATCAATATTTCCAAATATATTTTTGAATTCGATTTAATAGATTGGTATCCTAAACACATTTCTGATTTGGATAAATGTCAACATCTACTACTTAAATTTCAACCTGAATTACAAACTGATCATCCAGTAAGTTTTGTTAATTTCTTTTCTATTTCTAAAGCTGATAATTTCTGAAATGGGAAAATAATTTGTTAAAAATGATCGATACAAATATGTGTAATAATCTTGGAATATTTGTTACATTAATATGAAATAAAGGCTTTTTGTCAAGTTCGGACAATTGCTTGAATTAGGATTCAAGATGCTTGTTTCATCCTTCTGGGACTCACTAGATAAATTTGTTTAGATCTCATTATTATTGTGTATACTGAGAATCGAACCAAGTACCTTTCACTTTAGGCCTCAATCCATTATCCACTGAGCTACCGAGTTCAGATAGCTACTTAGTAGTCAAGTATATATGAATTTGTCTGTAGGAATTTTTACCTTCCTGTTATCGATATGATGGACCTTAGCTAATCAGTCTCTAACTTAAGAATATCACCTTGATGTTGCCATTTTTTTACAGTTTTCAATAAAGTTAAATATATCAGTGAAGATTGATCAACTACAACTAATAACATTAACAACAAAAGAATACAAAGTCTTACAAAATAAAATTGTGTCAAATATTTCAAATGATAATCTCTAGATATTAAATATCATGACGATTTGCATAAGCAATATACTTGAGAAATTTCTTTAAATATCTAAGAAGCATTCAACAACTAAATCTATTTGTATAAGTCAAAATATATATGAAAATAAAAATAATTTATTTCGTGGAATCAGTATCACAATTCTGATCAGTCACTATTCAACAATTAACTTGGATGGACATTTTGTTATCCATAGAACATAAGCTTATATATTACTCACTTACTTGCGCCTGTTACCCCTCAGGGACTTTGCACGAATGGCATCCAGAATTTTGATAAGCTCTAATTTGAAACCAGTTAGTAATCTATTCATCACTGATGGATATACATAGCATGAGATAGTTCAAAAGATAGTTTTATCAGTCGTCACATGCATATTTCATGATACTTTAGACTGAGCTAACTAATATAATCTGATTTTCGATTCGTTGAGCTTTGACTCACTTTTGTGCTAGCAAGAGGTACACTCAACTTCACGACAGTGTGCGGTGGTGGGTGTACTGTTAAAGAGCCCCGTCATAGGACGAAATCAGTGTAAAAACCGCAAATTCACATTATTCACAACACTTAACAACAGAAAAGTCATGAGAAAATTCTTGCTACCATTATTTTACTGTCAATTACTGACCTTATTTATATTATTTTATTATTTTACAAATCAGATCCTAAGATTTCTATTGCCACCAGTTATCTATAGTCAAATCAAGTTGAGGAATCAAGAGTGTTTACTAGTCAAGAATCATAAATTAAGGACAAATGCATGTTCATCGATCTTTAGTTTACAGTAATTCTTAAGTTGATATCATTTTGTGATAGAAACCACCTTCTTAAATGGAAATTCATAGGTAACTGTCAGATAGGTAATGTAGGGTCACACAAACTACTTATAATATGATGCTGAACTTCTAAGGATCACTGCCATTACTGACAGGTTAACCATTTTCTTCTGTGGATACTATTGTGTTAACTTTTAAAAATAATATTGTTTTAGGCATATAAAAACCAATTCATTGACTTTTCTTTTATCAGTCTGATATTTGCAAGATAAATAATGATATTTCTGATTATTGAGTAATCTTGACAGATAGATTTTTATCTGATAAATGTATTTATAGGGATTTCACGACAAAGTTTACAGAGAACGACGAGAAAATATAGCAAAAATAGCATTTGATTATAAATAGTAAGTTGTTCATTTCAACTGCATATATTGAGTTGATTAATTTTAATTTTACCAAGAATGTAAACTATCTGAAATTAGATGTATTAAATGTCAACTTTTATAAACTTATTTTACTTCTTATATTTCTGCTTATCAGCATGATGATAATTGACTTTTGTAGATAATATTTCTCATATTACATATTAGATAAGTTGTAAAAGTTTTCTTACTTACTTACTTACCCCTGTTACCCCTCGTAGAGGAGCATAGGCCTCCCAGTAGCATTCTCCATTGAGCCCTAGAAGAGCTACAGGCGGAATTTAAAAGGTTTCAGTATACTTTGTTTGAACTGTCTTCTGCAGCAGCTTAACAATTTTCTAGTTTAAAACTGACTCTCTGAGTAGTAACCAATGTGATATATATCTATTCAGTGCTGACCGAATTCTATCTGTCAAACTGCAGTGTGATTATTAGTCTAAATGATTTAATATCGTATGCACTATGTTAGGTTATTGTAGATAGTAAACAGAAAACAGTGAAACTGTTTCGTGTTGGTAGTCACTCACTAACTAAGAGTACCTGTTAAAATTTTGAATGAAATTTTATGCAACTTCGAACAACAAACCTATTCTTTTTTGTTTTTACCTGAATGTAACAAATTAAATTTATGACCAGTAAAGTACAATATTTTTCTATAATGACGTGAAAAATAATCTATTTATTATTCTATATATTGTCATAGTATAAATGTTCAATGATCATTCTTCTCTTAACCTATGGTATGCTGCACTCACCAATCTACGTTGCCATGACCTCAGCAAGAAACACTTCTACTGAGAATTTAGCTAACATTCGTTCTTTTAACATGAAGACTTTTAAAATGCTAAACTAGAACAATCTTCTGCTTTAGGTAAATCACAAAAGTACACAGTTCCACCATTTGGATTCAACGAATCTTTATATCTCAAGAGTTTCCTTGCTAAGTAAACTAATACAATTGATTATACATTAAACTTAGTGCTTAAAAATAAAGGTAGGAAAACTTACGTTTGTGTTCAGGTATGATTTGATTGCTCCAAATAGTTACATAAGAATTGAAATGAAAAATCAAAGGTGGCCAGTGTAGGAAGCAAGGCCGTAAGTACGTTTCCTGGATGAAGGATCCATGTTCATTTAAGTGGATTATTATGGCTTGTGAGATGTGTAGAAGATGACATCTATAAGGCCAGAGCAAATTTTACAGTACTCCATCTATAACTACATCCTTATCTATTGAATGACTTATTTGAACTAAGTATGTAACGATAAGTCTTATTGATCTTCTTTGTACTCCTCTCATTTAAATACGATTATGTTCGAAAACATGATAATGAACTTATCACCTTGTACGCCCTTTGTGAATGACTCCACAGTAACAGTTGAACAGATAAATATACAGGTTTTATGAAGTTGTATGTTATTAAAAATTTTCCGAATAAATTTCATCGCATTCATTTGATGTGTCTGTTGATGTATATTTTTTTGGTGAAAGGAAGTTTCAGTATATTGTAATATTATAACAAATATGAAAATTTAAATTTATTTATACAAATGGGAAAAATATTATTCCATCTATATGTTGTTGCATTTCTTCACATATTCAGTGGTGATCGTATACCTGAAGTTGAATATACCAAAGAAGAAATTGAAACTTGGTGAGCATCAGCTTTGTTTTTAATGAATTATAAATACACAAACATAAGAAAGTTGAAATAAAAATACTGGTAGTATTCACAAAACTTGAAATCTTAATAATTAACAAAGTAATGTACCATTAGTTATTTCAGTGAAATAGAAAGAAATATAAAGCTATAGAAGTATATTAATGATAGTTTATTTTCTTTAAACTGGCTATGAAAGTGTTTCAGTGATCTTTAATAAATAAAACTGATATCATTTAATGGTAGTTATTATCATCAATACTTGAAAATCGCACAAAAGTAGATTAAGAATTTCTTCAAATAACCGGTTATCTCAAGAAAATAGCGTTGTATTAGGTTTCAAAAAATAGTATATCTTGTTAGACTCTTTGAAATTTCAACTGGACTAATCGTGAATCATTAAGAATTTTGCGGTGTAATTAATCACTAAAATGAATAAACTAATTAAAATAGTAGATTGCTAAAGACTATTCAGTTTAATTTCATTTATTTTTCAAATAATTTCACTCAGCTATGTATTTTAAAATCTCATTACTTAATTAGATGTCTCATGTTTGGAAGTCTGTTCTAGAAGTCTTTAGATCAAGATTTTATTGCTTATTAGTTGTCTACTGAAAACGGCGTTTGTTGCTCACCAGCTTAATTGATGGGATTCACTTAGAAGATCAGTTTTATGGGTATAGTTGCAAAACAGTGTGACATTGACAAGGTTTGTACATATTTAATATGGTATAGTAACGAGCCTATTATTTAAATGGTTTTTTTCTGTTAAATCAGTTTATCATTTCTTACAACCAATTTCATGACTGAATTAAACAAATTTTTGTTGATGAAAAATGCCTTATAAATGGATAACATGTTAATGTTAACTTTACAAGCTGACTGGATTTTGATGGATGACTGACTGTGCAACTCAGTGTGCATGTTTTATGTAAATTGTGATGACAGGTAATAACTGTAATATGATTCAATTTAGAACATCAACAGCAGAAAATTATGAACAACTACGACTATTTATAAATATAAAAATATGTTTAACATAATTATATATATATAGGTACTATATATATAGTACCCAATAACACAAACAGGGGTCATTTGCACATGCTAGTTTAGATGTACTTGCAAAACCATGCGCATTGAAATGATAGAAAGACAGATAACCGTACATTTTATTGAAAATAATTCGAAATATGTACGTATCTGAGTATAAAGTAGTTTTCTTCGTTTGATAACACTCCAACAGACAGATAAAGCACTTTAGGTGGATACAGTAAACGGATTCAAATTAATCACTACATAATCTAACTCTATCTTATTCGAATTTGAAGAAGTTACTGCGACTAGAAGGCCTAAATCTGACCTTGGTGAGACTTTAATTTATAGATGAACCAATACGGATTTAGGATAAAAAGTCTTGGATTTTTAGCGCAAATTTCATTCATTCATTCATTACTTACTTACGCCTATTACTCCTCGTGAAGGAGCATAGGCCGCTTACCAGCATTCTCCATCCAACCCTATCCTGGGCAATCCTTTCCAGCTCTTTCCATTCTTATTCGTCCCTTTCATATCCGCTTCTATTTCTCGACGTAATGTGTTCTTTGGCCTTCCTCTTTTCCGCTTTCTTTCAGGATTCCAAGTTAGCGCTTGCTTCGTAGTGCAGTTTGATGATTTCCTCAATGTATGTCCTATCCATTTCTATCGTCTTTTCCTAATCTCCTCTTCAGCTGGAAGCTGGTTGGTTCTCTCCCACAAAAGGCTGTTGCTGATGGTATCCGGCCAATGGATGTTGAGTATCTTGCGTAGACAACTATTGATAAATACTTGTACTTTGTTGATGGTAGTTGTTGTAGTTCTCCAGGTTTCAGCTCCGTACAGTAGAACTGCCTTGACGTTTGTGTTGAAGATTCTGACTTTGATATTGGTTGAAAGTTGTTTTGAGTTCCATATGTTCTTTAATTGAAGGAATGCTGTCCTTGCTTTGCCAATCCTCGCCTTTACGTCTGCATCTGAACCTCCTTGTTGATCGACGATGCTTCCCAGGTATGTGAAGGATTCCACATCTTCTAGAGTTTCGCCATCAAGAGTGATTGGATTGCTGTTCTCCGTGTTGTATTTGAAGACCTTGGTTTTCCCTTTGTGTATTTTGAGGCCTTCTGAAGCAGAGACTGCTGCTATGCTGGCTGTCTTTATCTGCATTTGTTCGTGTGTATTGGATAGGAGGGCTGGGTCATCTGCGAAGTCTAAATCGTCTAATTGGTTTTGAGCTGTCCATTGTATGCCGTGTTTTCCCTCAGATGTCGAGGTCTTCATAATCCAGTCGACCACCAGAAGAAAGAGAAAGGGAGAGAGTAGACAACCTTGTCTGACTCCGGTCCTTACTTGGAATGCATCTGTCAGCTGTCCTCCATGCACTACTTTGCACTGTAGTCCGTCGTATGAGTTCCGGATAATGTTGACAATCTTCTCAGGAACTCCGTAGTGTCGAAGAAGTTTCCATGACATTCTTCTATCTACACTGTCAAATGCCTTTTCATAATCAATGAAGTCGATGTACAGTGACGAGTTCCACTAAATTGATTGTTCGACGATGATCCGTAGTGTCGCAATTTGGTCTGTGCACGACCGGTCCTTACGGAATCCAGCTTGTTGATCTCAAAGTTGAGCGTCAACTGCGTCTTTCATCCTGTTCAGTAACACTCTGTTAAAGACTTTTCCTGGTATTGACAGTAGTGTAATGCCTCTGTAATTTTCACACTTGCTCAGATCTCTTTTCTTTGGAATCTTGATGAGGTGTCCTTCTTTCCAATCCATCGGCACTTGTTCCTCCTCCCAAATCTTCTTGAATAGAAGATGGAGCATGTTTGTAGTAACTTCGATGTCTGACTTCAGTGCTTCAGCCGGTATATTGTCGGGTCCTGCTGCTTTCCCGCTCTTGATTTGTCTGATGGCCATTCTGATTTCTTCCGTCGTTGGTGGATTGACATCTATGGGAAGATCTGTGTGTGCTGCTTCGATGTCCGGTGGATTCACTGGAGCCGGCCTATTCAGGAGTTCCTCGAAGTACTCTGCCCATCTGTTCCGCTGTTGCTGAATCTCAGTGATCGGTCTTCCTTCTATGTCTTTGACCGGTCTCTCTGGTTTACTATATTTCCCTGCTAGTTTCTTTGTTGTATCGTAAAGCTGTTTCATATTTCCTTCTCTCGTAGTTTTCTCCGCCCTCGTTGCTAGTTCTTCCACGTATTTCTGCTTGTCGGCTCTAATGCTCTTCTTCACTTGCTTGTTTGCTTCTATGTACTCAGCTTGTGTTTGGAATTTCTCTGCTCTTGTTCGGCTGTTATTTATTGCTGTCTTCTTGTTCTTTCTTTCTTTGATCCTGTCTAGTGTTTCTATAGAGATCCATTCCTCGTGATGATGCTTCTTGGGGCCCAGAACCTCTTGACACGTTGAAGTTAATGCTACTTTGATACCTTTCCAGTTATCCTCCATAGTAGTTTCTTCTTCCTTCAGTTGATCCTGTAGGGCTTGGAACCTGTTGTTGAGAGCTACCTTGAATTCATTGAGTTTGTCGGTATCTCGAAGGAAGGCTGTATTGAACCTTTGTGGTGCTGTTTGTCCAGTTCTTCTTTAGCTTCAATTTGGCCACAACTAGGTAATGATCTGAAGCTATGTCCGCTCCTCTCCTGGTTTTCACATCTTCCATTGTCCTTCGGAACTTTTTATTGATGCAAATGTGATCTATCTGGTTCTCTGTGGTGTGGTCCGGTGAGATCCACGTAGCTTTGTGTATACGTTTGTGTGGAAATGTTGTATCGCCTATGACCAATTTATTGAATGCACACAGATTTGCAAATCTTTCCCCGTTTTCGTTTCTCTCTCCCAGTCCATGTAGTCCCATGATGTCTTCATATCCGGTGTTGTCCATTCCGACTTTGGCGTTTAGGTCTCCCATCAGAATGGTGAGGTCTTTTCTTGGGCACTTCTCTATGATTGATTGCAGCCTCTCATAGAATTGATCTTTAACGTCGTCGTTGCTATCATTTGTGGGTGCATAACATTGGATAGCATTCATTGTGATCCCCTCCTTCTTTGTTTTGCACGATGCTTTGATAATTCTGGATCTGTGAGATTCCCATCTTACAAGTGCATTTCGTGTTTCTGTGGACAGCATTAGAGCAACTCCCTGAGTGTGTGGGACATTTTCCTCTTCGTGACCGGAGTATAGCAGCATCTCTCCCGTATTTAGGCTTTGTTGTCCAGCTTGGGTCCAATGGGTTTCGCTGATTCCGAGTACTGCCAAGTTGTATCTCCTCATTTTTATGTTGCTATTTGACTGGTCTTCCCGATCTCCCACATTGTCCGGACGTTCCATGTACCTATAAATTTTGTTGCTCTGGTTGTTAGAAGGGGCATTGGCCTCATGGCTTCCGAAGGAACTCGGCTTTCACCATGAGGCGTCATATTTCTTCTAAATGAAGACCTTTTAACTCCCAGGGCAGAGTTTAAATGGTTTGAGTTATTTTTTTCTGGTTAGCGTTTTTTTAGCGAGTTAGTTTTCTACGGGATAGTGACGCTAACTCCATGCCCAACCCTCCTCCTTTACCCGGGCTTGGGACCGGCAGTAACTCTAGACGAGCTACAGGCGGAGTTAAAATTAATTCATCCATTTAGCTTAATAGCATTTCGGCATCTTGGACGTTATCAGTTTGTGATGAAAAATTTAAATCTCATTCCTAACCCTAATCACCAACTGTTAATCATAATCCTTATTCTTCACACGTATTATTAACTTTCATTTAATGCTAGCAAGTAGGTGGTCATTCTCAAGGCCGCTCTAATTAGGCTCAAAGGTCGTCCATAAATTATAGTCTTACTCTGATCTTTGTTTTTAATAGATTAGTAGTTATTGTTCAACTACATAAGTAAACGTTCCGATACTTTAAATTCTTCATTCTTCAATTAATTATAATCACCATTTCAACTTAAATGTTCTTTTATTTCTGGAACTCCGTTTCTTTACATTAATAAAATAATCTTAAATACTCTAAAATGTCACTTCCAACATCTATAAATGCCCCCTGAAAACCTTTTATTGAAAGAGAATTCATTTCTTCGAATTTTAAATTGTCAGTATTTCGAAATAACTAAACTTATTAGCATGTATGTGGCTGAAGATAAAGTAAAACAATATAACGAATTCATCATAGTTACAATATATGAAAATCTGACATCTGTTGAAAAAAGGATTCAGGAGAATGGCTCAGTATGTCTTCGTTTCGTGTATTTTTCTTAAATTGATAAGACTGTGTGATTTGACCTTTTTAAATTTGGTATTCACATAGCTCTTATCGTAAATTGAAGTTACTTAAAACACTATTGCTGATCAAGAAGCATTGATATAAGTGTTCTGTCCTAGTTTGGAACGCCTTAACAGTGACCACTTACTAAAGTCCATAAAACTAAGTTTATCACCCTTTATGTTTTCAATGAACAAGGAATGTGTAGGTAATTAAATCCATGGAAAAATTGTCTCCAAAATTAATTTCTTTCCTTAAATCATTTAATTATAAATTACTATAACTAAGTGGGAAAAGTGCAGACTGGACATATGTTAATTTACCAACTTCGGTTATTTAATGAAAAATTTTAAACCTGAACAATTGTCGCTTGCATACATGTATGCTGCCTTCAATTAACATTATAGACGTAAGTGTAAACAACTGCTCACCTTAATCTAGTGATTTACACTTCACATTTAACAATGAATATAGGTAACAGAAATTTTGTTGATTACGCTTGATTCAACGAAATTACACCTTTATAATAAAATAATATTCTAAGAACTTGCGAAGTTGTTTTTCAGGTAGTGATTTCATTGAGAACCATACCCTGGTGACGTTATTAAATCATATTTCCTTCATTTTAATTCAGTATTCATTCATTTGTCATTGCTTGGTGTGAAATATTGTCTAAGAACTACTTACTTAAAACCACGTAAATCAATGTGTTATAATCTGTACTGAGGATAACAATGGTGTCTCCCTATTATTGAAAAACTAACAACAATTGTTCTAAAGAGATTTCAGTGATACTCAACAATTATTATACCTTTATAAAGGGTGATTAATGTTTAAGCGAAAGCTTTCAATGTCTTGGGTAAAGACGTAAATGACTAGGTATGGCCATAAAATCGCATTAAATAAATGTGTTTTTTCTAAAGTGACATTGTCTTAGACAAACAATAAGAAGGAATGCAAAAAAACAAATGGTTTGTGGAGCTTTTCATATATGACGCGAAATTATATCTCATTCTTTGGTGACAAATTCTTCTTTTAGTAGCATGATAAACTGTTGACTTACATTGACATGTTTTTACATTTTACAAATATAGGGGCTTGGTTTTCACAAAAATGAAAGCTGTTCATGCTTCAAGAGCATGCAGAGAATATATTGATGGATTTCAACTCTTAGAAAAATATTGTAATTACAATTCTGAAAGCATACCTCAACTGCAAACAATCTGCGAATTTATGCATCGTAAGTTTTGCAAAATTGTAACGAAAAGTAAATGGAAAAGTTTCCTATTTTATTTTATTTATTCTAAAACTGGTTCTAGAAACTTGTATGTTTTTAGAGAAAAGACGTCTGGTTAATGAATAAAAGAATGGTAACATGATGGAAAAATTAAGCCTCGTTACTTTACAGCTTGAGGGTAGAATTTAATTCATGATCAGAAGTTGACCAAATCACTATGCAATTCACGCATGTCATGAGCAACATAGTTTTCTATAATAAATTATCATATATATATATATATATATATATATAGTAACTCAATGAAGACAATGGTGGACGTGTCACTCAATTTCGTTGAAGTTAGACGTTAACACCATTGAATGCCTGCTCAGTAGTCTAGAGGTTAAGCGTTCGCGCGTGAGATCGATAGGTCCTGGGTTCGAATCTCGCGAGGCGAGAGAGTGATTCATTTTCTATTATTTTACATAAATTTTTGGCTGTTTGGTTAGTTTTACCTAAATCTTATTAATAATAATGTGATACTCAGAAAAACTGATAGAATTAATTCAAAAGTTTAGTTTTCATTTCGAGTAATCATTAATAGATTAATTACACTGTTTCTGTTACGATACATACAGATACACCAACAACATAATGAATATCAAATACGTTGAATCATTTCGGGATTGCATTGAATTTAATTGTTTCATGATTAATTACATAATTATATTTAATACCAAATTACCTAGTTAATTGAACTATGTTAATGGATGACATAAGTTCAACATTAATGACGAGTGACAATCAGAATCACAATTGATTGTTCACTGCGTGGTGATCAATGTCATGTGTGTCAAGTCCTTCTTGGTGCAGATCGAATGCTATCGACCAAGTTGCAATGTGGCCACTAGTCTAGGTGACTCAATATTGCGTGCACTATGTTGAGATAAGATGGTGGTTGGAGGTAGTCAACGGAAAACCCTGGACCCAGGTTTCGTGCTACTTGGCATTCATCAGCAAGGTGTACCTGTAATCTTGAGAGAACTGGTGCGTTAACCACACTAACTTTGGGATGCAGGCACATCCATCTGACAATTCTCAAATAAAACAAAACGCGCGTCTTGGATTCCGCTGCTAGCCACCATTCATCTTTGCTTATAATGCTTGTGACTTAGGGCAATATCGAGGCGATTCTCAAAGGATGCACATATGCCAATAAGAGACTAATCAATTGTAGTCCTAAACATTAGTGGAAAAATTCAAACAAACAATACAAAATGAACTTATTTCTCATGGTTTCTGTTTAAAACCATTGAATATCTACATTTAGAATTGTGTATATATATTCCAAACCATCGAAGCTAGTTATTATTTACGAAAGTTATTGGATTCTATATTTGTTTTGTTTTAAACAGCAACCATATCTATTTTGATGAGAATTTTCAATTTTGTTAAAGTGCATAATTTATTTTTCCCTAATAGGTACTTCAGGATTTCGTATTCGACCTGTTGCTGGTTTAGTTTCACCTAGAGATTTCTTGGCAAGTTTAGCGTTTAGAGTATTCCAATGTACTCAGTATATACGTCATCATTCACGTCCTTTGCATACACCAGAACCGTAAGTTTACATTAGCAATATTTAAATGAATTATAATTGTAAATACAAATTTCAGAATATATTACTGACAAATTTAATGGTAGTCAATCAATTATTATTCTGCTGGCCAATATTCAGAATACAGATTATCTAACATTTCTTTCAAATAACAAGACCAAAAATGAACGAACAATTACACAATAAACAACATTATTGCTAACTATTGCAAGAGCCAATTGCTTGCACACAATAACAGTTGTTTCCAGAAGTTAAAGACTGTATAAGAAAGCCTGAAAATCAATGGCACTAACAGATAACATTCATATTTCTACTTATTTTCCTCACCAGCTTCCAGTCAACCACGATACACGTAGACGCAAGTCGACGGGACTTGACACGAACAGATCTAACCAAAAGGAAATGTAAGCTCCAGAAAACGGAATTTCTGTATAAACAATCAAGACGATTGGTTTCAACACAACAACTCTATTTAGATAAGCATTGGGAATCCTCACATGTTTCTGTTCACAGTTATCTCATAGACAATAGTGATACATTAATCTTAATCGTTCTCAAAAGTTTTACAAATAAAATAACTAATTTGATGAGATTTAATTCTTCCATACTACAATTAGTGATGACCAGTTTTTTTGATAAATATTTTAAAATGTTAATAAAGGTTTAGCTCATAGTGATAATAACGGTAGTATCTTTTGCAAGAATAGTATATTATTCGATATATAGCTTATTACAAACAGACACGAGATGTTCTAATGTAATGAGTAAATAACAATAAAACGTTGGTGTAAAATAAGAATCTGCTTTATAAATGATAGCATGGTTCCAAGGGGAGTTTTATTGAAATAGAAGCAAGAATATGATAGCTCTTATGATATTTCATTGAAATCATGGACCGATAAATGTTAGACTACCATTGAAAACCTGGAAGCACTGTACGGCTATTTCATCCTAGTATGAGACTCCTCAGTTGTGTGCGTCCACGATCCCACATGCGGAATTCTAACTTAGCACTTTCGTTTTCACATGCGATATGACATTCATCTACCAATCGTTTTTATAAATTCGTGATTTCATAAAATTAAATAACTTATATCATTTGTTATCAATTTAGGGATTGCATTCACGAACTCATTGGTCATATGCCTATGTTAGTAAATAGAAAATTTGCTGACTTTTCTCAAGAACTAGGTTTAGCGTCTTTAGGAGCTTCTGAAGAAGAAATTACGAGACTATCAACAGTAAGTACATTGATTTAATAAATGCTTCGTAATATTTCATTGTTCAATATTTAGATAAGTCCTTAAATCTACGTTTTGTACTTGATGACCTTAATTAACTAAGAAATTTGGATATTTTAAAGAAAGTGATTTTATCTGTGAGGTTCAAACATATGTTACACCCTATCAAAACCAGAGACTTACTCTCCATATGATTGATTGGTATACTAGCAACTGATTACTTACAAAATAGTTCTCAAGATCACATATGTCTACTCGTTAGTGTTGATCGAGTTCTATCTATCTGTATATATGACCTTCGTTGATATTCAGTGTTTAAAAACGATTAGAATCTGATGGGTTTCACTCAGAGATGTTAAAGGGTGGTGATCCTGTTTTAGCTAATAGATTGACTAAAATAATTGGCTAGAGTCTGGGAACTGGACATGATGCCACCTGACTTGTGTCAATATATCGTCATTCTAGTCTGTTAGAAAGAAAAAAGACTTCTCTTGTGGTAACTGCAAAAGAATAAGTTCAGCTAATATAGTGTCAAAAGTATTCCCTCCATAATCATTCAGCACCTAAGTGAGACTTGTGAAGATCAAACCTGGATGGACGTGCAGACAGACTATCGCCATTCGTCATATCCTGGAACACAGACAAACCTACCGATCTCCAACCAAAAAAGTGTTTAAATATAGCAAGAACAAATATTGATGCAGAATAGTATGAATTCATAATATTTCGAGGTTTCTCATCAGCTGCTTACAACCAAATATGTGATAAAAATTTACATTAAGATAGTGTAAAACAATTGGCATAAATGAATGTGCATAACTGGAATAATAACTATATATGCTCGCTGGCTGACAAAATGCCTAGAACCAATCCGAAAGAAAGTAGCGCCCTACAGTCTAAAAGACAGTTTTGAATTCGTGCAAAAACTCGACAACCTAAATGTTTCTGACAAATTTATGGTTTCATTCGACGTCTCATCACTCTTCACTAACATCCCCTTGGAAGAAACGGTTGATATCATATGTAAATATCCCGAACTTCTACCTCTACCAATTCATGATTTTAAACAACTCATTTTTTTATGTACTAGAAACATACAATTTCAATTTAATAATGTGTTTTACCGTCAAATTGATGGAGTTGCCATGGGTAGCCCGTTGGGCCCAATTCTTGCTGATATATTTATGGGATACCTGGAACAAAATGTGCTTAAGCACGCAATCGATACTACTACACTATACTGTAGATACATTGATGACACATTCCTTGTCTGCAACAATCAGAAGCATTCTATTAGACTACTCAATCTGTTTAATAAAGCACATAAGAATATAGAATTTACTATGGAAAAGGAAGTTGAAGGTAAATTCCATTTCCTGGATATCGGTATCAGACGAACACTTGATGGCACATTACAGAGACACATTCATCATAAAAATTCTTGGAGTGGACTATATCTTAATTACTATAGTTTCTGTCCAATGAGTTACAAAAAGGGTTTGGTACGAACCCTTTTTGACCGCGCTCGAAAAATTTGTTCAAAGGAATGCCTGGATGATGAGATTACTCTCATCACTAATGCTCTACGTGAAAATTCATACCCGTTGAAATTTATCCATAAATATGCAAAAACCTATCCTCAGACAAAGTATGATAGAGTTGAAAAGAAATCTTGCTTCCTATATCTACGTTTTAAAGGAGATGAAATCGCTGGCTTAATTAATCACAGACTAAATTCAGCGTTGAAAGTTGCCTACCCAGCTGCAAAATTAATGACAGTATGGAAAACGAACTGCTCACTCAAAGAAACTAAAATCGACAAGTCCTCTTTTCTTAGTAGCTCCAACTGCATTTACCAATTCACATGTACGTGCCAAAGCACATACATTGGAAGAACTGAGAGAAGAGTACATGTTCGTATTTCTGAGCATGTTCCAAAAAACTTGAGGCTGCGGGGGACGAAGGTTCTTAACAGTGCGATAGCTCGGCATTTACTAGACACTGGACATACCATTGATATCTTACACGCTTTCAAAATTATCAATAGACAACGAAGTACCACTACTCTCCGGTTCGCGGAAGCGATTGTGATAAAAAAACTTAAACCGGATTTATGCATCCAAAAAGAGACGTTAATTAACTTATCATTACCCTGGTAATTTTTTTTTTGTGTGTGTTATTTTATTCACTCACTTTATTTTCTAAATATTCATTCTGGGTTATATTCCCCCCATTACCTAATTCTGAACCAACTTTCCATTCACACGTTTCCGCCCACTAATCCTCTTATATCATGTCAACCCTTCTAATTCTATCCAATTATTACGTAACTTGTCTTATCACTGTTCTATTACCTCTAAAATAATTATCACATAATGTATAAACTCCATTCAATTATTACATCACCCACCTTTAATTGTTTCCTTAGTTCTAACACCAATTAACCTCTGACCTTTTCTAGCATATATATATATATATATATATATATATATATATATATATATATATATATATATATATATATATATATAGTTATTATTCCAGTTATGCACATTCATTTATGCCAATTGTTTTACACTATCTTAATGTAAATTTTTATCACATATTTGGTTGTAAGCAGCTGATGAGAAACCTCGAAATATTATGAATTCATACTATTCTGCATCAATATTTGTTCTTGCTTTATTTAAATTCATAAAGGGAACTAACTGCATAAAAGTGTTTCTTGACACTAATCTAGCGTTTGATTCCCTAGGTTGACAGGTTTTACGACTGTTTTTTACGGGAAAGCGTACGAAGAAAGTATGTTAACAACTTACAAACTTTAATTGAACATTACTGACATCAAGATTGTCAATCTCGAATGGCGCGCTTAATGGTTCTGTTCGCTAAACGAAACTCCAGCACAACCACCACCTTGAGTAGTGTTCGTCAGGCCTGTTCGGTTTCTTTATTTTTATTTAACTTCGTCACAGACATTCTCTCAAAGATAACAATCTCATCGTCGGAATTTTCAGGGAATGACCTTTTACGAAGAAATTCACTTGTCAACTTAGAATATGAAGGTAATACAGTTTTTTGGTGACGATATTGACAAGATTCAGGGTCGTCTGATCACCTTAACCAATAATATAAGCATTTTCGGGATGATATTCTCTTTTTCAAAACCCGAATTATTCCTATAGGACAGTGCTAATGCCTGAAATAATGACAGAGGGTAAAGTTGTTGAGAGCTTTGTTAACGTCATATATCTTTGAAGTATTAGTATTCTCGGTTGATTGGTGTTTGACGTGATCTTGGCACGGATTCAGAAACCCACCGGATTATTGACAAACTGCATCACCTGTAAAGTAGAAGAGATGTCCATCGGCTACGGAAGTTCGATACACTCTACCTTATAGTTGGGAATCGTGGTCTTTAAATCAGAGAATATTCGTAGGTTGTTTGAATGTGTTCACAAATAATCTCAGAAAGTTGCTCGCGTGTTGGGATCACCAAGTGAGAAATGGTGAAATTAGACACAGGATGCTAAGTAATGATGGGAAGTTGGTTGGTGAAGTAAGGAATATCCATCGACTGTAATGATTGGAATAAGTATTATGTGAGCCAAACCACAGTGGAAGCGTGTTGTTTGCTGGTGTAGGACATTGTTGAAAGAGCTAGGGATGGCCAAAAGGAAAAGTGTTATGAGTCAATGAGAAAGTTGACTTCTGGATTGGGTTGTGTTTATTATGTACAAACTACCTGTTTAGGGTTCACGCGACCGTTGTAACTAATGGTTAGAGATAATGAGTGAGGGGGCTCAGAATCAGTTGCAATGAGGCAGATGGATTCACTATCTGTCTTTGTTTAAATATTAAGTTACTAAATTGTTATTAATTTTTTATTAGACAAATCCACATTTTATTGTAAAATCATTTTTTTATATTATTGCCATTCCATTGAGTATGACGGACTAACCAATCGGTGCGAGATGCTTTACTTTGTAGATGAAAGTTGAAATCTCCATGATTATAAGTAAAATTATTACTGTTTTATCATGGGTAGAAATATACATTTTATTGAACATCTCAATAGCCGTTTCAGATGTACAAAATTAGGTAATTAACATCCACCTAATAAATTAATCTGAAATAAACAAAACGAGCTATAAATATTACTCAAACAAAAACTCCAGAATCCCTTACAACAACGAAGTCATAAGTAACTGACAGTAAAAAGGTCAATTTAATAAAAAGAAAAACTCTCATTTCTTTCAAATTGGAACGAAAATAATACTATAACATAGTTTAGATCGTTTTTTTTACTATTGTTCTGATGGAATAATATTTATCAAAAAAGCACATTTTTTTCATTTCAAGTAGTTTTGCACATCCTTTAGTCTTTTTGTTGAGTAGATTGTTAGAATGACTGGTGTCAAACTCAAAAGACTTAAGTTATCAAGTTTGTTACTTTATCATTATCACTGGTAAACAGTATAGATTCATTATTTACATGTCACTTCACATAACTCGGTCAAATCCAATTATATAATTCTAATTTAGGACTCCTGAACAGTATGTTTGTGTGACAAGATTGATACCTTTAGATAGTTATGCTTAACCAAGCAGACTATATATTATACTTTAGTTTAGTTTGTAATATTACTCTACAGTCAAAGAATCCTTTTATGGGCAAAAATTAGTCAGCTCACAAACATCTAAATCAAGTTCTAGTTCTGATCTCTCACAAAATGTACGGACCACTGGTGACCATGTTGATCATGAGTCAGATATAACTGATAGCAATCAAATAGAATCGCCTTTTATTTCGAGTTTATCAAAGTTGAAGATTATTACATTCTAACTCAACTGTGTAAAGATACTGTGAAAATTATAACCTCTAAGGGTTTGACTCTATCAAGTGTTATCCTGTCCGGAGATAGAATGAAATAACTATACAGTGTTTTCCGGTTTCTAATTAGTTCTGTAATTAATGTCAACTCGTGGCAATAATTGATCTTAAAAGTAGAATGATGTCCATAAAAGCATAATGCCTGGATAAAGTCTAAATGACGATGTTAAAGAAAATAGAACATTAGTTGAGAGGTCGAATTTTTCACAGTTAGAATAGCTTTTTATCACGTTCAATCCTCCTGTCAGAAGATGGGAAAATGTAACATACTTCTGAACAATCACTCGAAATCAATACCTGTTTGAAAATAAATTTACTTTTTTATTATAGTTATACTGGTTTACTGTTGAATTCGGCTTATGTAATGAAAATGGTGAAACACGTGCACTAGGTGCTGGAATTATGTCATCATATGGTGAATTGGAAAATGCATTTAGTGACCACTCCGAGAAACAACCTTTTAATATAAATAATGCAGCATTACAAGTATACGATGATGTTGGCTATCAAAAAGTTTACTTTGTAACTGAATCTATCGAATCGATGAAACGGGAACTTCGGTTTGTTCTTATTTGATTTTTTTTTAAAACGATGTATCTATCGAGAGGTTATTATTATAATAAACATTTTAGTGATGAATATGATACCACTTATAAGTAGTATGTCCCTTTAAAGTGTCAGAAGTTTTTATCAAACAATCTCTTTTATAGAATGGCTTGACTATCTGTGGTTTAGCTCGATTTTCAATTGAAATGTTGTCATGAGCAGGAGGAATAATTGTAGAGCGACTCATGTTGAGTATGAAATACTTTTTAGGTCAATAGGCCTGTAGATACTGGAAACCATAAAACGAACTTTAATAACTTTCTGTTGATAAAATGAATAAATAATAATTAAAAACAAATTAGTTAATTTCTTTCAACTCACTTGATAATGCATCGTTCAATATTTCCGTTAATAAATACATTCTTCATACAGGCTGGATGTCTCAATCTCTTTTTGGATCCTATTAATGTAACATCGGCTTTGATGCTGATATCTTACACTAAGTTGGGGCCCACCGACAATATTGTTATAGAATGTAAACAAGACCTACTAGTTTACTAACGATCTCTTAAACTTTAGGCTATTGAATTGACGTTTAGTGATTCTGATTTCTAATTTCTGTTGATCTCAGATATTGCTTTTTGTGATACATGATAGAGGTCTGGAATTTCTGGATTTCACCGGTTATGACATTTGAATAGAAATCCAGGGATCAATGTAGAATTTAGTTATTAGTGAGAACATGATAATTATTATTGTAGATAGCATGAGGAGATTTTTCACTTAATGGTTTTACATCACAGAATGACAAACTGAATGGTTGTACTAATTTTTACAAATTCTCAATGAATAAACATGACCAAACAAATAATTCTATGAATAATGTAGCTGAACTGAGTTATCGTAATGACAAGATTGTTATACTGAATCATACCACTGAAAACATTATTTTTCTGTCTATTCTCATAGAGCATGTCATACTTAAAAGTTATTTTTCACTCCATAAGTGTACATACAGTTTTACATTTTAGAAGATTTTACAATCAATCAGAAAAACACTTCTCATTGCATTATTGAGACAAGTTAGACTGTTTACAACAAGAATAATTAAGCAAAAGTATTATTCAAACTATGTAACAATATAGATTGAAGTCAAACGTATGAGATCATGTAACCGGAAAACGTAACAGCCTAAAATATTAATTGATAAACTACTTACTTCTTATTACCATCACACAGATAAAGAAATTTACAACTCATTTGTAATAAAATATCGACTTTTTAAATATAACGTGAAAAAGAAAATATTCGCGGTAGATCAACTTAGATAACTCACTGTTAATGGATCAATAAACCAATTTTTTACTTGAGAAAAATTAGTATCAAGACGTTTTGTGGATATTATAGTAATGTTAATAGTTGAGATCATTAGTCAATTGAAGCTAGACCACCATGGAAAACCTGGAAGCACTGGATGGCCGTTTCGTCCCATTGTGGGACTTCTTATCAAGTATCGTAGATGCGCACAGCTGAGGAGTCCCACAATAAGACGAAACGGCTATCCAGTGCTTCCAGGTTTTCCATGATGTTCTAGCTTCAATTGACTCATGATCTCATTTATTAAAATTGAAAAAAAATTAGTTTACTTTTTTATTTAATAGTCTTGGTGTTTTATACTAACATCATTTGGTTTAAAAACAAACGATCAAAGACAATGGTGTTCAATTTGTTTTCATCTATCATTTAAATCTCTAACAGTAATGACATCTTTTTTTGTCAAGTGAAATTAATCATCTACAAACCTCAGTCTTTATCATTACATTTCTGAGATGAATGATATTAATTACTGAACAGAAATGAAAACTTCTGTATGATTGTGTAGTAACTAGTAAAGATTGTTTTAATTTTCATTCTGTAATTAATTTCAAAACGAATAGGCATTAAAAAAACACCATAGTAAATGCTCTTAATTTTGATGAGATTAGACGAACTGTTGAAACAGAATATGAGAACCTAATGGTTACAAATTAAAATCTAATGCAAACATAATAAGATGTTTTGTACATAAAAAAGATTGGCTGAATTTGAAATAGAAACCAATAAATTAATGATATGAAGTCTTATAACTTGAACATTAATTGTTAACGAATCAATTTTTGAATGAATGTTACCAGTTCACTTATATCCTAAGATAAATTGAAAATGAAAGATATAAGAAGCCTAATGTACTCCATACCTCATTAATAAAAGCTTGTAATCCTAAATAATGTGAAGTTGAATTAATTTAAAAGATGAAGCTTGTTAATGAGTAATAAAATTGACTGAGACAATATCAGGTGACTTACTCATAAATTAGTCTGATAACAACTGCCAAAACTGAAAAATAATACTTCTAGCTAATAAATATCTCATCACTTTTATAAGGCGTGATTTTACTTGAGTAGTTTATACGGTAATCTACTATAAATAATCGTATCTCCCAATAATCGAAAGTGTAACTTAGTGGTTCCATTTAAACAGACATCTGGATAATATATATACATACGTTAGTCTTTCTCCTACTATAGTAGAGATGTAATGGTCTAAATTCAAATAAACCTATCAATATACGTCAATTTATTAGTGATTAGACGAACAAACGAAGTGATAGAAATAATAGTTATCAGTTAAATTTAAACAGTTCATGATTACGTAACAATTATATAACAAACAATTTTTTTATTTTTCAAACAATCTATACAAATTGTTTGATCATTCTTATTCATTTATTTTTTAGAAACTACATAAATACATTTACAAAATCAACATTTGCAATTTACGATGCGATCACAGAAACAGTGCATATGAACTCTAGATTTTCTATTCGGAAAGAAATCCTGCAACATGTGAAAGAAGAAATTGGTCAGTTAGATACATTGCTTAATCATTCTAACTATACCTTATCATGAAAATTGATTCTCAATATAGAATCTTTATCGTAAATTTATTAAGTAAAAAAATGGTCATTATAAAAGAATTACTGTAACATATGAAAGTGATTTGCTACTACTCAGAAACTTCTGTGTGTGTCTGTTGTTTGTCCATAAACTAAAATTGACATAATTTGTAATGGATTGTTTAACATTAGTTAGATTACTGATACTAATATCAATATGAAGCATAAATGTTCAGTGATTTGATCATATTTAGATACGGGGAGAATATACCATGATCGTACTATGTATTCGATGCGGAACCTTAAGGTTTTACTGTGAACGTTTAACAGATGTTCTGTTTCCCATAGTTTGTAATGTTGACGTAAATTCATAACGAGTACCACTTAGAAATTAAATAAATTTACAAAAACTTCATTCAAACTAAAATACCTCATTTAATAAATTCTCATCGATTTTTATAGTTCTTGGGCATTAATTTAAATGAAAACATGAGAATAATAATCGGAATAAATACAGATAACTGAAGCAAACGGAACGAAAATGGTGCGTGTATTTATTAGCAGCTGACTATGTAAAATACTTGAGAACCACTGGCCAGACACAGACAAATACCAGATGAGGAAAAATTGGGACGATACGCTAGAATTCTATAGGACACACTCCATAAGTCATCAAACTGCACCACAATCCAAGCCCAAACATCAGGGGAAGGGGTATATACATAGGCCATATTAGATTATTTTTATACTAGGGATGTGATCATTAGGTCGTTTGATCTGAAGTCCGTCAAGTTAAGGGAAGAGGATGAACCCTATGGTTCCGAAAATTGCTTCAAAGTTTTATTTCTAAAGGTGATTGCTTTTCTTATTTCGATGATTTTAGGCTTAATCTCCTCAGACAAACTACTGATAACATGATAAATAATTGAAAATAATCATTTGGTGTTAACATTGTGGTTTATTTGAACTATATGAGTTGAGATGGATCTATTGAAAATCTTCATTAAACCATTATTTCATCAATGTGAAAGATGTTCATAAAAAATCAGCCAATGAAATCGCTTCTAAGGTGAAATTAAATTATAGCTTATAAAACACTTCTCATCATATACATAATCAAGCATCAAATTAGCTTCAAAAGCAATCGTACTATACTGTAGACAGTGAATGGACTTCGGTGATTTCTATATTTAGTCTACATACTAACCTACACGAACTTGTTAAACTTTAGAAATCAATGTACATTTCAAATTTGTCCAGGTGGAGAAAGATGAAGTGGTTGAATCTGTGAAGGAAAATTTATAATTTTTCGATGATGAATTGTTGCTGAAACAATTTTGTCAGAATCAGTATTTATATACAGCCTATTATCATATTCTTCTTTCATCCACACACTCTATGTAACTGTCAACAGATCTTGATGTTCACCATCTTAACTACTGAAAAATGTATAGCTACGAATCAACTAAAGTTTTGTTTAGGAAATAACACTACGGTTGTATTTAAGAAAGTTGATTGTATTACTTTATTGCTCCTAAATATGATTTATAAATGGAGCATACATTGGTATATTCTGCTTTGCATTACACTGTGTATAAGGGATAGTGAAACCAATTGACTAAATCGAAGTTAGTAATCTTGGTATTTAAGCCTGTGATCTAATGATTTAAACACGGGTACTTTAAACAATAAACGACGATAACACATTGTAATACATATATGGAACTCCACAACCCTATACTGACAATCATAGTTTGCTCACAAGTAATTGACCTTGAAAGAGGATTCTCGGAGTTCTAATCAGAAGCCGTGACCAGTGGAGTGTAACCGTATTGGGTGCGAGGCAGTTATTCATCGAAGACAATGAAAGATGGTCGCGTAATCTCGTGGGTTGACTGAGGTTAGATCTTAACACTGTTGGTTGCCGTCTCAGTGGCCTTGAGGTTAAGGATTCTCGGCCGAGACAGAAGGTATTAGACTTAAGTACCACTTGGAGCCGCACTCTTGAGGAGTTCCACTCTAAGACGAAACGACCGTCCAATGCCTCCAGGCTTTTAATGGTTTTCTAACATTGATCCGTCCATGATTTCAATTATTTTGAGCAATCTCCACAACCCCATACTTTTATATAAAGTAAGAGGTGAAAATATATTGTCCTCAGCAAATGACAGCGACTTAAAAAATAGGAATCTATTACACCTAGTCTGTTTGTTTGCTCACAAGTAACACCAACATATAATCAAACGTATTCGAGTACTGTAGGAAATGTAATTTACTCTGTGAATTTTCATTTGGCTTCTGTGTTTAAAATACTAGTCAGCTGTTGAGTTAAAAGTCTCAAGCAGAAAAGTCTCTAAATAAGTAATTCAAAAGCTGGGGATTCAAAATTTCTTCTAAATTATATTCCATTGTGAATTAACGAATGACTTTGATGCCTATCTTTTGACAGAAAAGTAATGGGATTTTGAATTATTCACCTTATGAAATCAAGCAGTCGTAAATACAATTCAAGCAAAATATGAATTTGAGTTGTACGTTCTTAATGAAGCTATAGGAAGAAAGCTTTAAACTCAGATATCACTCAGTTTGTTAATAATCGCTAAGGTGTATCTACAATCGCGTAAGAAACTATGACCCCTACAAGATTTTAAACCACACCACTCACTATCATAGAAAAAAATTTTACCTCTGAACTGTTTGAGACGTAAGTGAACCCCAATAAGATGTAAATATTCAGCACGTAAAAAAACGATAGCGCTGATAATAAATTTGGCCAATTATAGCTAAAAATAAATTATTGTACTTTTACGTAAGAAGCCTCAAATGTTTTAGCTGCTATTAGATTACAGAATTCTTCACTAAATTTTAATTGGTTTAGTGACAGTATCTTAGTGACATTGAAGAGGGGGAGTAAAATGTTTGATATCAACGCAAGTGTGAAAATGTTGAGTAAGGTTAAATCTTAAAGTTTACATCACGAACTGAACTTCGTTGAACAACCGTCGGGAACCAAGAATCACTATGCAGCTGTTTTATCAACTCACAGGATTTGTCATCACTGTGTATCCAGTATCTTGCAGGTGACTGGACCATCAAATCTTATGGTTAGCCTTAAACCTTTAGATTAGTGAATCAACACCCAATGATTTACATCTCTAACTTTCAGTGGGAAACCTTGGAAAATGGAGTTCAACCACATTGTGTGTAAGACAACTATTTATCAACGGCATCGAATGATGATTGCACAATAATGTGGACTGATTAAAATTAGACATGGAAACCATCAGATATCAGTTCAGCGGTCTCACTACTGGAGTTAAGCCTTTTGATGTGTCGGTAGAAATAAACGGATTTCTTGTCAGCTTATCCTTGGGACACGTGTGATTAAACAAGAGCCCCTAAATGAAGAGTCTGCTCTTCCTCTTGAAACACTCTCACATGGCTACGTGCACACCAAAGAAAGCAGATCTGAGCAAATGTGAAAACTATAGAGGTATCACACTACTGTCAATGCCAGGAAAATTTTTAAATAAAGTGTTGCTAAATCGGATGAAAGACTCAAGAAACTCCCATCTTCGACATCAACAGGTTGGATTCTGAAACGATTGGTCGAGTACAGATCAAATCACGACACTATGGATCATCGTTGAACAATAAATTGAATAAAACTCATCATTATACATCAAATTCCTTCATTATGGAAAGGCGTTTGACAGCGTGGGCAGGAGGACTTTACGGAACCCTCTTAGATAGTATAGTGTATCTGAGAACGTCAATATCATCCGGAATTCATACGATGGACTAGACTGTCAAGTCCTGCATATAGGCGAGATCACAAATGTCTTCCAGGAGAATATTGGTGTCAGACAAGACTGCTTACTCTTTCCCTTCCTCTTTCTTCTGGTGGTTGACTGGAATATGAAAGCCTCCATAACTCATGGGAAGCACGAAAAACATTCAACAGCTTGCATGCAGCAAGACGACTTACACTTCGCAGATTATTTGGTCCTTCTAGCCTATACCTACCAACAAATGATGTTCAAGACAAACAGTGTAGCAAAAGACCCCACATCAGTAGGCCTCAACATACACAAAAGGAAAAGTTACATCCTCTAATACAACACAGAGAACACCAAACTAATCACACGTGATGGAAAAGCTCTGGAAGAGGTGGAATCTTTCATGTACCTGGGCAGCATCATAGATGAACGAGGAGGGTCCGAGACAGACATGAAGGCGAGGATTGGCAAAGCAAGGACAGCATTCCTACTGTTCAAGAACGCACAGAACTCAAGACAACTGTCAACCAATATCAAAGTCAGAATCTTCAATACGAACGTCAAGATAGTCCTAATGTACGAAGCTGAGACATGGAGAACTACCACAACCATCACCAGAAAAGTGCAAGCATTTATAAACGAGATACTCAATTTCCGTTGGTCGGATACCATCAGTGACAACCTACTGTGGGAGGGAACAAACCAGGTCCCAGTTGAAGAGGAAATCGGGAAAAGACTTTAGAAGTAAACAGGAGATACATTGAGTAAATCACTAAACTTCATCACTAGGCAAGCGCTTACCTGGAGTGTTCAAGGGAAACGGAAAAGCGGAAGACCACAGAACACACTGAGTCGTGAATTAGAAGTAGATATGAAAAGGATTGCCCATGACCGAGTTCGATGGGGGTTGCTGGTGGGCGGCATATTCTGATAGAGTTGCATGGAATTACCCTGCAAGTTAAGTTGGAACTACAACACAGTACTTCCAGGTGTTCAATGGTGGACTATCATTCATGGATTCATGATCTCAACCATAAACCTGACACTCTCCACAACTTTACACTGACAATTCGTTGCAACCAATCAAATTCTTGCCTTAATGAAAGTTTGTTAACTGTTCGCAGCATATACCCTTCTGTTCGTTGAGTGACGAACTTTAATATTGTCGTTTGATATAATTGGGCTACCAATTTTAAGACTGGGCGGCGTCTGGCTCTCCTGTTAAACGGGATTGAGCTATACTGTTTGGGTTGTCGCGTGAAAGTCTGGTTCTCTTGAAAGCCAATGTAAATTTGCCCTGGCCCACAAGGGTGTATTATATAACTTTCAGTTTGATAAATTCCGCTAATAAGTAATACACATTTATAATGTTGGAATTATTTATGAACTGAGTTAAATCTTCCTTGATTTTTCGACATGCTGCTAAGGGATTCGGTCGTTTATACTACGTTGTGCGAATGGACGCACTCTATTGTGACTGATTCTGAGCGAATAACTTTGTTAAATAAGGATAATAGCTACCCCTTCATATAAAGAAGAAAACAGTTAATGCTTTCAAGGAATTTATTACTATGATTTTATTAATTTTGTATGATTACACAATCTCTTTCGATTTCATTTTTTTCTCTCCTTTAAAGAAATTTTATTGCAGTCATGCACATAAAAAATATTGACAAACATGAATAATTAATATAAAATAGAAAAGACAGTGAGAGGGGAACACTATTGTTAATTGCATCACAAAAGCACATCCACGCACACAAATGGTGCAAAACTCTTTTAAAGACAAGGTGAATGGATATATGCACATTTTAGAAGGAAGAAATTTATCAAAATGTGTGCATAGACGATATTTAAAGAATTACTGTACATGCATATACACGTATGTGCAAAATAGAAATCGTTTATTTTACGAACCAAGTGGTATTAGTAGTAGAACATAAGGAGAATTTTGTTTTATACGAAGAAAAAACAAATATGTTGGGTGCATACAATTATTTACACGTATAAAAAACATACAAAGAAAGGTAGGAGAATAAAAAATACAGAAATTTCATGAATACACAAGCGAGAGGACAAATAAAATGTGGAGTTTCCAATAAAAGATATACACTTCTCTCTTTGCCCACTAAGTCTACAGATATAAGTTGCTCGAAATGGAAGTAACAGAAGTCGAGAATGAGGGTAAATAAATAGAGGTTCACAGAAGGCAAAAAGGGTCATTTCTTTTGTGTGGACAGAGCGGCACGTGTGTGTGTAAATACAAATATTTTTTTCTACATGAATCGATTATGCACATTATTACTATAATGAAACGTATTCACATTAATAAAGAATCACTAAGTCTTCGATTGATAATTCATTTCAATCTTACTCTCATAAGTCTCTCTTCTAATTCGCTGCCCCTTATATCTTTCACCTGAAAAGCAACTTCGCAATGCTGTTACTAGTAGTTTCGTACAAATTAACTGTCTAGCAAACGGAATGAAATAGAAAAATGAGTAAAGAATATATAAAGTGAAAAGTTCGCTGTCCCTACCATTTTCCTTTAGAATAAATTTTGGTGTAAAACATATATGCTCCAGTTTACATGTGATAAAACAACAACAAAATTGAAGAGTATTGTCAAAAGACGGTCTTTGAGATAAATTTAATTATATGACAAAACAGATAAATCGATCTCAGGCGATGAAAATATAAAGGAAATATACACCAGTACACACAATGTACAGTTTATTCACACAAAGCAAAAAATGAAATATGAATCACGTTGATATACATACATAAACCGGAACTGATGCATTATTCAGTAAATTTTGATTCTGATTTCAAGTATTTCTCAACTTCAATTAAAGAATTATTCGCGTCGACCATAAGCTAAACGAATTGGAAAGAAAAATAAGACGTATAAATGTACATAAATTCAAAGTAATAATAAGATAGAATCGTTTGATTGAGTAGTCCTCATTACTGAGCTCTTAGTGCTAATCGAATACATTCGATCACTTTGCACAATGCGTGACTAACAATCTAAGCGAATAAACATTGTAGTGTATATTTTTTGGTGCTATAAATAACAGACAGAAATTCCTAGGAAACGTGAAACTTCACGTTCGTTTGAACTCGTCAAAGAGGAGTAACAGCAATGTGAACACTTATCTTAGTGGCAATCGTTGGTCACCGGCTACCATGGGACTGCATCTCCTCACGATGCTCCACTGCCTTGTGAGTCAGACCTTTAGGTCAAAGGCTCGGGGTGTGGCCTCCTAACAAAACCACCTGCTTCGGTTTGGGCACCCGGGCAGTATCACAGCCTTCACACAAATCAATTGAGATTCGTGTGGCGCATATCTATTTGGTGCCTTCTTGTACCACTACCTATGTGTTAAAATAAATAAATAAATCTTAGTGGCAATGTCTGTGAGATAATGTGAATTCCAATCTGATATGTGATAGTTAAAATAAAATGTGATTGATTGTTGAGCGTGGACAAACAAGCACTTAGACCTTTGACTATTAACTATGTGATTTCCTTTCCTCTCGTTGATTTTTACTTCGAACTCACTGAGGGTGACTGCTTGTAGCTGTGTTGAATGAAGTATTATCTAGTCTATACTCTGGTTCTCTATTTTGGATCACGAATCCTGGATCTGACCATAACGTGACTAGTCTCATCATCGTATTAACGCATTATCGTAGCATACTTGAGAAAGGAAAATATTTTAAACCATCCGTTATATATCACAATCTTTCAAAGAGTATGTTTCTCAAGGGTTGCTCACACAACTTCCGAACGAAATCTAACTGACATGGAACATTACTAGTGTAATGCAAGAGAAATAATTATAAACCATATTATTGAAATAGTTTTTCGATCACTAATCCACATACGTCATTCTCAACTGCTTATAAAATATCAGTAGTAAATATCATATGCCCTAGAAAAAATAGGGCATTTAATGAAGATAAATTTGGGAATAATTTCTATCAAAAAATGACATCTATGAGAGCGGTACAGGAAGTGTTCCACTTTAGTTTTAAACAGTTCATTATTATTTGTACACTACCTTAAATAAAACTAAACCCATCACCTTTCAAAGCCGTCTAGTGAAGAACGTAACAACTATTTAGACATTGAATAGAGAACTTCAATTATCCATTTATTCAAATTAAGAGGACGAGTTTTGTGTGTGCTACTTATACCGACATAAGTAGGATATGATGTTAATCGTGAACAGAATGTCTGGCAGCAGAGAGACAAGATTATCGAACAGCAAAGAATGGAAATAGAATGCAAGAACAATGAAGTCTGAGTCATTTTGAGACAATTGATGGACATTTTGCAAATCAAGCATTTATTATATGATTGTTACATTTTATTAACAAGTCCTGCGATTTCGTGTCAAATACATTCGATTATCCCCATTAGTGTTCTCTTCACTACATTTGGTGTCGCTGCCAACCAGGAGAGGGAAGGGTGCTGTTCTGCAGACGCCGTTGCGGGTCTAGAGCTGAGGTGTCGATTGGGGCAGTCTGGTGCGGAGAGGCGGCGTCTAGTGGAGTGTTCTGGCGGGGCGGCATTGGCTATAGCGGGTGCTGCCGACGGAGAGGAGCGGTGGGACGTGCGGCTGCTGGGCGGACATCGGATGTAGATAGCTCAGCAAGCCGGTGGAGCACGGGTGATAAACGTTCCAGGTGCCGGGTGGATGTCGGATGTTGGTGCCCTGGCAGGTCGACGGAGCTACGAAAGTCAGCGCGCCGCAGACTCAACATTTTGACGGAAGGTGTAGCACAGACTACAGGAAAGAAGAATGTTGCACGGCGAGCATGATCCATCGCAAGAACGACTGCTTTAAAGGAAGGAAGAGTGTGGTCTGAAGGTACGCATGATCGTGGACGCGTACTGCTGTAGAGTTCCATACAAAGACGAAAGAGCGGTCCTGTGCTTCCAAGTTTTCAGTGGTGGTCTAGGTTAGATCGACTCGTGAATTCAGCTATGAAAATACTACAAACTCCACAAATCCCCATACAGATTATCATCTGTTTAATTTGGGAGAATAAAAAACACTTATCAATACACTTACCTCATCTAATTGAAAGTAAAGAAATACAGATTGTATTTTAGTTCGTATTGAACGTGAAAAAGGATAGGAACCAAGTAAATCAGCAATTATTGTATAGGTACACGCATTGAAAAGTTGTATAGAACCTTTGGAGTTTTTTTGTGTAATTATAGCTTTATGAATAATTTGGTCTAATGTATTACTATTATTATCATGAGATGATGAACAGGAGAATACGTTCGATGATAAATTTGATATAGAATCTAATAGTTGATTACACCACATATCTTGTTCAGTCGTCTGTTGGTCACATTGAAAATCTACACCAAATTATTTTATTTTTTAAAAAATACAAACATGTAAACATTTACGGTTTATACTGTGATTTAATTTCACATTTATCGACAAAGTATGACAAAAAAGAAAAACAAAAATTAAATAATGCATTGATGAAAGTTTCATGTGAATGATAGTAATTCGATAAGTATTTTAGCAGCCAAATACTTCGTCTATACAACTAAAAATAATGAGTAAGTAATGGTTGTTTACCTAGGATCAATCTAAGATGTAAACAATGAAATTCAACCATCGCCGCAAACAGAATCTTCTGTTACATAAAATGGGTCATATGTAAGTTCTCACATTTACTGTAACAATTATTCTTTTCACTTTATAAATATCAAAATATATCTCTTGCAACAAACACATTGTATTGGGTTTTAACTGATATAATCACTCTAGTTTCAGGCGCCGAAAATATTCCAAAATGGTAAATGTGACAAAATCGAGTTTTCACACTGAGACAGATCTTTTTTCGTTGTCACGTTTATGAAATAGTCAAGTATGTCCCAATCTATTAGATTTCTTTTCAGTAGGAGCACTGGGAGATGCCATAAATCAAACAATAGTGCAGTAGCAGCATCCAGAACATACGTCCCGTCATTAAATGCTTCTTAATCGAATGCAGACAGACGATTGATTTACAATTTTAGGTAGTGAAACGCAAACTGTTAGATTCCGATCCAATGTATGGATAACAATTGTAATAACAACATGCTATTTACGAAATGACAGGATTCTGACTTGAACCCAGTTGTTTGAGGGATTACGTTTTGTCAATTTGATTAATTAATAAAACACGCAATCAAGAAAAGTATTTACTCAACGAATTGACAGTATATGAATATAATTATGGCAATTTTCAACTTCTACCCCTTACACTAATTTCCTTTACCAATTATATTTACTTTTGGTGTTAACTGAACGTTTGAGAAAATTTATGCTGTATTAGGTAGGATGATAAAGATCGTGTAGCGGTGACCCATCCAACTTTATTATGAATGTGACCGAGGGTGAAGATTGGAAATCTTTCTAACAATTCGTCAGTGTTAATTTAATAAATACAAACAATTCTTCTTACTCAAACATCTCGTTATTTATTCATTTCATAGAAGACGACCCAAACACTATATATATATATATATATCCCTGAGTGATGACAAAAGATATGTTTATCTAATTCTCAGTGGTGATCGAACCTGTAGCCAGAATAGCTCAGGCATAACGCCTTAGATAATGAGGCTGGATGATGCAGGTCGAAATCCGTCAGGGAGCATTATTTTTATCAACCCTAAAGGCACATCTTGATGTTGGGTGGCGTCTAGTCCAAAGTGGCAAGTCGGCTACATCCGTCTTACATACATCAAATATAGATAGAAACACTCTACGAGTAATATGTGGACAAACAGCAACTGTTGGAAATTTACCTACTAAACAAAACATAACTACCATTGAACAAAACGACAGTTATTAATAATATTACACACATGTGAAAATAATAAAAATCCTACTATCACTAACCACTATTATCATTGTTAGTCAAAGAACATGAATAAGAAAGACATGTACTAGGTGATAGACAATTTAAACGAACTGATGGGTTCGCTTTATTTTCAGTATAACTCCATTCATTATTATTATTATCATTGGTTTCGTCATTTGTATTCTTCAACTGATGGTGATGCTTAATTGATAACTCAGGAGATTGTTTTACACCAACCGGAAAAATACACTCTTCAGATGACATTTTTACAACAGACAATCTGGGCAAATCATTATCATTTTTAGTCAAATTTGTTTCATTCACTTCAGATGAAACAAGCCAATTGTCAACTGCACCCGATTTTTCAATTGAATGATTTGGTGAAATACTTAATTCACTGCACACAACAAATGGTTGAAATGGAAAAAAAGAAAACAAAGTAGATGAGGTAGATTTCAACTAAAAATTGCCGGCTAATACGAACAACTAATTTATTCAACAAACTATCATTATTAAAAAATTCCCACATATTTTAACATCATTCACTATGTCTTTATTGGATGATGACGTGTTAAATCGGTTTTACATCAAATAGTTTTTTCGTCCGATGAATCGATTGTTAAAGCCTATTAGTAAAACGCTGATCAATTAATGAGACGATTTGGCTGAGTGATGGACACACGGGACCGATTCATCGACATATCATCTCGTCCCGAATGGCTTGAGATCAAAGACAAGAGCGCTAGCCAGAGGAACAGAATCTGAACACAAAATAAACATGATAAAATGACGCGGACGATTGGAAGAAGTTAGCTTGTAGGTCATTCACTCTCCAATCAATTAAGACTTGAGTATTGGATTTCATTTTTGGCCGTCATGTCAATCAGTGTAAATATACACAATAACAAAGATTCGTTTTAGTTACCAAACTTACTCTAAAATACGTTTTCTGAAGAATAGGGAACTAAGAAACACACACATTTTGAAAAAGATTGGTTGATTGAGAGGTTGGGTGATAGTGTTCCACTTAAATACGTATTACTAAAAACCCAACTTCAAATTATTTGATCTAAACAAATCTCTGCAAACGTGCAGAAACTTCAAAGATAGAGGGATATGGAATCGAAACCTATGAATCAATGTCGAGGATAATAAGCTTCCATTACTATAATTAACGAATTTTATGTTAGGATCACTGTTAAAATCGATCGGACTACCAATCTTATTCTTTAAATCAGATGTACTACTACTTAAAATTGTTTACTTTAAAAGTTAATTTTTACAAGCTAATTGCTCACTAATCAATTTTAAGTATGAGCTAAAGATAGTCTTATTAAGTAAAACTGTTCTTCGAAAGTAGGAACCTACAAAAGTTCAGTGTGATTAGAAGCTTAAATAAATATACCAAAGAGTGGGAACACCAATTTTTAAAATATATGGGTAAAACATTTTACGCTACAAATAAATCAATTACTTACTGATTTTTATGCTCAAAATAATTCTGATTAGATGACAATACAGAAGGGATGGAGGGCTGTACAGAAACAATATGAATTTCATCAGATATAAGTGATGATTTTTCAGATGCATGATTTTCTTGGTGCGATGAAGAAATATTTGAATGATCAGTAATTGGTATACTGGCTGGATACAATCGATTTTCGTTGTCACAACTACTTTGCTGTATTGATGAAAACTCATTGACATCATTTTTAGTAGTATAATTAGTAGTATCTGTTGATATTTCATCAGGTATCGATGATAATGTAGATAATTTGTCATTAGAATATAAAGATAACATTGACTGAACGTAAACAGCAACATCAATAAAGGATATTGAATGTTTGTTGTCCAGAGAATTCAGTGATCTAAATAAACAATGTGAATTATCATTATAAAAAGGTTTGATCGATACATTTGTTTTATTATTGAATAATGATGGAGGTGATGATAACTGAATTGATTTAATCGGATTCTTCTGTTTATTTTTAGTATACTTTTTAAAGCCCAATACTTTTATATCAGTTGGTAAATAAGTAATTTGATTTTTGTGTACACAGTGAAACAGCGATTGTAACAGCCACCTGGTATCCGAATAATTGCAATTATGCTTTGAATCGGTCAATTCATGATCATCATGATCAACAGTATGTGCTGATCCATTTGGGGTGAACGAAGGTGACCTGAAATATAATCAGAACGTGTTTAAAATTATTGAAAATTGACAAGTATAAAAATTTCAACTTGAAGGGAATGTATTAGTTTAGATATATAGATATGTCAGCATGTTCGATTACTAAGGAAATTTCATATTATCTAGACTTATTAATGAAAGTTAGCTTCTAATGTAAGAATAGTAGTCCAAAGGCTTTTTAATCCAAATCTCACAGACCTTTGCTGCTATTCGATTGGTTATTTTCACTTTTATTACACGAATTTCACTATAATTCAAGGTTATTTTTGGTGCATTTTCAAAAAAGTTAAACTTCATATTTGCTTTATTTAATATCGATGCTTCTCTGGTCACTTCTTCTATCTGTCAATTTACAATGAACACTTCATTGATTTTTCTAACACAAAATACGACGGAATTTAGCACTTTTGTTCACGCAGTTTACTCAAACTACATTTGTTATGGTACAGAATTTTAATAATCAGTATATAAATGAATCTCATATTGAAAACAATTTATCAACTTGTTAGAGCGGTTTCCAGAAGGTGCGACAAAGCCATCAGAGGCTTCAAAAAGCCGAAGATTCTATCAAATCACAGCCCGATAGACTTTGTAGAATATCAACGTGTCTTGCTGTGATAGGATAACTGTATAAACTTTTTACAAGAAGATTGGCTGGATTACAATCATATTACGACCTATACCAAAAAGTATAAATACACCAATTAAAAATATCTGTAAATCATACACTCTAGCTGTCCATCTATTCAAATCGAATCTTGGTATACAACAACAGTACTGACAACTCACTCCAACGCAGTCACACCATTCTATCATATTCTCTAACTCAAAAGATCAAGAATCTGTTTACTTATTCATAATTTTTTTTTACAGTAATTCATTAGCTATCAATACGAAATTTGATGAACGGCAATCATTTATTTTACAACTATTGTCGTCTTAACACATTTCCTTTAAGTCTACATCGTTACATATAACCCTGTCTGTCTGTTAATGTACAATTGATGATTCAGTGTTGCATTTATTATTGTTAACTTTCTAAAATCATACAACATTGTTTTATTGAATTACAGATTACTTGACTAGATATTTAAATATTTGGACTATTATGATTGAAACATTCGTCAAATGACAAAAGATAATTTTATTTCATTCGAGATTACTATTTTTAAAAATTAACCGTAAATGCCATTTTTTTCAGTTTGAGTATGTGACATTGTCTGCTGAGCCTATTTCATTTTATCTAATAACGCGTAATGGGATTCTTTCATAATTACTTATGTGTACTCTCATGAATTCTAAAATGCTGTTAAATAATCATAAGACAATTTTCTTCACTGAACAATCTTTCGAAACGTTATTCATTCAGTAATATTAAACCAATTCAGCATTTAGCATTAATGAAGTGTGCCATTTGCATTGGGTTACCACGGTTACATATTCAGATCATTAGACATCTATGACAAACTTTGTCAGAATAAATTTACTAGTTAAATGATAAGTTAAGATAATTCATGAAAATGGTTAAAGGAAAAACTATTTCCACCTTGTGAATTTTTAAGTTTATCAGTTTTCAGGTACAGTAATTACCATTGTAATTAGAAATTTGTATCTACTTACAATAAACTGATCATTATAGCCAATAAATAGTTGTCAATTTAGTGTAGTTCCCTTTGGACGATATGTAAAACCATTCCACCTAAATATAAATTGTACGGGTATATTTTTTTTTACCAATCCATTATTCTTAGAATAATCAACAAATCAATCTATATTATTGTGAACACAAAGTTCCGCTTGAACGTGATCAATAAGAAAATTAATCCCAATTATTACCTCTATATTTATTAACAACGAGTATCATGAAAGTATTCGAAGTGGCTTTTTCATTTCTTCAATCAAAATTTTAGCTTAGAAAACAATTCAACCGTCTAAGAAGATGTTTTCATTAAAATAAAGTTTTAAAATAAATATGTCAATTTCTACGTCCAATCGAAACAAATTACGGTACACGGATTTAGAATAACCCGATTACAATAATGTATTATTTACAGCCAATTGACAAACTGATACAGTAAACAGAAAGTTTGCTCATATATACTTTGGACACTCATTTAGAGGAATTTTTCAACAAATCACTTCTAAATATTTATAATCCTTCCCTTAATTTTTAACAACAGTCATAATGAATTTATACCATTGGTATAATAACGTCAGCCGAAATCGAAACCAGGAAGCACTGAACAATTGTTTCCTCCTAGTATGGTTTTCAAAGCCCCGTATACTAGTTAAATATAATTCGTATAGAACAGAATGATGTTCGAACGGTCAAAGCATCATGGACACCCAACCACCAAAAATTATACAATTTAATGGCAACAACCATACATAAAGGTGTACTCACTGCATTAGTATAATTAACTATGAATCTAACATTATACCTTATAGGTTAAAGTTACGGACGGATAGACATCATCAACAGAGCCTGGTACAGATGTGCTTTGGCTTGATTTGCCATACCTGATTAGCACAAGATGAAAATAACAAAATAAATCAAATTATTTAGAGTAGTACTAATGATAAAAAGGAAAACTAAACATTCAGAAAACGAAATCAAGGTGAATAGTGAATGCATCTGCGCCGTTGTGACAGATGCTGAGACAAATTACCCAAAGTATTCAACTACTGATTGTGATTGTCACACATACCCCAACCAGGTAGTTTGCATCTACCAACATTAATTACAACAGCAGTCAATGACTTCATGGAGTGGTGCCACGTTTGATATGGCGGTCTATAACTTTTTCTGTATAAGCAAATGTCTTTTATTGAAGCAATTGATGATTATATGTCTTAACCGCCTCAATCGAAAAAGATTCACTATCTCATAAAAAGATTTACTATATTTACTAAATACCAAATGTCTAACCTCAACATTGCACAGTTAATCGTTCTAAGAAACGTGAGAAATGCTTCGAAAAAACCTATAGTTGAATATTAGTAGTCTACGAATATCTTCCATTCTTAATGGCAATGCTTCAAACCCATAAAAGAGTAGAATAGAATAACAACTTCTCACACCCCCCAATTAATTGAAAAACTGACATTACAATAACGCCCATGTTGATGTACAACAGAATCGGTTGAAACAATATTTCATCCTACACTGACTCGACAGGACAAATGAGATTCGCAAGATAAATGAAGTAGTGAACGCGCCCAGCCACTTCGTGCACTATGATTAGGTTAAGAAGTAACGTAAAGCAGTCTTGATTATTGTGGATTAAATGGGATTGTTAATCAAGGCTCTATATTACGGTAATGTCTTTATTAAACAGAACTGCTATTTATGTATTCTTATTCGAAAAATGTGTCGTCTGGTAAGAGATTAGTCTTTGAAATATTAACTCTAAAAAGAATGTTTACGACAAAAGTAAATAAGAATTGGAAAAGTGGGCAATCATGCTAAATACCACTTGATGGTATTTCGCTATAGGTTCTAACTCGACCATTAATGTCTGAGTAAAAAGCCTTTATGACGTTTATGTACTTCTTTGGTATGACTCCCAATGACAGACGCAGACAAGAAATATTTCAATGGACCAAAACTTGAATACACAATCGATTTATATATATATATATATATATATATATATATATATAAAATCATTAAAAAGCAATTTGTAGTGCACAACTATTTCAAAAACAATAATAACATTTAAATAACTGTATGTTCTGAAAAGATTATATGTTGTTGAAACTTGGAATGAGAAATACAATCATATTCCGAATAAGATAGAAATAAAAATAGATTGTAAGGAGGATTATGTAACCACTTAAATCCTAGTAATCGAATCCGCTAAATTTGTAGTGTTGACGAGTTAAGAAAAACTTTTATGTTCAGACGATTTTCTGAAAACAAACGAGTCTTAAATATTCCCACCAATTACTAACACTACGTGTAAGCAAGACATCACCAGAAGTAATGATATCGAAGCATCTACACATGAAAAAGGTCCGAACGTGTCACCTATTTCGTTGAAAATCAACCGTTTAAACGTGTATGTGTAATAGTTATATTTATCACAAGCATATCTCAGACAAGTGACCAAAACTTGTCATAGACATTCAACTTGAAAACTTTGCACTTAATACCCAAACAACATTTGATCGTATAACTAGAGGATTGAGGATTCAAATATAAATTCAGTTCAGTAAAAAACACATTTACACACAAAGCAGAGTTGGTGTGATGCACATTAAAATGAAATTTCAAAATGTTAGAAATAATAGAGGTGTTCTGATAAAATGATCCACCACATATTTAAAATTATTACGAAAGAATCTAAAACACAGTCTAAGTAAATCAGAGCGTATTTGAATAGCACAGTAAAACGTCAAAAACGTTAAAATCCAGAAAAGAAGAAATAAATCGACGGTTAGTTTACACGTATAAACAAAAAATCACAAATGATAGTCATAGGAGACGAAAATGGCAGGAAGTATTTTGTAATTGCTCAGAAAACGGAACTAGCGCATGAAGATATTACCGTAACTCGGAGCTCTAGCTAATGAAATAGCCACGTTTAAAACTATGCTTAACGAAGTTCGTAATTTGATGGGAGCACAAAGAATATGACTAGTGTCTTAAATACCAGTGCTAATACTAATTTCAAAACTCCCATATAATATTCAGTATCCGAAACAGTCGTTTTCAGGTATTGATAAGTAAGAAAAGATTTGAAAATCTTAAAATATTAAAAATCTCATATGGAACAATACAATAATCCACTGGTTCGTCCGAATAATTTAACAAATAACTTGGGTATATTATGTTTTAACACAGTTTAAAAAATTTAAAGTTCGAAAAACAGTCATCTTACACAACTTGACGATGTGAAATACAGTCACGATGTGTCCATGTAGAATAAAGTTGTTTAGATGAAATATTGACAGATGGTACATCATAACTGAACGAAGCAATTTGAGTAAAAGAATTTATTGAATGCTTTGGTTTTACAAATGATACAAAATGATGATGACTCGGTAAATGAAATGATGAATGTTCTCTTGATTCACAAATTGGTGGAGAAAACCGTCTATGATTAGGTGACCAACGACGGTGCAACCACTGACGTGAACGATTAAGGTTTCCAAATACTTGACTACGAACAGACGATTTAACAAACTTTTGTGTACTAAGAGGAAGATTTTCATTTTCTTTAAAAAAATATTTAAAAAGTATGAATATTATTGTGCTGAATAATAAATAATACAACAAAAACAAGAGTTAATCCCACAGTTAGTCACCAGTGGTATTGGAATATAGTTGTACAACATCACGAAGTGACCGAAACTAGACATGCAAGCTATTGAATCCAATCTCAATGATCTAGAGTTTAAGCGTTAATCGCGAGGCCTGAAACATACCGAGGTTCGACTGCAGGTTGGGTTGTGGAAGTGTATTGCTAAATTCCATAGTAGAACGAGAAAACTGTCGCAAAGACAGTTACTTTAGTGTATTTTCCATTATCACTTTTATAACGTAATTCACCAAATAAGCATAACACGAATCGAAGCACTATAAGGAAAATTCACCACTTTATATTGCTTAACACCTGGATTTTCTATTATGTTAACAGAAATAAACGTGTAAGTGTAAATTAAATTTTTTCAAAACTAAACCTGCCTAAATGATTGGAAAATAATTTTTCGCAAATTAATTAGATTACACTGGCTTCCAAATCATTTGTTTGTTTAACATCACTCTTACAACACTAAAGAATACTTATCCCACACAGAAAAGAGGTTGGGACAAGAATTGTAACATTATACGTAAATTATGTTTTCATCACTGAACTAATTAAACGACTACTAATAGTAATTTTTCTATTGTTTGTTATTTACTATTGCTACAGAAAGAGATATAAGTGACTAATCGGTGTGTAGGTATAACCAGAATAGAAATTCTTTTCAACGACACAAGCTTAGATTAATGCTATGATGATTAGTTCGTGAGAAATATCTCATCTTTTAATCATAGATAAAATTTTTTATCTGCAAATGATTATCTGTTCGGTATCGAACTCTATAAAACCGTGTCTCTGTTACTATATTGAAGTTGATTGACAATATTATTTTATGAATTCTATCTACCTGCCAAACTGCGTTTTGTTTCAGAGTGAACCTGTTAATAACAGATAATTGAAAACTGATAATTTGTACACCAATCCTAGTGTTTGAAAACACTTATTCGCATAACCGAAAAGGAAAGAGGGAGAGATAGACAGTTGACGTACGAATATTTTAGAAGCTTTCGTAATAGTTTTTTTAAGAAATATTCTATGGTTCCGTGATAGTTGGTGTTAGATTGGATAGGAAAGCCAACCTTTAATGTAAAGAAAAGACAAAAGAGATAACATTGAAATCTAAAGTAATGAATCAATATATATTGTATCAATCTTACTAGTTTCTGCTCCAAAATTAGTGACTGGAGGAATAACAGAAAAGATATCAGAAAGTAATCGATTTGGTTTCGGGTCGGTTTGGATCATTTGTCCACTGAAAGATTGGATTTTCGGGTAGGCCAATATCTCATCTTGAGCTCCTTCATTAGTTTTAACATTTCTATCATAAAATATTTGAGGAATGAATAACCAATCGGATAAAGATTCATCGCACTTAAAATCATTAATGTTCTGTGATGATTGGTTATTTTGTAAGATTCCTAGGCAGTTATGTTGTCGAAAAATTTGATTTGATGATGTAGCAATTAAATTCAAACAAATCCATGCAACCCTAATATTAAAAAAGAGGTCACAGAAAAGAAAATGAAAATTGGGTTAAATTTCAAAGAACAAGGGAAACAAACCCTCAGAATTCAAGATTTATAGGAATATGACGATGTGGGAGGTAAAAATCCCGCTAACAGAAATCCCACCAGACTCTAACATACAATTACATGAAGAATAAAATGCGGTATAAAATAGTTTAACATGGAACTAATTGTAGTAAATGAACATAATCCCCTAAGCATTGGTAAGTTTAAAACAACAAAACGACTGCATAACAGAACTAAAGAGAAAGCGTTGAGCCGAAGTCAATAAGACATGTGGAGTTCCTAAAGAAAAATGCAAAAAACATTAAATTAATAACTGAAAAATTTAGTGGTCCACATTCGGAATAATAAGATGACAATTGAATGATTACATTGGATGAGGGTTACACTATGCTACATTAGGACTAACTGATTTTCAACATATGAACCACAATGATTTAGGATATGTGTCTTAACAAAGCCATCTTCAAAGTCAAATATCGAAGTCTTGGTTTTCTAAACTAATGTGGAGTTGCAAGTATTCGATGCCACAGAATTTGTGTATTCAACCTGGAAACTACATAGTATATTGGGACCAATTGGTACTCCGCAATTGCTATCAGTTGACTATACGATTCGATCTTAATTTGTCTAAAACATCTACATCAAAACCCTGTGAATCAATAATAATCAGTAAATTAATTTCAGCAACAAAACATATTTTTAATCTATAAAAAGCAGTCAATACTTCTCTTTACTAACTGTAGCAACCAAACTAGTGAATAGGTGTCCATAGATAAGCGACTGAATCCTATTTATGGGACACGACCAAAAAGTATATCGCATACTCTTATCTTGAAATTAAACTTCATATCAGCACAAATGTACATGAAAGAAAATCAGATGAAATTTTTTCAAATAAACTCCTTAAGAACAGTAAATCAACACTTTTTCTAAATTGGTGTACCCACTTAACAATAGTAATGTTATTAGGTTATGATATAACCTGAAGAAAACTGGTAGTTGAACGATATACTGAGCATAGCTTAAATTGAATGGATGAAATAAATGTTGAATGTAATACTGAATGAATATTACAATAAATCAAAACGTGATAAATAATTTTATCTCGTCCTAACAAAGTCAGAATAACAACATTAAATAGAAAAATAACTCAGAGATAACCACATTTAAAGTTAAGTTGAAAGAGAAGATTGTTGTTTAAGTTAAAGAGACCAAGTTATTCAGAATTAATTCAATGAAATATTTTAATTTACATAACTGATTGGTATTTCTAGCTTTTTTATACAATGCATATTAATGGAAAATGTATTATGTAAACATAAACTTGATGTTTAAGTTGTATTTTTAATCTTCCAGATACATAGATTTTAAGGGGCGAGACATACCAATAGTGATAATAAATTGATTTATACATTTCTTAAAATGCTAACTTACGCTCTGATGTTCATTGAATTGGAGTGTAAAGCAAAACTGGTTAATAATGTCATCAGTTCAGGATGTTTTAATAACCAATATTGTCCGTAAGATGTTGAACAGGTATGAGCTAAAGCCCACATGTCTGCTTTAAGTTGTAATAGGGAATCAGTATCATTAAAAGTGTTTGTTTCTTCATACTTATCATTGATTATTTGAGGCAAAACAGAACGTATATTAGCAACAGAGGTCTACAATTATTAGAAATAAAAACAAAACCAACACATTATAGGATCCATTAAATCATAACAGAGAAATATTAGTTTATGAGAACAATTTTTAATATAGATACTTAAATATATACAACACAGGACAAAATGGAAAAATATAAAAAAACAGTATGGAAAATCTACGTTCAATATTGCTTTGCTGTTTTGTTAGAAACTAAAAATATATCTAAAACGTGATTTACTTTCTTTATCAGCTTAATTTAATTGTAATAATAATGATAATCATTTATTCAGCACTGATTCATGTACACGGGGTTTTGAGCTATACTTTAGTTGAATGAAAGTGAACGATACTATCCGGCTGAAGAAGGCGGATCACAGTTTGAAAGTGAGATCTACAAATTGAAAGTTAACCTCAAAGTAGTGATCGAAACTTGACAATCCTGACGAACTAATCGAGTTATAATAACCACCGGTTCAAACCCCGTTTCATCTAGTTATTTTCTGATCGAATAGGTATTATTACTTTTCACATTTGAAGTATGGCTCGAAGTCAAATATGCAAATATATTAATCATAACAATAATTGTGCGTGTAAAGAATAACATAATCACACGAAAATGTTTAAAAAGATTAGTACATAAAATGCACATAATTTACCTCCAAATCCTTTCTTGTATTTAACAAGTCGATTCCATTACGATGTTCAGCTATACATGCATAAAGATGTTTTGGAAGCGGTAAACAATGAAAACTATCATGTCCATCAACAACTTGACCAATAGATTGATCATTTACCAACGGAGGAGATACATAGGTTCCGGATACTGAGTCAGTTTCTTCAATAAAATAATTGTCTTCAAAATTAAATTCTGAATTGCTAGGTCGATCAACTCTCTCACTGTTTTCTTCATCATCATTATTTCCATCGTCGGTATTGGTATTAAAATGTAAAGGTGACAGTATTTGTAAGTTCGCTGTTGATGAATCAAAAGATGTGAAACTTGTTGACTTATAAGATGTACCCGAAAGTAATTTCGTTCCATAAGTAACAAACAATGAAGTAAACCGATTGTCCATTTCTTTTGCATAAGCTAAATTATAGTGCTTTAATCGATTTCGACAAAGAAAAACAAGGATAAAACATGTTTAAAATATTAATACATTATCTATAAATAGGAAATAGCTATTACATAAATTCAAGTTTAGGGAATAATAAAAGAAAATAGTAACAAACTTTATTCCAGCACATCTGGCCTTTACCTGCCCCATAGAATAGACGCGAAATTAGCTTTCAGAGTTATCCGTTGAACTTATCATATGCTTTTAGAATTTCTCTACCATATATAACAGAAGTCAGAAGAAGGCATATTGACGAAACTAATCTATGTGTAGAGAAAACGTTTGTATAGTCTATTATCCTGGCCTTCTACTTAAATGCGCGTATGTTTTCTAAAGTTTTTCAATCATAATTACATCTAATTTATACCGTTATTACTACGTAATATAATTGTCCAAATTTCTTCGCATCACTTCCACGAATAATAATAAACATGTACTACCAAGTATGCTAAATGTCCAAGTAAAAATGAGATATGTGCTAACAAACAGGTGGAAGTAACTCGAAAAAAATCTACTAATCTACTCTAAATTTTTTTGCAAAACAATACAAGAATCTATTATGTCGAAATAACACAAACACGAGCTCAGTCACAAAATTCGGAAACATTTAAAAAACAGCAAGCATACTAATCGAAACATCCAATGCCTGAAATAACTGTACAATCTAGGTATTATTAAACAATGACTAACACTAGACTACTTAATTTGCTGTAATTTTCACGTGTGTATTGATAAATATTTTAAACACTTGGAAATTCAGAAAACACTTTAAACTACAAAATATCAGCCTCATTAAACATTAAGTGTAAAGGTAGTCAGTGTTAATGCGTTAAAAAACCAGCAAAGATATTAGTAAAATATATTAAGTGCGAAATGACACCACATAGATTGTATGTAACACAATGGCCTAGTGCAGTTTAGTGTATAAAGCTATGAACCAGAAACAATGATGGCTACAAAACCTCTTGACCTGATTTATTGAGAACAGAATGTCTAATTTAAACAGAAAATAAAAAAATGAATGATTTGAAAACAGATTGCTAATCACTGGAAAACAAATTTAAGCTAAATTAATAGAAAAAAACAAATTAAAATCAAGTCCGAAATGTACAGACAGGTACAATTTGAATTATTACGACTACTATCATTATTAAAACAATTCATAATGATAATTATTAGCATACTTTTATAATATAGAGCATTCTACTGAGTCGTTGTCATGTCGTTTGATATCAGCTGATTGGATGTAAACGTCTATAATTCGATCCCATTTACAGCAGCCAATCTACCACATTGTATCATTGAATTTCATTTATCAAACAGATACTATCCTTTTACTTTAACAATTAAAAACTTCGTTCACTTACTATATCATAAATCATAACAGTGGTAACGGGGATAGGGTAATAGCGATAACCCTTCACCACACCACAAATCAAGAGACTCAAGACCTTTTCTCATAGTCCCTGTAGTCAACAAATACTTGATGGGAATAACCGGCTTATTGTTTAATACAAAAACAGTGGTTTAGTAAAATGTGAAAATCATATACTACGAGCATCAATTGCATATTTTCTTTGAACTGTTTAATACAACATTTGTTATTCCTTCATTCCTGTTGTCATCTTGATTGCTTTTAGTTATCTCTCTCCTCTTCATCTCAGTCTTCTCAATTTTCCTCTCACAGGCTTTTCACTTCCGATTGGTGCTACATACTACTTATATCTGTCAACATAAGTAGCATACACATGTCATAACGATTATTAGGATCCTGGTAGGAAAAAATTACCTTATCAAAAAGTATAAAAAACATCACAACAAATCTATGTTCCATAGAAACTGATATTTGTTACAATGTTGAAGACTACAGTTTATAACGAATCAGTAAGACAGCGTAATCTATTATACTAAATAGTTGTCCTCTATTGATTACATCACGATACAACGAAATATATACACGCCGTTTGTCATTTTAAAAGTTCACTCCGTACGGATGTAATTATTATCACTCAAACAATCTATGTGGAATCATAAAACACAGAAATCATACTCTTATCAGCAGTTAATGTGTATTTTTGGTCAATCCAAGTAAAAATCATGAGTTCGAAATGATATAATTACGAATGTATTAAGTAATTAAATGATTTAAATACAAAGAAGTGTTTTTTCTACAATAACATGATCTTTCAACAATATACTAGACCACTGATACGGGATACAAATGAACATATTAAGAAATACATCGTTTAAGTCCTAATAAAACTATGTATCTTTTTAAGTTGCGGTAACGCAGATCGCCTCACAAAGAAGGTCAATGAAAAGTGGGAAAGTAAAACAAAAGAGGATATATAAATGAAATCATAGAATGAAAAATGTGAAATATAATATTAATACAACTAGCATCCAACATATGATCAAACGGTGAGTTAATGAATTTGTATGTAATAAGAATTCATGGCATAACACACCGACGGGATCATAGTTGATCCGAAGGATATAATTTTACAAAGAATTATAAACAAGAAACTTAAATGTTGTCTATTCAAACCTTACCTTTCGCGCGATATCTAACATCCAGTTCACTGGATCACTTAACACGGATTTATTGTTATTATCATTATTACTACTATTCAGTTCATCACGAGACAGACATGAGTTTGAACAATTCATATTCTTATTTGTTTGAGGTGTACAAAAACAACCGTCATCACAATGAAGAAAAGATGAATTTGGTTGTCTCCAAGTATTATGATTCATGCATAGTTTATCGAATATAGTTGTGATAGAAAGAATTCTACCAAATATTCTATGGCCTATTGGACCGGTATTACTATGCAATAAATAAATAGCAAATGGCGTTAAAAAGTTTTTTTGACAAACATTATTATTGTCATCATTGGTTTGATTATGTAGAATATTTTGCGATAAAGCCTGAACATTTACAGGATCCCAACATAATTCCTGATAAAAACAGAAAAGAATTAAAGGAGAAATTATAAACGGATATCAACCCAGTAAGCCATAAACAACGTATAACCTGTCACACATCTGTATCAGTCCAAGTCCTAACATTACATCAGTAAAAGAAAATGAAATTATCAAGAGAGATAGCAGAGTAGTAGAAATAGCAACGAAATTAGTGGTAGTATAAAATATTATTATGATTTTAGAACAATGAATTTGAAGAATATGAGATAATTTCAAGTCTGAAGATCTAAAGAAACATATAAAGTGAAAGCATCTGCGTCATTGCAACTGATTCTGAGCAGTTTCACGCGAAGTTTCCACACCTTTAAATAAAGAACAATTGTTCTGACTATAAATCAAGTTAGACGGTGTGATAGGGTTATTAAAACATTAGGGATTGAACATGTTGTTTCTAGACACATACTTTAGGTCAGCATTGATGAAGCCAAGGTCCTGAACACTGAAATGATGCATAATCCCATTAAAATGTTTCATCTAATGTTGTAGACTCCTATTGAAGCATTTGAGGATCAAGTTGTTTGATTTGGACTCTTTTGTAAGCCAGGTATAATACTCGTAGATGCATGCATGGACAGCTCAACTTGTGAGGTTGATATAACCAACTTTACACAAAGAAGACATATAGAACAAAGCCGAGGTGACCCATGATGTTAAAGATTATTTAGGTTGGGCCGCCACTCTATATATTTATCACTTCACTTGTTCTTTTATAAAGCCAGAACGAATAAACAAAACTCCTTCAATATTTTGATTCATAATATTATGCAAACAAAAATACAATACACATGGTCAATATATTTTTGATACAGAACTAAATGACATACAAGCACAGTAAACTGATAGTTATTTTTCGAACTCGGTAAATCTACAATTAAAATTACATGAAAACGCGATAGAAACAATAAACTTATTTTTAAAAAGCTCTTTAAAATAAATACAAACTAAATACAATTTTAGAGAATAAACACTCAACTCCTAATTTTTTGTTTTCCAATCCTTTACATTTATAAAAACAAATAAAATATCAACAACGTCCTAAATGCTCAATAAATGAGTTGTATCCAGCACTTTTAGTTAATTTCCCATTCATTTAGCGGGTGTGTTGCATATTTAAGTGAAATTTTTATTTCAAGTGTTTCGATTTATCTCCGTCTTTTATATGTTAGTGTAGTGCAGCCCAGCAAGCCGAATGAAAAACAAATATAAAGTTAGGGCTTGAAAAGAAAGTTTAAATGTAAATTACACTCTAATATGCAACACTCACCCTCTAAATAAACGGGAAAATGTCTGAGAAAAGCTGGTAACGACATATGTATTGAACATTGAGGAAGCTGTGGATAAACAGCCAAGGAATATTATACAGATAATCATAGTATACATACTTCTAATAAGCATAAGGCTAAACGACGAATTTTATTTGATGGATCCATGCATAGTTTTACAACTAAATCTATACACCAACTTGCTAGAAACGGCAGTTTCAGACGAAATAAAAGACGAATCAAACGAATTGTATAAATTCGTAGAGGCTGAAAGCGAAGAAACGATAAAAAACATGAATAAATGCTTATATTATTCATTTATTTGGAAAAAGCATAATTTTCTGGATTTTGAAAAGCAAGTCGGAAGTAGAAATTATCTATAACATTAGATGAATAAATGAATGTGAAATTAAAACTATGGTGTTTAGTTTACGTCACAATGTCATGTATACGCAAATCATCAACATGAATTTTCATGTTTACATTTTTCTGCAAATAACTAATAACATAAGAAATAGACTGCTGTAGTAAAGTAGGATTCATGATTTAATCAACGGACTTTTGATGGTTAAGATGAAACCAGAGAACGCCTATCGACAAATGACATGCAGAAATAAAATGTTGCCGGGTAACTGCGCTTCACCAGACTGAACAACTGAAGTAAACCCGCAAACTGAACTAATATCATGAAAAGACAGATATCTAACACAATAAGCTCTTTTTTCAAACGAAACAACAATAATTATAATATGAACATGATCAAACGTCGTAAGTAATTGCAGAGAAGGAAATTTGTGGTTCACATGAATTTCAATCAATCGAGACTTTCAGCTTCAACATTTAATCATATTGTTCGAACAACATATTAACACAGAATATCAACGCACGTCAATGTACGCGCAGCTTGCGAGTCTTAAATCTAATGAATCATTCATTCTGAATCCCACTATTAACCACTATTCAGCTCGGCTTAAACTGTCCAATAAGACTATTTCGACCAAGCAGTAGCAGGAATCAAAAGTTCTACCTCATCAACCAATGACCTATAAATGTTAGTTTTTATCAACTTCAGCTGTTTTCTATTATTGTGAGAAAATATTCTTCTATATTATTAAATATGCATAGTATTTTTTTCATTGAAAGAACAAAGAAAATAATAAAAAGACATTATGACTAACCTTTATACCACTATTTACAGCAGTTGTCAAGAGTAAACGACTCAATTTAGTAGAATGTGTATAATCTAGACTAGATAATATAATTTTCGCATGATTTAGAAAAACACATTGTTGATTACGCTTATCATCCGTATCATTATAGTGAATTTCAGTATGTGTATTGGAATTTTTCTTCAATTGACTAGGAAACATTAAAATACACTGGAAATCTAAATAAAGATCGCTTTTTTCCAAACGTAATTCACCGACTTCAGAATTGGTTAATCGTGATGCGGCAAATAGAATCAGACCACCACAACTTTTAGCTAAATAATTTGAATGGAATGTTAGTATCATATTAGTGTTATTATTATTGTTAGGAGTAATATTATTGTCTTGCGAAAGTTTCTGATTTATTGATTTATTATTACCGTCATTATTATCATTATGACTGATTAATGATTCATTCGACTGATTGTTGAGGACATATTTTAAACATAGATGGAGTACAGTTAAAAAACGATCCAAATACTGAAATGGTTCACTAGCCTAAATAGTAAATCAGAAAAAAAGAAATTGAAAAATCAATAATTATAATAATAATACTGTCGATCAGAAGGAAATTGTTATTTTTCCACTGTGAAAAAATTAAGAGAAAATTGTAAACTGCTATACGTAGTTCAATATATAAGTTATCGGCGTCAGACAATAGTGGTCTTTCTTGACTTATAATCAGCATTTGACTCTGTAGACCGTATGATTATGTGGCAGTGTCTGTCATTGATAGGCGTATCTCAGAAGTACATAAACCTCGTGAGGGCTCTTTACTCGAAGACCACTAGTCGAGTCAGAGCTTACGTTTAACTGTCAACTGATTTTGCAATCTCAAAAGGTGTCTATCAAGGATGTCCACTTACTCAATTTTTGTTTAACTTCATCACAGACCTACCGATGTAAAAAAAAGCTCTCTCACCTCCTCCCAGGAAGTCAGTCGGTCAGTAAGTAACAACGTGGAACTTCGTACGTACGTACATCAGTTCGAGTTTCCATACCACATTAGCCCAGAGATACAGTTATCGATTCAAATCCCGTAGTGCTAGAGGTAGTAAAAGTATAAGTAGTAATAGGGAACATTAGGGTTTGAAGATGTCATTCAAGGGGTACAATCCAGTGAAATAAACTTGGAAAGAAAAAGAAAAGAAAGGGACATGAAGAATTTAAAAGATTAGAATTTGGGAGAACACAAAGAGTCGATGCACCTACGCACACTATTTCAAACGATTTTGAGCCATGTCATTCAGGATCCCTAACCATCGGTTGCTATCATCTCGCGGTCCCCAACCAGGTAGTCTACACCTACCTACATGGCTCACTCCACTTGTCAGTGACTTCATGGATTTGTGCTATGTTTTGGTCTGACCGCCCCTAGCTTTCTTCCAACCTACTCCTACACCATAAAACATAGCACGTCGCGGCAGTCGGTGGTCGGGCATGCGCAACACATGTCCCAGCCATCTCAAATGATTGAGTTTCACTACTTCCTCAATTGATTTGCCATCCTTACCTAATACCCGTTTCCTAACAACTGAGTTACTTACTCGGTGGTCCCAGGATATACGAGCAATGTTTCGAAGACACCTATGATCGAATACTAGTAACCTACGAATATCCTCTACTCTTACTGGCCATGTTTCACTGCCATAAAGTAGGACGGAACGAACTGCTGCGCAGTAAACACGTCCTTTGGTTGATAGGCGGATATCTCGCCTACGCCACAAATGACGCAAGTTGGCAAAAGCTAGTCGAGCCTTCTGTATCCGTGCTGAGACTTCGTCACTCATCAGACCACAAGGGCTGATGAGACTCCCAAGATAAGTGAAGCGGTTGACACGCTCAACTACTTCACTCCCTATCACTAGTTCGGGTGTCGACGTAACCCAATCCTGAAGCAACATTTTGCATTTCGAGGGAGAAAATCGCATGCCGAACATGCCTGCATTGTTGCTTAGAATGGTCAGCAGACTCTGCATTTTGTCAGCGTCTTCACCAAATAGAACTATGTCATCGGCATATTCTAAGTCAACTAGTGAATTTCCCGGTAGAAGTTCAACTCCTGGAAATTTAGATGAGGAAAGTGTCATCTCTAAAAGCAAGTCAACGACAAAGTTAAACAAGAATGGAGAGAGTGGACAGCCCTGACGAACACAACTTGAGGTAATCAGTTCTGATGACAGTTCGCCATAAGCTCTCACTCGACCAGTTGTGTTCGAGTAGAGAGCCTTTACAAGGTTAATGCACTTCTTTGGTACTCCTTTCAGTGACAAACACGATCAACAGAGTCAAATGCCGCCTTAAAGTCGAGAAGTACTACCATTGTGGGGCGTCTGAATGTATGTCTATGTTCTAGGACCTGACGTAGTGTGAATATCTGGTCTATACAACCACGTCCAGGTCGAAAAACAGCCTGATTTTCTCTAGTCTGTTCTTCACGAGTTTTGGTTAGACGTCGAAGTATTATTGAAGTCAATATTTTAAACACTATATTAGTCAAACTGATTCCTCTGTGATTGTCACAAGAGGACATTTGTCCTTTCTTATAGACTGGCACAATCAGTGATTGAGACCAGTCAGATGGGATTACGTTCAGTTCCCAGATTCTACCTAAGACCTCAGTCAATCTCGCTGCTAATACTGAACCGCCATCCTTAAAAATCTCAGGGGTAAACCTGTCAAGGCCTGCTGCTCTTCCACGATCCAGATTTCCTATAGCTTTTTCAACTTTGTAAAGAGTCGGAGGACTTACATTAACTTGCCATTCAGGTAGACTGGTGATCGTGGGAAACCGAAGTGTGGCTGAAGGCCAGTTGAGCTGATCCCTAAAGTGTTCTGCCCATCGATCCAATCTCCCGGATTGAGAATAAATAGTATGTCCATCTTTCTCTGCGATTGTTTCGCTAACAGTTGGGTTCCTAATACCGGTTTCCTTAATAAGTCTGAACAGTTGTCTGCTGTTACCTATTGCCACTGCCTTTTCCATTTCTCTTGCTTTCGCTACCCACCACTGTTCACGATCATTGCGTAAGCTTCTAGTCAGCTTACGCTTAAGCTGACTCCGCTCCTCGTTATGTTCAGAGCCAGATGGAATGAGTTTACGAGCGTCTATCAGTGCGGTAGATGCTGCTGAGATCCAGTGTTTCTCCCTAACCTTATGGTTTACCGTACTTGCAGACATCACTGCTGTTTCTACAGCTTTTCGGATGTCATTCCACGCTGCCTCGGGGCGGGCATCACTAACATGGCTGCCTAACTGTTTTTCTAGTTGTTCCTGAAATATACTCTTAGCTTCACTATCATTTAGTAGGACCCTAAGGGGTTTCCTTGCAGCATGTTTCCTACGTCCAGTAAGACGTAGACAAATACGCGCTCGCACCAGAGCATGATCTGAGTCTAAGCATGTGCTCCAGAATGAGCGACAGTCTTCTATCGAGCCCCTCCATCGGTGGCTGATAGCGATGTGATCTATTTGGGTCCAGCGTTGAGACGAATTAGGGGGTAGCCATGTTAAAAGATGTTTTTCCTTATGCCTAAAGTTAGTGTTTGCAAGAAACAGGCGGTTATCTGAGCATAGCTGCAGCAGACGGTCGCCGTTATCTGTTCTTTGAGCCGTGACACCATAAGATCCACCCAGGTGTCTTTTCCTTTCGCTTAGTTTACCTATTTGAGCATTAAAGTCACCAGCCACTATTACTACATCAGAGCGCCTAGCTTTTCGGAAAAGGTTGGAAAGCTTTCTGTAAAACTCATCTTTTACATCATCTGAGCTGCAGTCAGTGGGAGAGTAGGCAGAGACGATGAACAGGCAACGACGAGTGTCCCTATCTTCCCGAGTGCTTACTGTTCCGTTTAGTCGGACAGCGCACAAACGACTGTCTACTGGGATCCAGTTTAAGAGAGCTAGTTCTGCCCTAGGACTCAATGCTATACTTACGCCAGCGAGGTCGTGGGAAGCAGCATCAGGGCTTCCAGATACACGAAGCGTAAATCCAGTTGGTTCGTTACTTTGACATGGTGCGGTCAAATGAATGACACTACTCGGATCCTGTATGCGCGTTTCGGAGACGCAGCACACATCGATGGAGCGAGATTCTAAAGTCTTGGCTAAGGAAGCCTGTTGTCCTATTCGGCACAGTGTTCGAACGTTTTAAGCTCCTACATGTAGTTTAGAGCGTGGTTTCAAAAAACCATTAACAACGTTACGCGTACTCGAATCGTTTGCACTAGCGGGGCGAGGTGATAAACGGACGTGAGAACGGTTAGTCGTGGAGGTAAGAGAGATATTAGGTGTAGGAAGGATTTGAATGTGACCAACTTGGTCTCGAGTGCTGTTACGGGTATGGGGGCTGATATCACTTCCAGGCTGTCCACACCGTGGAAGGGTATTTCTTGAGGAACCTGAAAAGGAAATCAGATTAGTGTTGGTCTTAAAGGCCTAGGAGCGTGACCTCAGAGCCCAAGGGACAACTGCTTGAGGCCGGTCGCGCACGGCCTATTCGTGGGAGGTTTTTTCGTGAAAAGATTGCATCGCTGTAAATGCTGGTTGTCCGAGGGAAACACCTTACTGCTGTCACACCTCTGTACAGTCAGCAGTACGACTTCGCCCTCAGACCTTGAGTTGCTGCTTTTAGTCTTACCGTTCTCCAATCGACCTGCCTGGGATGGTAGAACCTGCAGGAACATGTGTTCCAGCCAATATAGCTCGGTTGGGTCATCACGATAGGCAAGCCCGACCACCACGTCAAGGTAGCAGCTACGATCGGATCTCCCAGGAGGTAAACGTATCGACTTAGAACAGTCAAATGATATAGTCCTGTTTAGTGAAGAAGCTGATCAAATGCAGAGTCTTCTGGTAGCACACAGCAACGATGCCAGAAGGTTTGGGATGTGTTACTCCCCTCAAATGCAAGTTGTTAGTTTAGGACTGGCTTGCGTCAACACCTGAACTAAGAATGAGAAGCGAAGTAGTCGAAAGCGTTGACAACTTCACTTATCTTGGAAGTCTGATCAGCCCTAATGGGTTGGTGTCTGACAAAATCTCTACACGGATTAGAAAAGCTCGTTTGGCTTTTGCAACCTTACGTCATCTATGGCAAAGGCGAGATATTCATTTATCAATTAAAGAACGAGTATACTGCGCGACAGTTCGTTCTGTTCTACTTTACGGCTGCGAAACATGGCCATTAAGAGTAGCGGATAGTCGTAAGTTACTAGTATTTGATCACAGATGTCTTGGAAATATTGCTCGCATCTGCTGGGATCACCAGTTAAGTAATAATGAGGTTAGACGCAGAGTATTATGAATGATGGTAAATCAGTTGATGAGGTTATGAATTTTCATCGACTGAGATGGTTGGGCCACGTGTTGCGTACGTCTGAGCACCGATTACCACGATGCACAATGCGGACTTGTGTTGTGGATGGTTGGAAGAAAGTTAGGGGCCGCTAAACCAAAACATGGCATCAATGCTTGAAGTCATTAAATTCTAGTCTGAGCCATGCTAGTAAATGCAAACTACTTGGTTGGGGTCCGCGCGACTATCACAACCAATAGTTGAAGACTCTGGATGATATGGCTCAGAATCGATCACGATGGCGTAAGTGTACACACTCTGTCTTCCTTTAAACAGCGAGATTAAAATTGGTTCATACCTTTCTTTCTACGAACTGACACTTTTCTTCGTGTATTATATCCTTATACACAATCTTTCTTTTATATATTACTACCACTGAAGTAACTACTATGAATTAAGTGTTCATCTTGTTGTACTAATGAGGTCTGGCAACTTGGACCGATGGATATATGTGCCTGGTTCTAAATTGTAGCTCAATGACTGCGTGATTATGGCGAATCAGTGATCCGATATCAAGTGCTTCAACTATGCAATTCATCTCTTTAGATAATCTTTTTATTTGTATTGCTTTTAGTTTAAGTGATAGAGTGATGGCTCAATAGTTAAAATGTTCAACTTCCATCTACCTAATCGTGGACTCGAACCCTAGTGCATGTATATTTCGGTTTGAACAATCGGGTAATATCACTAGCCCATCATACTTAGAGTGTAGCTCAACTCTAAATACACGAATCTGTAGCTGAAAAATTAATGAATGAGTTAAATATCGTGTGACCTTTATGAATTAATTTTACTTTCACAGACAACAGGAAAATATCCTTTTTATATATATTTTATTTGCAAATAATTAACAATCGTTGTTTTTTTCTTTTCTAGCTATTTTAGCCTTAGAACGTTTAGCTGTACGCACAAATCCTTCAATTGTTAATCATTCAAAAATTAAATTATCTTATTCCAATTATTATCATTACTATTACCACTACTATTATTGTCATCATCATGATGTCGATCATACCAACAATCATCATCGACAATTTTATTATCATAATAATACTAGTGATAGTAAAAAGTTGAACGTTTCAATTGATAATGGAATCAAAGAAAAGTTACTATTATTGTTTCCATTCATTGGACAAATTATAATTCAAGCTTTAATGACTACATTCGTGTTCAATAATAGTACAATGCATACATATCATTCATCACGTATTCACGAAGCTGTTATTCTGTCGTTGATTACAGTTCTTAATCGCTCACAGTGTGCACAACTTTTACCTAATAGTCTTATTTCGGTAAGATATGTCTTGCATATTGTATTTTTAATTTATAAACAATTGAATTGAATACCAATATAAACTGGTAAGTTATGCAAATCTCACTTGTAAATACGGCCCGTGACTGACACTTTTAGAGGCAAAGTACTTCTGCAAGGCTGGTAGGAGCTTGAGCCTTCAGTTACTTTCCGTAATGAGCTTTGGAAGTAGTCGGAAAGTTTGTGTATTTAGGCAGCTGTATGTGTGCTGGTGGTGGCGTGGCGAGTGAGATCACTCTACGTATAATGTAAGGTAAAGCAGCTTACACCAATCTGGGCCATCCTTGGGACCGTTGTGATGTTAGTCTGGCTCTAAAAAGTTGACGTTACAACATTTCGGTGAGAGCGATCTTGCTCTATACCTAAAAAACACTGACCTCCGAGTTGAAGATATTCGGTGACTTTGTTTCCTATCATCGTTGTCACCGAAAGATAGCTAACGTCCGGAAGTTACATCATGTTACCAATACAGAGGTTTGATAATGTGTATTTGGGTTCAGTGAAGATAACTCACTTGGTGTCAACATCTCGAAAAACCGGCTACCGTGGCTTGAGCACATATTACGAGTATCACCCCAGTGAATTCTAAATTGTTCATTATTTTCCGACTCTGGGATTGGTTAGAAGAGGAGGATAGATGGTCAGTTCATGGCATGACGCAGTGGTATGGAGGGAAAACAGTATAGGACTGGCATCGGTTGGTCCTTCACTACTGTCTAGTTGGGGTCCTAGAGATTGTGCAACACAGTGGGTTGAGACGTCAACAGACATGACTCAGAACAGAGGTTGATGGAGATCCTGTTGTAGTGTCGTTTAGTAATCTTCAAAATAAATAGAAGGAACTTCTTTACTGGAAAGTATTCTTCCTAGTCGTATTATGCTATTCATTCACTTCTTTCTGATTGTATTCCTTACTCCCCACTTCCTCTATCTCTTCACAATCAAATTTCCTTATTTGTGTGTCGCATGTTTACTTCGGTGCTCTATTGTGCCAGTATTTATCTGTATCAAATAATTAAATTAATAAATCTCTAACACAATTAGAGCATCTATTTATCTACTATCTCCAAAACAAAAGAAAACATATTTGTAGGAAACATTAAACAGAACAGTGCAAACGTACTGGAGGATAGTATGCCAAATGTGTTATTAATCCAGCAGCTAAAATTCCAGCAGCTGAAGCATGAGGCCAATTATATGAAAGCCAAGCTAAATTGAAATTGGCATTCGGATTGATTAAATAATTCGATCGACATGTATTAGAATTATTATTCATGATAGTACTTGTAGCATTAATATCAGATATGTTTTTCTCTCGAGAATATATTAATAAATGATCAGTATTATCGTGTGTGTTTAAAGTATTGACATTTTGTAGCATAAAATTACGATTATCACTGATTGCGTTTAGAAATCCATCAACTGGTAATAGCCCATCCGATGACTGCATAGATTTACTTGGAACAGAAGAACATACCACTGGAGGAGAAATTGGATTGGAGCATTTTTCAGCTTTGTAATCTGATATACCTGTTCTGCATGTTTGATCTGGTATCAAAAACTCCATGACTGCTTTTAAAAATCTAGATTAAATCAGAAAAAATACATTTATATGTGTAACCTTCAAATAACCTATTGTTTTCTAATCGTTAGTGCGACTCATTGACCAAGTACATATCCTGTATACTAAGCTGTAATTCAACATGGTGATTTAGTGGTTAAGGATGTAATCTTTCAAGAGTATCACGAGTAGTATCACTAGTCTTCATGCAAAAAATGAACTCAAAGACGAGTAGACGAAAGAGAACTTGGTAAATATGTTGACCCTGAAACAGCAGTCAGCTTTCCAAACCAAACTAAATGAAGCACACTCAAAGCTCGTGATTAAAGCAACAAAAATCAAAAGATTAGTCCACTGAGCAACAATACGATACATTTTATAATCTCACAAAAGAAGAAAGATACCCAAGACCCAGAACGAATTTTTAAAGGCAGTACTAAAAAGCAATTAGATGGATCACAGATTTTTATGGACACTGCTTAGAAAAGTCGAATATAATCGACTGTTCCAAATAAAGTGCTATTTCATAATAGCAAACTGTTTATTAATCATTTGTAACCCGATGAATTTAAGTAATGGATTATTTCATAATTTCAAGGCTTACAAATGGAAGCCACCAGAATCCCAGACATTATTTAGCAGAAAAATGAAAAGCACAATGAACAAATTATCCACTCGATAAAATTTTATATTATGATCATGAGACAACAATGTAGATTCAGTATATCGAATTTATATAGAGCACGGTATACGCAGTAGCTGCGTTACCGGCCAACAAACCAAAACACTATATTTGCTCGTTTCCCTGATCGTTTTAACGTATTTAAGCCTTTTTGTCATCCATGGACCGATACAAGGTATGACACACTTGAAAAGATTACTCTGGTCCATGGGGATCTTCTACTTAACAGCACAGATCTATTTTTACTCTACTGCATTATTTTTTATAGCTTAAAAAAAGTTAACGTTTAAAACGAAGTCCGAGCATTTTCAAACGTTTTACACAAGAAACTATAATTCTCTAACTCATTAATATTTATATAACTTATAACTAGATATATCTCGTCAAAATAGAGATTGGTTCAAGAATTAAAAAAAACTAAATAACTAGTAGTAGCCTATACGTACTTCATATGTGATTTTGATTCCCAAGAAAATGTGCATCGAGTTACAGCTAGATGACGACCTAATGATGTTAAAATATTCCAATTCCATAACTCCGGCGATTTAGTATCATATGTAGTTACTTGACATTGACTAAAACGACCATGTTGAGATTTTGACTTGAATGATAACACATTTGATAATGCGATCAACTGATCTAGAGTTGTATCCGTAAGCTAAAAACAAAAGTGAATGAGAACGATGAAACATACATGAATACTCTCATAAGAACATGGATAGCGTTTGTAATATAATGAATTTGAAATCATATTTTTTGGTTTGCATTGATGGTAAGATATATATTTATTGTTCGCATAAATATTAACACATGACATTGATGGTACTAGTTTCAACTCATTCACAGTTCGAAGTCACCTGAACTTAAACAGATTTATGTGAGAAGATGGATGGAAAAACTGATATTTTGATTGATCTACTTACTCATTTGTGGGACATTATCCAATCAGTCATTAGGAAACAGGATAATTGAGAACAGAGTTATTTGGAATAACCTAACAACAATGAATGTTATACATGGGCAAAACTTTATTAATGTTCATTGACTAAATTTCTTTAAGAACTATAAATAGTTTATCTTTAGTATCTGAATCTAAGTCACCTAGCTCTAGATCAAGTTGAATACTTGCATGCTCAAATCTGAGAAAGCAGACATCTAATTTTCAACCAATCAGAGCAAGCAGATGAAGTAGGAAGATACTATAAGACTATCATGTAAACTCAATATAAACCGTAGTGCTTTTATTACTGCATATTTTGCATTTAGGTTTACTAGAATATACTTTGTTCCTACTTGTTTTTTGTTCCGATTTGGAACGAGCCAAGTGAAGTATCGCGTTTAAAGGATACGAGACAATGAAAAACGTAAACATGTAAAACTAAGTTAAAAAATGGATGAATTACGTTAAGATGTATATTTCACTTTTGTTATAATAAAAATTACTTAATTTCACCGTATACATATACATTATTACGATGGGAATATAAGGGCCGAATTACTTTAAAAATAAACATTTATTAATATTTGATCTTTGGGAAGAAATAATATCAACTACTTTCTAAGCAGACCTGGAGTGTGGTTAGCAGTGGAATCTGGGACACTCATTTGATTCCGTTTGCGATGTACTTGCATTTCGAACTTGATGTTCACTCCGATATCGGGATCAGGAATTTTTTGCTTCAAACTTAAACGCGTTATCCAAAATCTAGGTAGAAACTGGTTTATGCAATAGGGTGAATTTTAATTCATTTGCATGAGTTGTCCGAATCTCCCGATTGGCGTCTAGGATTGGAATTAGCAAGCCTTTGTGTGTGAATCTTGTATGTTTTTACTTGAAGTGAAAGGTACTAAGTACGAATTTCGGGGTGAACATCAACTCTAGGAAACAGGTACATCCAGCTCACGAGTCTTAAAGAGGATGAAACGCGAGTTATTGGTTCTACTGTCAAACATCATCTATCTCTGCTTAAGTGTTTGTGGTTTAATAGTATCGACGCAATCCGAAGAGGATGTACATTAGTCAAAAGAGACTGATTAATTCCAATCCTAAAAGTCAGTGGGGAGATTCAAATGACCAATACAAATGGATTAAAATCAACTAAATTGTAGGAAAAACAATTGGGCATACATAAATATCAGTATCTGGTCTGTTGGTTTTAAGTAGAAAAACAAACACATGTGAATGTAAATAACGTGTTACATAAAAAAATTTAAATTACTAAATATACATATGAAAATGACATGGAAATAAACGCATTTATAGTGAATATCAATGCGGTTTACTTTATGTAAAGAGCATAACTCCACAAAATGACAACAATAAATTGCCCAGAGATTAGCATAACGATTAATTTACTGTAGGAATGTTTATGTACACGAATAAAATAAAATGGAGAAAAAGTATGACGGAAGAAAATGACAAAAGCAATCAAACACATTCGCCTCAGAAATCGTATAAATATATATATATATATATATATATATATATATATATATATATATATATATGGTTTATTTTGCTGCAGTCCAATATATCATTGAGTAAAGCTATACAATATTAAGACGTTAAGTGGTTGTACAAGTAACCTTGAGATTAACTTATCAAAAATTAGACAATCATGATGTAAGCGATGTAGAATAGTTTCGATACACAAAAAGTGATACAATTATAAAGGATTCAGAGTTAACGCGCCTAATAAACTTATTGGGGAAAACTATTGGAAATCATAGTACTGTAACCCAGCCCAACACTAACTCCTAATCCTAACATCCAGATCCAAACTCTTCATTCCACAAGAAAATCATCATTCAGTCTTTTCAAAATCGAAATATAATCGAAATCGTGACGTTCAGCAACAAGTAATGGCATTTTAAATTATTCCTAATGATTAACTTCGACTATCGAAATTTAACTTGGCCGCTAACGGCCAGAGGCATAGTAGTCTTACCTATTATTGATAGAGAAAACTTGGGAGACACACTCATTTTCCGAGAGTCATACAAGATCTTGACATAGTCAGTCAGTCAGTCAGTAACAACGTGTTCGAGTAGAGAGCCTTTACAAGGTTAATGCACTTCTTTGGTACTCCTTTCAGTGACAAACACGATCAACAGAGTCAAATGCCGCCTTAAAGTCGAGAAGTACTACCATTGTGGGGCGTCTGAATGTATGTCTATGTTCTAGGACCTGACGTAGTGTGAATATCTGGTCTATACAACCACGTTCAGGTCGAAAAACAGCCTGATTTTCTCTAGTCTGTTCTTCACGAGTTTTGGTTAGACGTCGAAGTATTATTGAAGTCAATATTTTAAACACTATATTAGTCAAACTGATTCCTCTGTGATTGTCACAAGAGGACATTTGTCCTTTCTTATAGACTGGCACAATCAGTGATTGAGACCAGTCAGATGGGATTACGTTCAGTTCCCAGATTCTACCTAAGACCTCAGTCAATCTCGCTGCTAATACTGAACCGCCATCCTTAAAAATCTCAGGGGTAAACCTGTCAAGGCCTGCTGCTCTTCCACGATCCAGATTTCCTATAGCTTTTTCAACTTTGTAAAGAGTCGGAGGACTTACATTAACTTGCCATTCAGGTCGACTGGGGATCGTGGGAAACCGAAGTGTGGCTGAAGGCCAGTTGAGCTGATCCCTAAAGTGTTCTGCCCATCGATCCAATCTCCCGGATTGAGAATAAATAGTATGTCCATCTTTCTCTGCGATTGTTTCGCTAACAGTTGGGTTCCTAATACCGGTTTCCTTAATAAGTCTGAACAGTTGTCTGCTGTTACCTATTGCCACTGCCTTTTCCATTTCTCTTGCTTTCGCTACCCACCACTGTTCACGATCATTGCGTAAGCTTCTAGTCAGCTTACGCTTAAGCTGACTCCGCTCCTCGTTATGTTCAGAGCCAGATGGAATGAGTTTACGAGCGTCTATCAGTGCGGTAGATGCTGCTGAGATCCAGTGTTTCTCCCTAACCTTATGGTTTACCGTACTTGCAGACATCACTGCTGTTTCTACAGCTTTTCGGATGTCATTCCACGCTGCCTCGGGGCGGGCATCACTAACATGGCTGCCTAACTGTTTTTCTAGTTGTTCCTGAAATATACTCTTAGCTTCACTATCATTTAGTAGGACCCTAAGGGGTTTCCTTGCAGCATGTTTCCTACGTCCAGTAAGACGTAGACAAATACGCGCTCGCACCAGAGCATGATCTGAGTCTAAGCATGTGCTCCAGAATGAGCGACAATCTTCTATCGAGCCCCTCCATCGGTGGCTGATAGCGATGTGATCTATTTGGGTCCAGCGTTGAGACGAATTAGGGGGTAGCCATGTTAAAAGATGTTTTTCCTTATGCCTAAAGTTAGTGTTTGCAAGAAACAGGCGGTTATCTGAGCATAGCTGCAGCAGACGGTCGCCGTTATCTGTTCTTTGAGCCGTGACACCATAAGATCCACCCAGGTGTCTTTTCCTTTCGCTTAGTTTACCTATTTGAGCATTAAAGTCACCAGCCACTATTACTACATCAGAGCGCCTAGCTTTTCGGAAAAGGTTGGAAAGCTTTCTGTAAAACTCATCTTTTACATCATCTGAGCTGCAGTCAGTGGGAGAGTAGGCAGAGACGATGAACAGGCAACGACGAGTGTCCCTATCTTCCCGAGTGCTTACTGTTCCGTTTAGTCGGACAGCGCACAAACGACTGTCTACTGGGATCCAGTTTAAGAGAGCTAGTTCTGCCCTAGGACTCAATGCTATACTTACGCCAGCGAGGCCGCGGGAAGCAGCATCAGGGCTTCCACAGACACGAAGCGTAAATCGAGTTGGTTCACGCACGGCCTTTTTGTGGGAGCTTTTTAATATGTTAGCTCTGTTCTTTAAACGGCCTTACAGCCGGAGACGGAAATCCATGGGGATAAGGTGAGGTATGACATTTTTATGGTCAACATTCTCTAACCCCTTCCTTCCTTGTGAGAAGGCAGCATCACTGCAGATGCTGGTTGTCCGAGGGAAACACCTTACTGCTGTCACACCTCTGTACAGTCAGCAGTACGACTTCGCCCTCAGACCTTGAGTTGCTGCTTTTAGTCTTACCGTTCTCCAATCGACCTGCCTGGCATGGTAGAACCTGCAGGAACATGTGTTCCAGCCAATATAGCTCGGTTGGGTCATCACGATAGGCAAGCCCGACCACCACGTCAAGGTAGCAGCTACTGTCCAAATGATATTTATTTAGATCTTGACATAAATATCATTTGGCATTTGAAAAACAAAACATACACCATATATACTCAGACTGCTGAAAGGAGTATTTTTGTCAGGGACGGAGATTATTTTTGGATAAATGAAGTCAAACTACACAGAAACATCGGCTTAGATTACTTGATAATGTTTTACGTATGAAATCCCGACACTTTGACAAAAGAATACGGATCACATCACTTCTAAAGATCTCATAACAAGTAAGGGCAGGCTGTTTTAAGTAACTGAAATATTCACCTTGTGAAGATAATTACAATAAGCCCATATATATATATATATATATATATATATATATATATATATATAGTCGAAGGTTAAGAATGTTTAGTGATAAACGGCGAAGAGGACTTCAAAAGTAAATGTCACTGGCAACTGCTTTTAACATTCTATCGTCCATTCTCGAATGTCATTTAATTACTTAAAAAAATCATACAATTATTTTAGGTAGTAAAAATCTTGGAGATTAATCTATATCGAATTTCCATTTAATCAGGTATATTAAAGGTAGATTTATACTTATATTTAGAGTATCCTAAATCGTCCCATTAGTTTATGGCAAAGAGTTTCACTTTTAATGTTAGTTGAATCCAAGAAAAAAACTTTTGTAAACATACTTCCATTTGATCTTGTAGCAATGGATTCAAAGGATAATAAGTTGGAGAGATATTATTTGTAGATTGTTTGGCTAAACATTCCAGAAAGGGAGAATGCAATGGCACGTGAATAAGATTAGATGTGTCAATTAATTGAGTTTCGTGCAATTGCATAGCACGATGTATTCGTTCCAACCACAAGACAGCTAAATGACTACCTGGAGTTTCTGGATGCAATAGACCAGCATGATGTAAACGCCTACACGCTGGATGCTCTTGAGGTAATAGACTTTCAACCTGCATAGTGAAAACAAAAATTATATATATGTACGTTATACCTAATCCATAGTGTACCTAATAAAGGATACAAATTAAAATTCTATTACTAGTAAACACTTTTTAGCAAAAAACGTTTAGGTACTGGTAAACCAATGTGTTCTTTTTGTATTGTGGTGGGTTTTTTCTCTTTGCAGACGAATGAATCAATAACCAGTATGAAAAAAGTTTCAGTTGTACAAACAAATATCGCTCAATTTAGAGAATAGTTGAATGAAATCAATTTATATTACTCATATTATGCTACGAAAACACAGAATATTGTATAGCAACTCATGTTCAATTGAGTTTGCTCTCACCTAATTCGGTTAAGCCCTTTTATTAACTTATTAAACGGACAAAGTCACCTGCACTATAATAACTTATTGTATCCTTATTACTGTTGCGAATGTATGTACCTTTATTATTGTTATCCTTGTATGAATATGTATGCTCGGCAAGCCTTACTGCCTACGCATTTATTCACGCTACTAGCTTTACTATTAACCGCTTAATTGACTCGATGATTCATTCATTTCACTATGTATATATATGTCCATGTTATTCATATTCATGACTCGCTCGCTCGTTCATTCACTCGCTCGATCGCCCGCTCTTGCCCTTGCTCTCTCTCGCTCGCCCGCTCGCTTGCCTGTTTGCCTTTCGGCACAACTATTTCATGATTGCTTAACGCATCTGTAATTTTGGATATCTGTGTGTGGTCCCTTAATAAACGTAATTAACGCTTCGTATTCGCCTTCTGATTAACATACCGTTGGCGCATTATTTGGTGACGGTTACCGAGACGAACTGTATACGGATGCAATCAAGGATGAATTCTACCACCAGTTAACTGTTCTTCTCCAGAAAGTGCGTTCGACAGATATTGTAGTACTAGCCGGAGACTTGAATGCTCAGGTCGGGCGTATAGGCACAGAAGAGAGTCGTTTAGGTGGCCGATGGGGACTTGTTGGTCGCAGGACAGATAACGGGGAACGTCTACTGCAACTATGCACAGACCACAATCTGTTTCTGGCTAGCACTAACTTTCGGCACAGTCATCGCCGATGTGCCACCTGGCGTCCTCCTTCTGTATCTCAAGCCTGGACTCAGATTGATCACATCGCGATCAGCTGCCGCTGGCGTGGTTGTGTACAAGACTGCCGCTCCTTTTGGAGTACCTATCTGGAATCTGATCATGCTCTGGTCTGCGCCAATCTCACCTTACTTTTCAGTGGACAACAAAGTGACCGCTACCAAAGGATTGATGTTAGCAAGCTAGCTACAACTTCTGTTGCTAGTAAGTACCGAACCGAGCTAGCTTCTAGGCTAGCTACCATTCCACCGAAAAGTATAGATGAGCATTGGTTGCAATTGCATGACGCCATGAAAATGGCGGGTCAAGTCAGCTGTGGGATTGCGAAACGTCCCGCTTACAAGCACTGGGTTTCTTCTGGTTCCTTACAACTGATTGAAGCCCGTCGGTCTACTCCGGGTGACCGTGAGTTTGACCACAGACGAAGGATGTTACGTAATGAAATCGGGCAAAGCTTGCGTAAGGACCGTGAAGCCTGGTGGTCGGAGCGTGCTAATGAGCTGGAAGCAGCAGCTGCATCTGGTAATTACCAGAAGCTCTTCCAACTCATCCGAGCCACTGGCAGCAAGAAGTCTGGTGTGAGCGAAACAATCTGCGAGGATGACGGAACGCCAGTCACTAACATCCATCGACGTCTTGGACGATGGGCAGAATTCTTTGAAGGGCAGTTCAACTGGCCTGCTGCTCCGGCAACATCTGTCAGACTGCCCTGCGCTCCATGGCCGGCGACGACTGATCCACCAAATGAGGCGGAAGTCCGCAAGGAACTCCAACTCTTGAAACGTTACAAATCACCGGGCTCATATGACTTACCTCCGGCTCTTTTTAAAGATGGTGGTGACTTTCTGACTAAGGGACTGACGACGTTGTTTACAAAGGTCTGGGAACTAGAGTGTGTACCAACGTCATGGAATGAGTCGATAGTTGTCCCTATCTTTAAAGAGGGTTCACGTCGTTCCTGTAACGACTATCGGGAAATAAGTCTACTTCCGATTACGTCCAAGCTATTGGCTTCCGTCATACTTCGTAGGTTGTTCAAAACCCGAGAAAGATTGACTCGCGAGGAGCAGACTGGGTTTCGTTCTGGTCGAGGATGTATTGATCATATCTTCACCCTCGGCCAAATGTTAGAACACCGTCATACTTATCAAAGGCCAACAATCGTAGTGTTTCTTGATATCAGGGCTGCCTTCGATTCGTTGGACAGAACTGTTCTCTGGGATTGTCTATTGAAGAAGGGTGTGCCTGAGAAGTTTATTAACATCCTAAAAGCCCTATACACAAACACCTCAGGCAGAATGAGGGCATACAACCACCTTTCTCCACTATTCCATTCAAGCAGTGGAGTTAGGCAGGGTTGCCCAATCTCACCATTCCTCTTCAACTTTGCCATCGATGACATTCTGGAGACAGCTCTGACGGATGTAAGTAATGGTGGTGTGGATCTGTTGCCTGGAGAAAGACTTCTCGACCTTGAGTATGCGGATGATATTGTCTTACTGTGCGAGAATGTTCAAGCCATGCAATCCGCACTTAATCAGTTAGCAATCAATGTCCGTAGGTATGGTATGTGCTTCGCACCTTCGAAGTGCAAAGTACTCCTACAAGACTGGCAGGATTCTAATCCTGTACTCACTCTGGATGGTGAGCAGATAGAAGTAGTCGAGAAGTTCGTGTATCTAGGTAGCTGCATAAGTGCTGGTGGTGGTGTGAGTGATGAGATCAATGCACGTATAGTGAAAGCCAGAGCGGCTTATGCCAATCTGGGCCATCTTTGGCGCCTTCGTGATGTTGGTCTGGCTGTAAAAGGTCGGATCTACAAAGCGTCAGTGAGAGCAGTTTTGCTCTATGCTTGTGAAATCTGGCCTCTCCGAGTTGAGGATGTGAGACGACTCTCTGTGTTCGATCATCGTTGTCTCCGAAGGATTTCTGACATTCAGTGGCAACACCATGTCAGTAATGCAGAGGTTCGGCATCGTGTGTTCGGTAACAGTGACGATCATTCAATTGGTGCCACTATCTTGAAGCATCGACTTCGGTGGCTTGGACATGTCCTACGAATGTCGTCCCAGAGAATTCCTCGTCGTGCATGATTCGCCGACTCTGGGACTGGTTGGAAAAAGCGGAGAGGTGGTCAGTATATGACATGGTGTCGTGGTATGAAAAAAAACTGCAAAGGGTTGGCTTGTTTTGGTCCTTCACGACTCCCTGGCTGGGGTCTGAGAGATGGCTAACACAGTGGCTAGAGACGTTATCAGATATGGCTCAGAATAGAAGCCAGTGGCGATCCTTCTGTAACCTTCTATTACTTTCTTCATAAAAAATGGTTGTATCTTCCTTAACTGAAAGATTTCTTCTGATTGTACCTTTCCGTTTTCCCCATCATTGTTCTCTCCCTCTTATATATATATATATATATATATATATATATATATATATATATATATATTCCCTACGTTCCTTACCTTTTTTTCCCTTCTCTTTAAATTCTCATTGTTTTGTGTGGCGCATATATATTTAGTGCCCCCTTGTACCAGTATTTATGTGTTTAAATAAATAAATAAATAAGCATACATAGTATGATAAAGACGAGTACATAGATCACGTACTAAGTAGTGAGTGAATAAAAATTGAAACTTTAATTCATGTAACCTTAACGGGTTTAAGAAATGATTGATTAAATGGTAATGCATAATGGTAATACATAATTTTCATTTATATAGTATTTTTTTCTCAAATTCTTTAGAAATAGATTTCTACCAACCATTAGGTTAACAGTAAGTTAAAGCATTCAAATTTTAAAAATTATTAAGTTCAAAAACAACCTTAATTTACATCAATGAGTCGTAGTAATTTTAAACATCTCAACCAAAATGTTGTTTGAGTAAACTTTCATTTGTTAAATAAGTTCCACTACTACTACTACTACTACACTTTTGGTAAAATCTACAAAATGGGATTTGATTAACGACATTCATGTAAATACAATTTATGAGAGATTTAATAACTTACTTTGTAAGCCAACAAACCAAGAAGATAACCAGCACGAGTAGATGTTACTTGATTTGAATCGGAAATTGCACGAATCAGAGCCTGAAAAAAAGGAAATAAAATAATTAATATTTCCACGTAAATTGGTACACAACATTGTCCTTATACTGTATTACGTGAACTGATAAGTTTTAAGCAATTAAGTAGATTATCAACTATTAAACAAAAGTAATTGTATGCTCTCAAGAACTAACATAGTAGTTAAATAATCCGCAATTTTCTTGAGTGAGATCAATAATGTAACTATGTAAAACTATTTATCAATAATTTAAGAAAATCAACGTTGAATGACTTGAATAGAAGTTTACTGGGTAAAACTACAATTTACGGACGACCTTTGAGCAACGTTAAAATGACCTTGGAATGTCCACTTACTGACCAGGATTAAACGAGTGTTATATATTAGTGTGGGGAATTAGAATTAGAATTTACAGTTGAACGTTGGGGTTAGGAATTTGATTTAATGATCTCATCTCGAACTAACGTCAGCTACAATGCCAAAATGGTATTCAGCCAGATGAGTGGATGAATTACGAACCAATTATCCAAAACCTACTATCTTAAATATGACTGGTTCGTCCATAAATAATAGTCTCACCGTTCATTGTTAACTCCTAAGGATTTTACATTACCGTAGCCGATAATTCGAAACAAATTCAATGGTATATGGATTTACTTGAACAGATGACACGATTTCGTTAGCATCTACATTGATAATGGCTGGTAGAGGGTTTCCTGGACGTGGATTTTATACCAGCATTCCAGTATTGGTATATCGAGTGAGACTCCAAATTTAATATTGATTGCTATACATACTAGAACTGTAAACCGGGATAGACTATAACTTAGGCTACTGAAAATATGTACTATGAGTCGAACATATAAGACAAGCATCAAGTCGCACATTAAAGACACAACACTAATCTATTCACAATACAACGGAAATAAACAAGAGCAGTTGGAATTATTTTATTTTCACAACAGCACGAGATTAATTTAAAAAGACAAATACTAAAGGAGTTACATAATAATCTAGCAGAAACAATGATGAGGATGAGTAAACACAGAGGATATGGTTCGGAAAGATAGAATGGAGGAGTGCTGGAACTGGAGATCTAGAGGAAGTTGAAGAACGAATGCATTAAGACCGACTACGAGCCATGTCAATCAATGTCGTCAACCACTAATCGTGGTAATAGTGTGGGTCCCAACCAGGTAGCCTGTAACTATTAATAAGGCCCCTCACATTTAGCTAACAGCCTGTCATGTTGACACAATTTTTTATTAGCTCTTGTCCATAATTGTGTTGTCGTTGTTTGCACATTTATTCTGATTGCCTTTTACTCGGGGCTGCTCACTGACCTTGACCTGAGTTGCTTGCTTTTTTTTCTTGTTGGCTGGTGAATTGATCCCATTTCTACATGGCCATTGATTGATGGATGATAAAAGTGTCATGTTCTAAAACTTCTCTGCCATTCTTTGTGTTTCCATCTCCAGAGCTGATACAGGAAAATACAGAGACCTAAATTCCTTGAAAACCAACACATACTGACCAAATCCTCGATCACAACAACAACAACCCAGTGATTCATAAATTAAGCTGTGTACAAACACTCCAAACAGTGACAACACAAATATGGACAATAACCAATCAAAATTTATTTTAAAAGCGGCGAAATTCTAAAATATCACTTCATTTTGAGATATATATATATATTGGTAATATTTTTAAGAAAAACAATGAAGGCTTCAAGATTAAACCATACAGCTCAGACGACACAACACCATAAGAATATCAGTTCTTTTTAGACATCATGATGGTGAATATTGGACTTGTGTGAAATCTGAAAACATGACTATCTATCAGCTGACTCCAAACATTTAACCAAAAATTAAAGCTGTAAATAATGATTCTCATCTCAATAAACTTGCAACTCGTCAAACATATTTCCGCAAATATCCAAACAAGCTTTGAGTCAAAAATATGTTCACTGAAAAGTAAATACAAGTATACTAGTTTGGTCTCATCTAAGTACCTTACATTATTGATATAAATGACTTCAATGCATAAAAACAATATATATATATATATATATATATATATATATATATATATATATATAAATGGGAATACTAAACGAGAGGTAGTTAACACAAGTAATTAAGAAAGTTAACAATACCACTGCACATTTATACACGTACATACATAAATACAAAAAAAGAGATTAAACACACACCTCGTATAATCCAGCTTGAATCAATGTAGCAAGTAATATGGCATAATAATTATTCATTAAATCAATTCCAATAGAATCGTATTTAGTTATCAGACGACAACCTTCTGCAGGAATGAAATCACCTTCAATATCCCAAGCACTAGATGACGATGATGAAATACACCTTACTGGTAAGATTGAGAATAGACGTCGTGAAGAACTGTCCAAATATGAACATGACATTTCACTGCGTAAATAATCACTTCTTTTCCCTGGTGAACTCGATAAATTTATTACAGGCAACAAAGAATATGAACCAGTAGACAATGCTTCGATAAGACCCAGTATGGTTGGTTCTAATTCCTTGACAGATGAATGAGGTATAGGTATTGTTGGGAATAAACCATATAATAAGCTTAATATTTGGTTCTATGTAATAAAGAGAAAAACGAAAATAAAATGAGTTCAACAATTTAATGCAAGAAATAACCCTTTATCTATTTGCGTTGCATTTTCTGAGATGCATCATCCATCTCAAAAACATAACACTAATATACTTATTCTTAGATACAAGTATACTTTATGATCTCACCCCATGATCATTAATTTACAGTTACAGCTTAGTGGAAAAATAAATCAGTCGGATAATCTATGTATCTGCGTTCGAACATTCTATTAATTATACTAATTTTCTGTGTCCGTTGATTGTTTTTTTCTGTGATAGAAATCTGAACAGGCGTTTTATTGTGTGCTCATTGTTGCATTCACTATCTGTCTAAACATACATATCACTCCAGACTATGCACACTGAATCAGTCAGTTAGTCATGAACAATGTAGCGCCGAGCACAACTGCATATCTAAGTCATGTTACCTAATTAGTTATCAGTGCTAAGAATAAAGAAATTAGCAAGTTGAGATTTAGTGAAGGAAACATGATGATATTCATTCGGATTAAAAGCTGAATATAGAGTTGTAATTTAAAAGGGAAGAATACAATTCAAGAATGAAGTGAAGAATGACATTAGGCTTAAGGTTTTAAGGGAATAGCCAGAATCACTAACCTACGTGATTTAGGAAGATTTGAAGTGCACTATAAAGTCAGAAGTCTGAGTCTCAATACACCTACCTATATCTGAGTGGCAAGGTAGTTTAATAACTCTCACAGTAAATATGAATCCACAAACTAATCAACAAAGATCACTGAGTCCTCCTCCTGTCACCACTAGTGATAATAAAGCCAGTCCCAGCACTTATTACCAGGTCCACATGAAATCTAGCCTTAAGCACAAACATGAGCTACAAACGATTTTAATCCAGAAACTTAAATAACTGGCAAAAATATATAATACAACATGTGCTTCTTATTCAATTGAGTCAAAGATGATAATACAATGGAAATAACAGAAGTAATATAAATTTAGATATAAACAAATGATAAGTAAAATGCAAAATATCACTTGTAGTATTCCAGTTATCGTATTACATATAGTTGAGCTGTAAAAGGTAATAAGAGCCAGTGACTACAATATCTTAGATTGTACAGTTGAAAATTAATTATTATTAATCAGGCTACTACCATCATTTTAAATACTGAACAGTTTGCTATCTTCTACTCATTATTCAGTCCTGCCTTTTATTATTCTTACAAATTAGATTTATTTCCATTGCACAATTAAGTAACTAAATCCTATTTACGAAAGTTAGTGTAATTACCCGACATATTTTCTTGCTTTGGTTAAATTGGTAACACATAACTATAGTATAGCTGAAAATAAGTCATTAGTATATTCTATCAAGTGAAGAAAAAAATCCGATCAACTCACTCTTATTTCTGTATTACCAACAGCCAACGTATACAGTAGAGTTTGTAAAGTTGGGAGACCATCATGAATAAAATGGAAAATACCTATCAATAACAAAATAAAACTAAATAAAGGCTTAGAATAAAAAATAACAAAGATGTGTTTTTCTTTAAGCTGTATATTATGTGGTTATGTTGTACATCTCTAAAAAGCTATATTGTATTAGAATAGCTAACAGTCAGTCACAAACAATGTGGAACCTGCCAAATATATGCACTGGTTCAAATTGCAGCACAAAAACAACATATTGAAATATAATTAACAAGCAAAATCAGTGTAATAGGAGTAATAACAACAGTGAGGGTAAAAGAAGACTATATGGTTCGAGAAGAAAGGATGAATGACCTGGTAGTTTTTACTTACTAACACGGCTTCATGAGCTGATACTATATCTTGGTAAAAACTATGAAAAACCATTTTTAATTACCACTAAACAAAGAAAATACTTGAAAAGAAAACTAAAAGATTAAATCAAACAAAGACATAGTTGAAATCAAATCACAAATGTGAGATACCTGAGCACACACTACAAATAAACAATACAAGAACAATACTACGAAGTTCATAAATCTCTTAAGTTGTGATTGAAAAAACGAATCATGACAACTAAGTATAGCTTCTAAATTGTAAAGAAAAAGTTAACAACTGAGTAATATTCTTACAAAAGAGGGTTCTATGACTTGATGAGACGAAACTTTTGATTGATAGGGGGATTAAGTGAGGATTGATAGATAAACCTCGATGATACGTACTGAACAAGTGGTTGCTGTTGACAAAACCAATTCACTGAAGGACCACCCCCCTCTCGAATGCTTTGAGATCAAAGGCAAGAGAACCAGACGGAGGAATAGGCTTTCCAATGCCATAAAATGACATAGTTAATGTTACTTGAGGTAAACAATTTATAAATGTAATACTAATCAAGACAACAGTAATATTCGCCATTCGGCACTTGCACGTTTAACATTAGGAAAAAACGAAAAGTTATCCAGATAACTGCGGAAATAAGACGACTAGAACCCTTTATTTTATTGAGAATAGGGACTATCCAGTTTACATGGACTGTAAAATATAGTTTTACACATTAACGCAATAACCACAGGAATACTTTTAGAAGTGGTACAGTTTAGTTTAAAATTGATCAATAGTATATCAAGAACACGAAGAATAATGTTTGGTTTTTTTTAGATATGATATGTTACTTCTCTATCTTTAGTCGGATAAGAATAGTTCTGGGTATGTTGCGTCTACGATTTAGTAAACTAAGGGGTATAATCAAACGGAAGTTATATTTTTTTATTCTATTCCTTCGTCCCTCTCTCTCACTCCCTATCTAAGGCTAAACATTGTGGTCTGCAAAAGCTTAACTCAAAATAATAATTTATGACTCCATTGAATTAAAAGTAGTGTAGGTCTGTTTGACAGATATTATGAAGAGGGCAACAAAATTTTCCAAAGCAGCTTTCAGTTATTGATTTCTAGAACAATGGTGCTCGAAGCAAACCATAAAAATCAAAAATTCAATCTTCGGTAGGGCTTTAAGCACATACTGATGAGAAGCGGTATACATTAGAAGCGAAACAGCTCCGTCAGTTGTTATTAATTAAAACGTTTCTCCAAATGACTTCAGTTAGTTTACACAATTTAGGAAATATACTCCGAAAAAGTCTCAACGAAACCATTAGACTGAGATTAATACTATATTTTACTAAATAGTCAGAAAATAATAATACTTAAAGGCTACTAATTGATTTTGTTAATTAAACGAGAAATATTGACAAACCTATATGAACAACTATGGTGTATAAAGAGCACTAATCACTAAAACTTTATCTATCTGACAATCGTATTCAGAAAGTATACAGAACTGATAAACAGGATATATGTTCTGACCGCCATGACAAGAACAAAACAGGATAAATTCGAACCGGTCTATGCTTAGCTTAATGAAATTGCAGTTCGCATACCCTCTAATAGTTTATTTTCTAAATAACTGCTAACAATGTTTATTCTTGTGTTCAATATTTTATACATAAGCGTGCTATTTTGTCAAAAGAAAAACCTATTCTATTGTCTTGACTTTGTATGTTAGTTCAATTGACGTTAACAATTTGATCTCGTGAGCAGTTGTCACTCGACGTGTCGATCGGTATTCAATTTATTCATTTTAACAATTACAAACATTTTTTATGTAACAAACTCTAATTCATAAAATATATAATTTTAGATAAGCCATTCTTCATGCAAATTTGTATTAATTCAGCAAGCTATTTGTTTTGAATAGACACTACGAAGAATGGTACATAACAACTGAAAAATCAGAGTTTTGAACAGTTCATGGATCGTCTTTAACGATCATATTTAAGTGTCTATTCACAATCAAAAATGAGAGATTGAATATGGATTCATGATATATGTGTATATAATAAATCATGAATTATGTTTTATTCACACAAGATGATACAGAAAGGAAAATTAATTAAAACAAAATCGACGGTACTAAAAGACATATTAGTATAAATACGCCCATAATATTATTAAAATCACCACCCATTAGAAGAACAATAAAAAAATGAACACAGAGACAAATGCATGGAAAATTTACCTGGCCATGAACGAAGGAGAAGAATTAGACAATTTCTAGCACAGATCGGAAATGAAGGATATCTATCATCGCAATCCATTGAGAATCATATTAACAGAGAAAAAAGAGAGAGAACACTAATAACCTCATATAACATGTCAAAAAGTGCTGATTAAGGCTTTAAATTTTTAAGCAGTAGTTTACAGAAAAGGAAAGTTAATTAAGCTAAATAGGGGTTAAAATATTGATAGGCTTTCGAGATCGAAATGCACAGAGTTCAGATATACCTGTTTTTTTAGTTTGACAATTATTGGTCACCTAATCAAATGAAGAACAATTTTGTTACAATATGTCAATAACTATTATCATAGGAACCAAGAAATGCAGAAAGTATGCCATTCCAAACAGCGACTTTAGTAAATGTCTTAAGTCCATGAATTTATATCCTTTCTTTTCCACAACCTGAGTGTCTTATGAAGGCATATAAACAGTCTTTGATTGATGTATTTTAAGTCAAAGGTTTTTATCGTATCGTCACCTTTTGATTTTTGCGAAATTCAAGATTTATATTTGTTTGTGTTTGGATAGTCTATTTACCCAATATCTTATTAGAATACGCTTTTTTCACTTGAACAACATACATGATTCTCATAGTCAACTCAACAGAAACATAAAAGCATATAACTACGATAAACTGATTGTGTATAATTATAAAAAATAAACAGAGGTTCGAAATTCAATAAGGAATAGAGACGCATAGTATTTTAACTCAAAAGTATCCAACGCATACTTTCATGCTATAAGATGAATTTATCGCTGATTTTGTTTGTTTTTTTTTGAATCCTGGCATAATTTAAAAGAAGATACATAATTTTATTTATTGTAATAAACTCACACATTGAAAGGTAATTTCGATCGGGGCAGCAAACATGATGGAGATGTGAAGGTAACGAAGAATTTCTGCAATTTAATTTTTTGATGGGAGAAAAATAGTGAAAATATATTATAAATATTTTTAGAAAGCATAGAAGTCACATAATAAGTGTTTGGTAATAGTCTAAAAACTATACCCCACAATAATACAATTATTAATAAATTGAATTGACATTCAACCATTGAATTTCTAAATCGGTTATATATCACAATCGACTGAGTAGGCTGAGATATGTGCCACATATCCCTAGCAAACGCCTATTTTGACACATAACATTGGCACAGGTCGAAGTAGACTTCTTAGTTGGGGTAACTTTAATCAATGGTTTAAGAAACTGGGTGACATAAAACGAAAATGATCACAGTGGGACGAATGTATCATCCTCTAGATCTTGAATTTCAGTGTTATTACATACCTTTTATTCTGTAAATTGATTTATTCTTTCTGAATTATGTTCTTCATGACTAGTACAGTTTATACTATCATTGACACTAATATTACTAATCTGAGATTTTTGTTATCTACGTTGCTAATGCTAGCTTGCTTTGTTGATGTGGTGAGGCGACTTGGGATGATATACAACCATACTGGATCGTAATTTGAATAGGACGACTTGAAAAGTTCATTTAAACCATATTCAAGCCTACTTTGATTTTGGTAGCCAGTAATTTATCACTAGCCCTCATACTAGAGAATGTGGCTAAAAACCATATACATACGTTGGGACTTCATTAAGATTACCTCTTACTAAACTGTAGAAGAAAATAAATATTAATGATCATCAATTAACAAGGTTTGATTTGATAATTTTGAATAAATTGAGCATTGGGTTGATTGTTATAAATTAATAATATATTTGTAATATCCCAATGAGTAGAAAATTAGATTTTCTGAAGTTTCGTGATTTAGTGTAAGTCACTTCTTCAGAGAATAAATAACAGCGGAACAATCCGCTGTAGTATTTAAACTTGGATTAATTTTAATTTAGTTATTTATTCTCTGAAGAAGTGACTTACACTAAATCACGAAACGTCAGAAAATCTAATTTTCTACTCATTGGGATATTACAAATATATTATTTATTTATAATTATCAATTAAGGTTAGTAATTTGTATTTTATCAACTGTTATAACCATAGTCTCTAGTAAGTGCATCGCTTTCATTATAGACCATACTTATCATGGCTAACAGAAATATAAAATAACGATTACATGAGAACAATTCGGTTAATCAGATTTAAGTAACTAACATCAGACTACATGATAAAACCGAATTATAGGGACGACCTTCAGCGACACAATAACCAATCAAGAAATAATGTTTGATTATGAAACAAATATTGATAAACAGAAATAAACTTTCAGTAGATAAATAGTTTTGATATGATTAATGAACTCTTCTGTGTTGATTTATTTATTTTAGTAAACGAAACGACGATAAGGTTAGGTATCAGAGTTCAGGAGGGTTGGATTGGGAAAATAATTCCTATCCACATAAATGCCCTTGAACAAGCATACAGTTAAATCAAGTATAGTTTATAGATCACGTCACATACCCTATGGAACTCGATATAAACCAGTCCTACTTAGTTATTAGTTAGAAAAATGCTATACTTCGCTGAGCCTTCAATTTAGCACAAAAATCGGGGAAGGGACATCTCAAAAATGATTGGCTCACACAAGGTCATCAGTACAGTGAGGTTACATCTAACAATTTTTGTACAACACACAGGTACACACTCTGTGCGAAAAAGCTTTTCAATTGCACTGATCTACAAACAATAGCCGCAAATATAGTCAGGCATCACAGTCAATCCTAGTTTGTAATAAAATAGTGTGAAAATTTTCATTATTACATAGGTATTAATATCAACCGAATGATTGAATCAAAAGTTCATGACGTTCTTATCATGGATGGTTCCTTTACTAGAGCATAAATCACAAATCTATTAATTTAATTATTTGATACAGATAAATACTGGCACAATAGAGCACCGAAGTAAACATGCGACACACAAATAAGGAAATTTGATTGTGAAGAGATAGAGGAAGTGGGGAGTAAGGAATACAATCAGAAAGAAGTGAATGAATAGCATAATACGACTAGGAAGAATACTTTCCAGTAAAGAAGTTCCTTCTATTTATTTTGAAGATTACTAAACGACACTACAACAGGATCTCCATCAACCTCTGTTCTGAGTCATGTCTGTTGACGTCTCAACCCACTGTGTTGCACAATCTCTAGGACCCCAACTAGACAGTAGTGAAGGACCAACCGATGCCAGTCCTATACTGTTTTCCCTCCATACCACTGCGTCATGCCATGAACTGACCATCTATCCTCCTCTTCTAACCAATCCCAGAGTCGGAAAATAATGAACAATTTAGAATTCACTGGGGTGATACTCGTAATATGTGCTCAAGCCACGGTAGCCGGTTTTTCGAGATGTTGACACCAAGTGAGTTATCTTCACTGAACCCAAATACACATTATCAAACCTCTGTATTGGTAACATGATGTAACTTCCGGACGTTAGCTATCTTTCGGTGACAACGATGATAGGAAACAAAGTCACCGAATATCTTCAACTCGGAGGTCAGTGTTTTTTAGGTATAGAGCAAGATCGCTCTCACCGAAATGTTGTAACGTCAACTTTTTAGAGCCAGACTAACATCACAACGGTCCCAAGGATGGCCCAGATTGGTGTAAGCTGCTTTACCTTACATTATACGTAGAGTGATCTCACTCGCCACGCCACCACCAGCACACATACAGCTGCCTAAATACACAAACTTTCCGACTACTTCCAAAGCTCATTACGGAAAGTAACTGAAGGCTCAAGCTCCTACCAGCCTTGCAGAAGTACTTTGCCTCTAAAAGTGTCAGTCACGGGCCGTATTTACAAGTGAGATTTGCATAACTTACCAGTTTATATTGGTATTCAATTCAATTGTTTATAAATTAAAAATACAATATGCAAGACATATCTTACCGAAATAAGACTATTAGGTAAAAGTTGTGCACACTGTGAGCGATTAAGAACTGTAATCAACGACAGAATAACAGCTTCGTGAATACGTGATGAATGATATGTATGCATTGTACTATTATTGAACACGAATGTAGTCATTAAAGCTTGAATTATAATTTGTCCAATGAATGGAAACAATAATAGTAACTTTTCTTTGATTCCATTATCAATTGAAACGTTCAACTTTTTACTATCACTAGTATTATTATGATAATAAAATTGTCGATGATGATTGTTGGTATGATCGACATCATGATGATGACAATAATAGTAGTGGTAATAGTAATGATAATAATTGGAATAAGATAATTTAATTTTTGAATGATTAACAATTGAAGGATTTGTGCGTACAGCTAAACGTTCTAAGGCTAAAATAGCTAGAAAAGAAAAAAACAACGATTGTTAATTATTTGCAAATAAAATATATATAAAAAGGATATTTTCCTGTTGTCTGTGAAAGTAAAATTAATTCATAAAGGTCACACGATATTTAACTCATTCATTAATTTTTCAGCTACAGATTCGTGTATTTAGAGTTGAGCTACACTCTAAGTATGATGGGCTAGTGATATTACCCGATTGTTCAGACCGAAATATACATGCACTAGGGTTCGAGTCCACGATTAGGTAGATGGAAGTTGAACATTTTAACTACTGAGCCATCACTCTATCACTTAAACTGAAAGCAATACAAATAAAAAGATTATCTAAAGAGATGAATTGCATAGTTGAAGCACTTGATATCGGATCACTGATTCGCCATAATCACTTCGAATTACACAACTAGAATGTAGCAACACTCTATGGAACTATTGTGGTTGGAAAATAAACCCGTCATTAAGTGATATCTTATCATGAATCAAAAATTAGAAAATGCTGCTAACTACAACAACTCCATGAGTAAACAGTCAAGAATTAGGCCTGATAGTCAAGTCCTTATTCCAATTCCATAACTCCGGCGATTTAGTATCATATGTAGTTACTTGACATTGACTAAAACGACCATGTTGAGATTTTGACTTGAATGATAACACATTTGATAATGCGATCAACTGATCTAGAGTTGTATCCGTAAGCTAAAAACAAAAGTGAATGAGAACGATGAAACATACATGAATACTCTCATAAGAACATGGATAGCGTTTGTAATATAATGAATTTGAAATCATATTTTTTGGTTTGCATTGATGGTAAGATATATATTTATTGTTCGCATAAATATTAACACATGACATTGATGGTACTAGTTTCAACTCATTCACAGTTCGAAGTCACCTGAACTTAAACAGATTTATGTGAGAAGATGGATGGAAAAACTGATATTTTGATTGATCTACTTACTCATTTGTGGGACATTATCCAATCAGTCATTAGGAAACAGGATAATTGAGAACAGAGTTATTTGGAATAACCTAACAACAATGAATGTTATACATGGGCAAAACTTTATTAATGTTCATTGACTAAATTTCTTTAAGAACTATAAATAGTTTATCTTTAGTATCTGAATCTAAGTCACCTAGCTCTAGATCAAGTTGAATACTTGCATGCTCAAATCTGAGAAAGCAGACATCTAATTTTCAACCAATCAGAGCAAGCAGATGAAGTAGGAAGATACTATAAGACTATCATGTAAACTCAATATAAACCGTAGTGCTTTTATTACTGCATATTTTGCATTTAGGTTTACTAGAATATACTTTGTTCCTACTTGTTTTTTGTTCCGATTTGGAACGAGCCAAGTGAAGTATCGCGTTTAAAGGATACGAGACAATGAAAAACGTAAACATGTAAAACTAAGTTAAAAAATGGATGAATTACGTTAAGATGTATATTTCACTTTTGTTATAATAAAAATTACTTAATTTCACCGTATACATATACATTATTACGATGGGAATATAAGGGCCGAATTACTTTAAAAATAAACATTTATTAATATTTGATCTTTGGGAAGAAATAATATCAACTACTTTCTAAGCAGACCTGGAGTGTGGTTAGCAGTGGAATCTGGGACACTCATTTGATTCCGTTTGCGATGTACTTGCATTTCGAACTTGATGTTCACTCCGATATCGGGATCAGGAATTTTTTGCTTCAAACTTAAACGCGTTATCCAAAATCTAGGTAGAAACTGGTTTATGCAATAGGGTGAATTTTAATTCATTTGCATGAGTTGTCCGAATCTCCCGATTGGCGTCTAGGATTGGAATTAGCAAGCCTTTGTGTGTGAATCTTGTATGTTTTTACTTGAAGTGAAAGGTACTAAGTACGAATTTCGGGGTGAACATCAACTCTAGGAAACAGGTACATCCAGCTCACGAGTCTTAAAGAGGATGAAACGCGAGTTATTGGTTCTACTGTCAAACATCATCTATCTCTGCTTAAGTGTTTGTGGTTTAATAGTATCGACGCAATCCGAAGAGGATGTACATTAGTCAAAAGAGACTGATTAATTCCAATCCTAAAAGTCAGTGGGGAGATTCAAATGACCAATACAAATGGATTAAAATCAACTAAATTGTAGGAAAAACAATTGGGCATACATAAATATCAGTATCTGGTCTGTTGGTTTTAAGTAGAAAAACAAACACATGTGAATGTAAATAACGTGTTACATAAAAAAATTTAAATTACTAAATATACATATGAAAATGACATGGAAATAAACGCATTTATAGTGAATATCAATGCGGTTTACTTTATGTAAAGAGCATAACTCCACAAAATGACAACAATAAATTGCCCAGAGATTAGCATAACGATTAATTTACTGTAGGAATGTTTATGTACACGAATAAAATAAAATGGAGAAAAAGTATGACGGAAGAAAATGACAAAAGCAATCAAACACATTCGCCTCAGAAATCGTATAAATATATATATATATATATATATATATATATATATATATGGTTTATTTTGCTGCAGTCCAATATATCATTGAGTAAAGCTATACAATATTAAGACGTTAAGTGGTTGTACAAGTAACCTTGAGATTAACTTATCAAAAATTAGACAATCATGATGTAAGCGATGTAGAATAGTTTCGATACACAAAAAGTGATACAATTATAAAGGATTCAGAGTTAACGCGCCTAATAAACTTATTGGGGAAAACTATTGGAAATCATAGTACTGTAACCCAGCCCAACACTAACTCCTAATCCTAACATCCAGATCCAAACTCTTCATTCCACAAGAAAATCATCATTCAGTCTTTTCAAAATCGAAATATAATCGAAATCGTGACGTTCAGCAACAAGTAATGGCATTTTAAATTATTCCTAATGATTAACTTCGACTATCGAAATTTAACTTGGCCGCTAACGGCCAGAGGCATAGTAGTCTTACCTATTATTGATAGAGAAAACTTGGGAGACACACTCATTTTCCGAGAGTCATACAAGATCTTGACATAGTCAGTCAGTCAGTCAGTAACAACGTGGAACTTCGTACGTACGTACATCAGTTCGAGTTTCCATACCACATTAGCCCAGAGATACAGTTATCGATTCAAATCCCGTAGTGCTAGAGGTAGTAAAAGTATAAGTAGTAATAGGGAACATTAGGGTTTGAAGATGTCATTCAAGGGGTACAATCCAGTGAAATAAACTTGGAAAGAAAAAGAAAAGAAAGGGACATGAAGAATTTAAAAGATTAGAATTTGGGAGAACACAAAGAGTCGATGCACCTACGCACACTATTTCAAACGATTTTGAGCCATGTCATTCAGGATCCCTAACCATCGGTTGCTATCATCTCGCGGTCCCCAACCAGGTAGTCTACACCTACCTACATGGCTCACTCCACTTGTCAGTGACTTCATGGATTTGTGCTATGTTTTGGTCTGACCGCCCCTAGCTTTCTTCCAACCTACTCCTACACCATAAAACATAGCACGTCGGGGCAGTCGGTGGTCGGGCATGCGCAACACATGTCCCAGCCATCTCAAATGATTGAGTTTCACTACTTCCTCAATTGATTTGCCATCCTTACCTAATACCCGTTTCCTAACAACTGAGTTACTTACTCGGTGGTCCCAGGATATACGAGCAATGTTTCGAAGACACCTATGATCGAATACTAGTAACCTACGAATATCCTCTACTCTTACTGGCCATGTTTCACTGCCATAAAGTAGGACGGAACGAACTGCTGCGCAGTAAACACGTCCTTTGGTTGATAGGCGGATATCTCGCCTACGCCACAAATGACGCAAGTTGGCAAAAGCTAGTCGAGCCTTCTGTATCCGTGCTGAGACTTCGTCACTCATCAGACCACAAGGGCTGATGAGACTCCCAAGATAAGTGAAGCGGTTGACACGCTCAACTACTTCACTCCCTATCACTAGTTCGGGTGTCGACGTAACCCAATCCTGAAGCAACATTTTGCATTTCGAGGGAGAAAATCGCATGCCGAACATGCCTGCATTGTTGCTTAGAATGGTCAGCAGACTCTGCATTTTGTCAGCGTCTTCACCAAATAGAACTATGTCATCGGCATATTCTAAGTCAACTAGTGAATTTCCCGGTAGAAGTTCAACTCCTGGAAATTTAGATGAGGAAAGTGTCATCTCTAAAAGCAAGTCAACGACAAAGTTAAACAAGAATGGAGAGAGTGGACAGCCCTGACGAACACAACTTGAGGTAATCAGTTCTGATGACAGTTCGCCATAAGCTCTCACTCGACCAGTTGTGTTCGAGTAGAGAGCCTTTACAAGGTTAATGCACTTCTTTGGTACTCCTTTCAGTGACAAACACGATCAACAGAGTCAAATGCCGCCTTAAAGTCGAGAAGTACTACCATTGTGGGGCGTCTGAATGTATGTCTATGTTCTAGGACCTGACGTAGTGTGAATATCTGGTCTATACAACCACGTCCAGGTCGAAAAACAGCCTGATTTTCTCTAGTCTGTTCTTCACGAGTTTTGGTTAGACGTCGAAGTATTATTGAAGTCAATATTTTAAACACTATATTAGTCAAACTGATTCCTCTGTGATTGTCACAAGAGGACATTTGTCCTTTCTTATAGACTGGCACAATCAGTGATTGAGACCAGTCAGATGGGATTACGTTCAGTTCCCAGATTCTACCTAAGACCTCAGTCAATCTCGCTGCTAATACTGAACCGCCATCCTTAAAAATCTCAGGGGTAAACCTGTCAAGGCCTGCTGCTCTTCCACGATCCAGATTTCCTATAGCTTTTTCAACTTCGTAAAGCGTCGGATGACTTACCTCAAGTATATCATTCTATGATAAAATAGTGTGACGAACTCAAGAGAGAGAGCTGAAACGACCTCATCTCAATACAGTCACGTTTCTTAGGCACATGTGATTTTGCAGGATACCAGCTTTCTAGGTACGACTCTGTTTTTCCATTATCTCTCTCCACTTCTTATTATGTCAGTATGTATGCGATTACTGGTGAAATTAGTGTGAATATTAATTTGCATAAGTAAAAAATGATATAATAGATTTACCAGACTTATTATTTAACGCTTTTCTTGTTTATCAAAAAACTATAGCATCAACTACAATCCAACCATACTAAAACGTGTGACAAAGCGACAATGTTCTTTTGAAATTTTATTTAATACAAAAATGTCCCGGTACAACTAATGAAAGTATACGGGCAATCCTTTAGAGGTATAAGTATGGCAACGAAGACTAATCAGACTCCAATTCTATCAATCAACAAACGGGATAATACAAAAGCTTAACGAGTAAAAGTCAAACGCGTTGAAAAAGATAACAAACATCTGGACTTAGTAAGTGAAAGAGGAAATTATTTATGGAACAAGTTACTATTCTTTCAATGATGCTGATTCATTATTAGTGGATAAATTGAAGACATAACTCACTAATTTCTAGATTGATTTATTCAGAGTTGAGACTTACGGTAGAGTGCAAATTTACTGAATACTGATTGATGAAAATAAAATCTTAGTAAAATAAAAGAATGTTCATGAAATTAAGAAATAAATTAATCGAAACATGGTAAAACAAAAATAAGCAATAAATGTTTCTTAGTTTAGAAGGTATAAACAGCCAAATCAAAACGCTCACCTAATTCAGCAAGAATTAGTAAACAACCCCGGATAGTTGTATCTAGCTCCAGATCATTAAAATCATTTACTTTAGCTTTTGCTTCTCCGAAATCTCCAATACGACAAGGACGATTTTGAAGTATATGACGCGATACAACTGCAGGAACTCCCATACCTGATGCCGCATGAGCACCTTCTTTATTACTAGATTCATTTGAATTAGCAATCAAATAACGATGAACTTCTAAACAAGGAGCAGCAACAGCATGAATTATACTTGGAGGAATTAATTGTGGTGTAAGTTGAGTGAGGTAGTAAATCAAACGCAGTACAATTTGGCGCTCACCAATAGAAGACAGAAAAGGTGGTGAGGAATTTCGAGTTGTCATAGTTGATTTTATAGGATGATCAGTATCCGAAAAACGAGGACGAGAGAAACCTATCATAATGATTTTTTAAATAGTATTCCAAAAAAATTAATAAACAAAAAATTATTACCGTCAATTTATGTTTAACGACCCATTCCCTGATTGGGAGCGTACAAACTATTAATAAAACTGATAATCCAGAAACAATGACGCGAAAATTACCAATCAGTCATTATTGACATAGAGCCTACAACATCACCGACCAATTCCCCACCTTTCTCTAGTAACCTCCGTCTAATCTTAAATTTACTTACTAAATCGTTTCACGAAGCACATGCAATACTTCGAAGAAACATATAGTCAAAAAATTGTGGCCATAAAAGAATACATAGTAAACTACTCAGAAATATGCAACCGCTTTAGTTGGTAGACAGATATATTCCCTACTCTACAAGCGATGAAATTTCCCGAAGGTCAACCAAACTTTCAGAACCTGTGCTGAAATTGTCGAAATTATGGTTGATGGGTAGTATCGAGAAGACAACATGCTACTTATATAAACCAGTGTCTTTTCTAAGTCAATGAATGACTTTAGGTCGTTAAATTGCCCAACTAGTTTGATCGATTATTAGAGGACGTACATCTATCACATTACTTCCACTGTGTTAAGACCTCGGGAAATATTCCTAACAGCACGCGCAAAAAATTAGATTCATTTATTTTTATTTACCACCCAACTGAACAGCTGTCTAGAGGAATTCAAAAAGCTATAAACAGGAGCCGACTACTAAAAAAATAATAATAACTGTTGTATAAATAAATTATCATCAATCTCGTTTAATTTCAAATGCTTTCCATATAAAACAAAATTTATTACTCTTGGTTTTATGGCATGAATTCTGTTCGTAGAGCTTTAGGCAAAACTTTTACAAGAAAAAAAGTGCAAAACACTGTATGTGCATTTATCACTTTAAATAGCGACACAATTTGATTTTTACTAGTACAATTACAATGATACCCAAAAGAACTATTATACTATAATTCTTTAAATATTTTTCATTTTAATTCTCGTTTTCCCTCTATCGTGTTCTGTTTTGACATATTTTGTAGCTTTTATCTTATACTAAAATATGATGATTATCATTTTTACCATTTCAATCGCTTATATGTCTCTTATCACTAGGCCTTTCGCAATACAACTAACTCTCTTAGATCTTCACATCATTAGTCATGTTTTTATATATATAATTGATCGTCAGAATTATACCAGCTCAAACAAGTAAAGATTATTTAATATCTGCTTTACAGCATCGACTGCAAAGACGTGAGATTATAAATTATATCAACTAAGCATCTTATTGCATAATTAGATAAAGAATTTGAAAAGGCTAATTTTTTATGGTATTAGTCAATTCCATGTACAGATTTTTATGATCGACTTTGACTAACAATGTTTATTTGAGGGGTTAATACTACAATCCAGCAAACCAAAGCCGAAGTAGGTAGAGCACAGTCTGAATATGAAAGATAGGTGATTTAAGCACTAAGACAGACAGATCATATTCGTTAAGCTATGATAGATACCTAGAGAGCCGTGTGTTAGATTAGTCTTTATAATCACATCTGTGAATGAGATCACATTCACCCATAAAACTCCCTTCAAAATTCAACAACCAATCAAACACAATTGACCTCGTCTCTTATTTCTAATGTTTCATTTTCAAGTGCTTTCTAGAAGAGTAGTATCCTTAGTTATCCTATCGAAAATAAAGCTCAAAGTCGATCACATGAATCTGTACTTTGCAAGTGAATTACATTAAATTTAGTTTGTGCTCGGATTGTGTGAAACGCGTAGAAAATATAACACATGAGGAAATAGACAAGGTCTCAATCAAGTTGTGGATTCCATATTCACATAGCTTCTCTCCACTGACAAACGTATGGCAAGCTAACAACCAGTTTATTTAGCTAGTAATTAGGTTTGATTTTTATTAGCTGAAAATCAACTGCTTGTTATACTGAAATATTTATCGACACACTGAAAGTTCTATACAATGGTAACTTAAACAATATTAGAGTACATAACTGTTCAATAAACTCCGCCTGTAGCTCTCCTAGAGTTACTGCCGGTCTCAAGCCCGGATAAAAGAAGAGGGTTGGGCATGGGGTTAGCGTCCCTATCCCGTAGAAAACTAACTCGCTAAAAAAACGCTAACCAGAAAAAAATAACTCAAACCATTTAAACTCTGCCCTGGGAGTTAAAAGGTCTTCATTTAGAAGAAATATGACGCCTCATGGTGAAAGCCATGAGGCCAATGCCCCTTCTAACAACCAGAGCAACAAATTTTATAGGTACATGGAACGTCCGGACAATGTGGGAGATCGGGAAGACCAGTCAAATAGCAACATAAAAATGAGGAGATACAACTTGGCAGTACTCGGAATCAGCGAAACCCATTGGACCCAAGCTGGACAACAAAGCCTAAATACGGGAGAGATGCTGCTATACTCCGGTCACGAAGAGGAAAATGTCCCACACACTCAGGGAGTTGCTCTAATGCTGTCCACAGAAACACGAAATGCACTTGTAAGATGGGAATCTCACAGATCCAGAATTATCAAAGCATCGTGCAAAACAAAGAAGGAGGGGATCACAATGAATGCTATCCAATGTTATGCACCCACAAATGATAGCAACGACGACGTTAAAGATCAATTCTATGAGAGGCTGCAATCAATCATAGAGAAGTGCCCAAGAAAAGACCTCACCATTCTGATGGGAGACCTAAACGCCAAAGTCGGAATGGACAACACCGGATATGAAGATATCATGGGACGATATGGACTGGGAGAGAGGAACGAAAACGGGGAAAGATTCTCAAATCTGTGTGTATTCAACAAATTGGTCATAGGCGGCACAATATTTCCACACAAACGTATACACAAAGCTACATGGATCTCACCGGACCACACCACAGAGAACCAAATAGATCATATTTGCATCGATAAAGAGTTCCGAAGGACACTGGGAGATGTGAGAACCAGGAGAGGAGCGGATATTGCTTCAGATCACCACCTCGTTGTAGCCAAATTGAAACTGAAGCTAAAGAAGAACTGGACAAACAGCACCACAAAGGTTCAATACAGCCTTCCTTCGAGATACCGACAAACTCAATGAATTCAAGGTAGCTCTCAACAACAGGTTCCAAGCCCTACAGGATCAACTGAAGGAAGAAGAAACTACTATGGAGGATAACTGGAAAGGTATCAAAGAAGCATTAACTTCAACGTGTCAAGAGGTTCTGGGCCCCAAGAAGCATCATCACGAGGAATGGATCTCTATAGAAACACTAGACAGGATCAAAGAAAGAAAGAACAAGAAGACAGCAATTAATAACAGCCGAACAAGAGCAGAGAAAGTCCAAACACAAGCTGAGTACATAGAAGCAAACAAGCAAGTGAAGAAGAGCATTAGAGCCGACAAGCAGAAATACGTGGAAGAACTAGCAACGACGGCGGAAAACGCTGCAAGAGAAGGAAATATGAAACAGCTTTACGATACAACAAAGAAACTAGCAGGGAAATATAGTAAACCAGAGAGACCGGTCAAAGACATAGAAGGAAGACCGATCACTGAGATTCAGCAACAGCGGAACAGATGGGCAGAGTACTTCGAGGAACTCCTGAATAGGCCGGCTCCAGTGAATCCACCGGACATCGAAGCAGCACACACAGATCTTCCCATAGATGTCAATCCACCAACGACGGAAGAAATCAGAATGGCCATCAGACAAATCAAGAGCGGGAAAGCAGCAGGACCCGACAATATACCGGCTGAAGCACTGAAGTCAGACATCGAAGTTACTACAAACATGCTCCATCTTCTATTCAAGAAGATTTGGGAGGAGGAACAAGTGCCGATGGATTGGAAAGAAGGACACCTCATCAAGATTCCAAAGAAAAGAGATCTGAGCAAGTGTGAAAATTACAGAGGCATTACACTACTGTCAATACCAGGAAAAGTCTTTAACAGAGTGTTACTGAACAGGATGAAAGACGCAGTTGACGCTCAACTTCGAGATCAACAAGCTGGATTCCGTAAGGACCGGTCGTGCACAGACCAAATTGCGACACTACGGATCATCGTCGAACAATCAATTGAGTGGAACTCGTCACTGTACATCGACTTCATTGATTATGAAAAGGCATTTGACAGTGTAGATAGAAGAATGTCATGGAAACTTTTTCGACACTACCGAGTTCTTGAGAAGATTGTCAACATTATCTGAAACTCATATGACGGACTACAGTGCAAAGTAGTGCATGGAGGACAGCTGACAGATGCATTCCAAGTAAGGACCGGAGTCAGACAAGGTTGTCTACTCTCTCCCTTTCTCTTTCTTCTGGTGGTCGACTGGATTATGAAGACCTCGACATCTGAGGGAAAACACGGCATACAATGGACAGCTCAAAACCAATTAGACGATTTAGACTTCGCAGATGACCCAGCCCTCCTATCCAATACACACGAACAAATGCAGATAAAGACAGCCAGCATAGCAGCAGTCTCTGCTTCAGAAGGCCTCAAAATACACAAAGGGAAAACCAAGGTCTTCAAATACAACACGGAGAACAGCAATCCAATCACTCTTGATGGCGAAACTCTAGAAGATGTGGAATCCTTCACATACCTGGGAAGCATCGTCGATCAACAAGGAGGTTCAGATGCAGACGTAAAGGCGAGGATTGGCAAAGCAAGGACAGCATTCCTTCAATTAAAGAACATATGGAACTCAAAACAACTTTCAACCAATATCAAAGTCAGAATCTTCAACACAAACGTCAAGGCAGTTCTACTGTACGGAGCTGAAACCTGGAGAACTACAACAACTACCATCAACAAAGTACAAGTATTTATCAATAGTTGTCTACGCAAGATACTCAACATCCATTGGCCGGATACCATCAGCAACAGCCTTTTGTGGGAGAGAACCAACCAGCTTCCAGCTGAAGAGGAGATTAGGAAAAGACGATAGAAATGGATAGGACATACATTGAGGAAATCATCAAACTGCACTACGAAGCAAGCGCTAACTTGGAATCCTGAAAGAAAGCGGAAAAGAGGAAGGCCAAAGAACACATTACGTCGAGAAATAGAAGCGGATATGAAAGGGACGAATAAGAATGGAAAGAGCTGGAAAGGATTGCCCAGGATAGGGTTGGATGGAGAATGCTGGTAAGCGGCCTATGCTCCTTCGCGAGGAGTAATAGGCGAAAGTAAGTAAGTAAGTAAGTAACTGTTCAACAGCTTTGCTCCCTAAAGATAGTAGTGCTAAACTAGGTTGTCTGATCTAATCACTTCAAAAACACCTTACGAGTATAGTGACAATGAAGAATGGTTAATTGAAGTTTCTTCATATTTAAGTAAGCCGACAGTATCTCATTGTGCAATTATATGCAGACAACTCAAACTTCACCTGATCGGTCGGTGATCAGTATCCATAGTGTTCCAACAAGGTATTAATTACCTATATAAAATTAAGAGAAGTTTTTGCATCCATCGATCTCGGTAGTGAACTATTGACCATATTGAGAAGTTTGTGTCTAGATAGGCATCTAAGAATTACTGGTAGTGTTGAAAACAAGACAATGTATATATCAAACTCCCCAACTTTTTATTATCACATCAATCCAGGTATAAAATTCCTACAGACTACGTAATCAAATGGCTTGGATACGGAGCAAACCCGAACTTGTTAAAAATTATGTTATTTTCTTATATTCTACATAGGCGGTAAGATACTATTTTGACAAATGAAACCTATTCTGGTTCGAAGGGCTGGTTTTAAAATAATATTATTAGATTTCTTATTATCATTAGTATTTTCCCTGCTCCAGTTTTAAAACCTATTGAAACATCATTTCGCACAGACCAGTACTTAATACCCAATCGTTAAGTATACTATCACATGAAATAGCCAAATAGCACCATATAGAATACGAAACAATCAAAACTAACATAAAACAATGTAACATACGGGTAGCATTTGTCCCTTTTAATAAGACGCCAGAGGATTGATAATGATCACTAATTAGCTGACGATTTGATGATTCTTCACTCAACTGGTAAGATGAAGAATTACACGTAGAACTGATTGGATTCGATGTGACAAGGAATTTAGTACGAGGACTATTATTTACCCTTGAGGTAGCCGAAGAATCTCCAGACAACCCATTTGATGAAATAAACTTTGTGGGATAATAAGATAAGTCCATACATCTACAGTAAATTTTTACAAAAACCACACAATTGACATTTTATCTGATATTTAATATGTGCATATAGAAACATGTTGATCAGCAATAAACACACTTATTTTTGCAAAGCTTCAAGATTAAGATTACACCTCATCGACAGTAATAGTTTACTGAGCCCCCAAATGCCCTGGTACGGCCGAGAGTGGGGAGAGTCCGCTCTCCCTCTCGAAATGCTCTCACATGGCCATGCGTATATAGCCTCTGCCATGGAAGTCCTACTCACTGCCTTCTCGTGGCGGGGGTGTTGTTTACAAAAATGAGAGGACGAAAAGCGAATGTCTGGCGCTTTAACCGGACCCCAAACCAATGGTGCACATGGGCTCCAGTATCCTGCGGGAACAAATGGCGTATGAACCAATCGTTGGTCACCGGCTACCATGGGACTGCATCTCCTCACGATGCTCCACTGCCTTGTGGGTCAGACGTTCAGGTCAAAGGCTCGGGGTGTGGCCTCCTAAGAAAACCACCTGCTTCGGTTTGGGCACCCGGGCAGTATCACAGCCCTCACACAAATCAATTGAGATTTGTGTGGCGCATATGTATTTGGTGCCTCCTTGTACCTATACTTATGTGTTCAAATAAATAAAATAAATAAATAAAATAATAGTTTACTGAAAAATCTAAATGTATACGATTCAAAGCAACAATTAGTCCGAGTATAGTTTTGGAATCTAGTGGAAAAAAATCAAAGTTTTTAAACGATAAATTAAATGATGGAGAGACTCCTAGCTCAAGAGGAGAATTCGGGAGGCACTGTGTTCTCTGAGCTGGACCATTTAATCAAGTTTTCATTGTCCTTCTGAACATTACCAGCTCCTACTACGGAATGAAGTGAGCTTTATGAATTTCTCGATAATCGACACACAAACTGTTCTGTTGAAACTAATATTGATTGTTGTTCTTAATTGTATAACCGCTGTTTGCATATTTATTTCTATTGTCTTTTTTGTGGACCAGATAAAATTTATTTTTATTTATTATTTGAACACATAAATATTGGTACAGGGGGGCACCAAATATATATGCGCCACACAAAACAATGATAATTTGAAAAGGAGAATATATATATATATATATATATATATATATATATATATATATAAAAGAGGGAGAGAACAATGATGGGGAAAACGGAAAGGTACAATCAGAAGAAATCTTTCAGTTAAGGAAGATACAACCATTTTTTATGAAGAAAGTAATAGCAGGTTACAGAAGGATCGCCACTGGCTTCTATTCTGAGCCATATCTGATAACGTCTCTAGCCACTGTGTTAGCCATCTCTCAGACCCCAGCCAGGGAGTCGTGAAGGACCAAAACAAGCCAACCCTTTGCAGTTTTTTTTCATACCACGACACCATGTCATATACTGACCACCTCTCCGCTTTTTCCAACCAGTCCCAGAGTCGGCGAATCATGCACGACGAGGAATTCTCTGGGACGACATTCGTAGGACATGTCCAGGCCACCGAAGTCGATGCTTCAAGATAGTGGCACCAATTGAATGATCGTCACTGTTACCGAACACACGATGCCGAACCTCTGCATTACTGACATGGTGTTGCCACTGAATGTCAGAAATCCTTCGGAGACAACGATGATCGAACACAGAGAGTCGTCTCACATCCTCAACTCGGAGAGGCCAGATTTCACAAGCATAGAGCAAAACTGCTCTCACTGACGCTTTGTAGATCCGACCTTTTACAGCCAGACCAACATCACGAAGGCGCCAAAGATGGCCCAGATTGGCATAAGCCGCTCTGGCTTTCACTATACGTGCATTGATCTCATCACTCACACCACCACCAGCACTTATGCAGCTACCTAGATACACGAACTTCTCGACTACTTCTATCTGCTCACCGTCCAGAATGAGTACAGGATTAGAATCCTGCCAGTCTTGTAGGAGTACTTTGCACTTCGAAGGTGCGAAGCACATACCATACCTACGGACATTGATTGCTAACTGATTAAGTGCGGATTGCATGGCTTGAACATTCTCGCACAGTAAGACAATATCATCCGCATACTCAAGGTCGAGAAGTCTTTCTCCAGGCAACAGATCCACACCACCATTACTTACATCCGTCAGAGCTGTCTCCAGAATATCATCGATGGCAAAGTTGAAGAGGAATGGTGAGATTGGGCAACCCTGCCTATCTCCACTGCTTGAGTGGAACAGTGGAGAGAGGTGGTTGTATACTCTCATTCTGCCTGAGGTGTTTGTGTATAGGGCTTTTAGGATGTTAATAAACTTCTCAGGCACACCCTTCTTCAATAGACAATCCCAGAGAACAGTTCTGTCCAACGAATCGAAGGCAGCCCTGATATCAAGAAACACTACGATTGTTGGCCTTTGATAAGTATGACGGTGTTCTAACATTTGGCCGAGGGTGAAGATATGATCAATACATCCTCGACCAGAACGAAACCCAGTCTGCTCCTCGCGAGTCAATCTTTCTCGGGTTTTGAACAACCTACGAAGTATGACGGAAGCCAATAGCTTGGACGTAATCGGAAGTAGACTTATTTCCCGATAGTCGTTACAGGAACGACGTGAACCCTCTTTAAAGATAGGGACAACTATCGACTCATTCCATGACGTTGGTACACACTCTAGTTCCCAGACCTTTGTAAACAACGTCGTCAGTCCCTTAGTCAGAAAGTCACCACCATCTTTAAAAAGAGCCGGAGGTAAGTCATATGAGCCCGGTGATTTGTAACGTTTCAAGAGTTGGAGTTCCTTGCGGACTTCCGCCTCATTTGGTGGATCAGTCGTCGCCGGCCATGGAGCGCAGGGCAGTCTGACAGATGTTGCCGGAGCAGCAGGCCAGTTGAACTGCCCTTCAAAGAATTCTGCCCATCGTCCAAGACGTCGATGGATGTTAGTGACTGGCGTTCCGTCATCCTCGCAGATTGTTTCGCTCACACCAGACTTCTTGCTGCCAGTGGCTCGGATGAGTTGGAAGAGCTTCTGGTAATTACCAGATGCAGCTGCTGCTTCCAGCTCATTAGCACGCTCCGACCACCAGGCTTCACGGTCCTTACGCAAGCTTTGCCCGATTTCATTACGTAACATCCTTCGTCTGTGGTCAAACTCACGGTCACCCGGAGTAGACCGACGGGCTTCAATCAGTTGTAAGGAACCAGAAGAAACCCAGTGCTTGTAAGCGGGACGTTTCGCAATCCCACAGCTGACTTGACCCGCCATTTTCATGGCGTCATGCAATTGCAACCAATGCTCATCTATACTTTTCGGTGGAATGGTAGCTAGCCTAGAAGCTAGCTCGGTTCGGTACTTACTAGCAACAGAAGTTGTAGCTAGCTTGCTAACATCAATCCTTTGGTAGCGGTCACTTTGTTGTCCACTGAAAAGTAAGGTGAGATTGGCGCAGACCAGAGCATGATCAGATTCCAGATAGGTACTCCAAAAGGAGCGGCAGTCTTGTACACAACCACGCCAGCGGCAGCTGATCGCGATGTGATCAATCTGAGTCCAGGCTTGAGATACAGAAGGAGGACGCCAGGTGGCACATCGGCGATGACTGTGCCGAAAGTTAGTGCTAGCCAGAAACAGATTGTGGTCTGTGCATAGTTGCAGTAGACGTTCCCCGTTATCTGTCCTGCGACCAACAAGTCCCCATCGGCCACCTAAACGACTCTCTTCTGTGCCTATACGCCCGACCTGAGCATTCAAGTCTCCGGCTAGTACTACAATATCTGTCGAACGCACTTACTGGAGAAGAACAGTTAACTGGTGGTAGAATTCATCCTTGATTGCATCCGGGCTGCAATCTGTCGGGGCATAGGCGGAGATGACGAAAAGACATCGTTTCTCACGCCGATTTCTTTTCACTTTGATGGTTCTTTGTAATCTAACAGCACATAACCGACTGTTAATGGGGATCCAATCGATTAGTGCTGCCTCAGCTCTAGCGCTTAGTGCGACAACAACGCCAACAAGACCAGATGAAGATGCCACAGGGTCCCCGGATAAACGCACATAAAACAAGCTTTTTGAAGCGACAGATGGAGAGCGAACTTGTAGTACCTCACCAGTCTTGAATACGGGTCTCGGATAGACAACAAAAGTCAATATTAAGACTTTCCAAAGACATAGCTAGCCCTATCTGTTGTCTGACCTTCATAAGTGTGCGAACGTTAAAGGCAGCTAGTTTGAATGGTGTGCGTGGTTTCAGAAAAACTGCTTCAGTACTCTTATTCGATGGTAACATACAATTTTCAACCAGGCAGTGACTCGAGAACGTTTAGATAAAGCTGAATTTTCACCATAGGCGAGCTGCTGTCTAGGTCGGAACGGATACATAAAGTAGGTATAAGAGAGGGTGAATAAATGACGTGGTAAAATAATAATAATAATAATAATAATAATAATAATAATAATAATAATAATAATAATAATAATAATAGTACGAGTCATTTCAATGTTAATCAGAGAGAAAGGAATATTTTCCATAAGCAAATAGTTCATCATGATTTTAGTGCGTGGGCTGAGATACTGCCCGGGTGCCCAAACCGAAGCAGGTGGTTTTCTTAGGAGGCCACACCCCGAGCCTTCGACCTAAAGGTCTAGTCCACAAGGCAGTGGAGCATCGTGAGGAGATGCAGTCCCATGGTAGCCGGTGACCAACGATTGGTTCATACGCCATTTGTTCCCGCAGGATACTGGAGCCCATGTGCACCATTGAATTGGGATCCGGTTATAGCGCCGGACATTCGCTTTTCGTCCTCTCATTTTCGTAAACAACACCCCCGCCACGAGAAGGCAGTGAGTAGGACTTCCCTGGCAGAGGCTGTATACGCGTGGCCGTGTGAGAGTATTTCGAGAGGGAGGGCGAACCCTCCCCTATCTCGGCCATACCAGGGCATTTGGGGACCAGATAAAAAAAGTTCTTATACTTATGAATAAAACCTTTTAGGTACTTTGTCATGTCAAAAAAGGAAATTAAGTGCAAACAGAACAGTGTGCAACCGTCTATAAATACCAAAGACTTGAATCTTATTTTGAAATATTTAAAACTTACCGAGCAATCAATAGATCTAAACGACATTCCAAGAGTAGCTCAACATCAACGCTGCTATGTACATAATAACGAAGGCAACGTAAAGCTGCACATCGCAGTGAAGGATTGTGGTGCCAAAGTGGTAAACGTAAACTGAATAGAAAGTTAGTATTAGATAAGAAAGGGTTAAAATGTTTAAACTTTACGCAAATGATTAGTTTGGAAAACCAAATAATATATATGAAAGTTTAAATCTTTGGAATACATTTAAGCACTTAATAATAGAAAATAAGAAATTAATTACGAATAACGTTTACCAACGGCCACAATCAAATAAGTAAAAAATCAAAAGTGAAGAATTTCCACCGAAAAAGTTAGATAGTTACTAATCAGTGATCTTCAATGAGATTATACTAATATTGGAAACGGGTTGAGATGAAGTCAAATAAATCAGTGAATTTTGACTAAGTAGAGGTTAAATGGAACCAATCATATTAGCAGCAGAATGTATAGATTACTACCAATCCAGTATGAGTTAGCACATATATAATGGTGATGAATCTTGAACTAGACGGAAGCAGTTGTTCAATCCTTTTGATGTTTAACATTAGTTTATGATGAAAGGAAATTCGATATTGGTTTAAATAACCTTGAGTTTCCACTTTTCCCTGTGACAACTAAAAAATGATTTGGAAACATTAGGGATTCAATGAAGAAATGTAGTCAGCAAAATGCATGGTTATTTTATTATTATTAGGACTATTCTTGTTTCATTTCTATGATTATTACTAACTTAAAAATGGTCTTCATACAGTTATTGAGTAATAAACAAGACATTGGTATTCCTGATATTTCCTTACAATAATCAAGATACCGAGACAAAAATACTTAATATAGTGTCAAAGACTTGAGAAATATTCGACGAAAAATTAAATAAATGATAATTAAAATTCATCTAACAGACAAACACCGGGTGATCAATTACTAAAATGATAAATATGTACATAAACTTATAGTTAATTGTTCATATAGTTTCTGTTAGCTCAAAATTGAGTTTTTGACGTGAAATAAAAATATCAATAATCTACCAACAACACTAATACAATGCTATTTTATCATTTCACAAATATGGAAACGAGAAAAACGTCGTTAAGTAAACTTTATTCAGATTATACGAAAAATAATAAAAAAGATGGTCAATATATTGGGTGATTGGACTTTAAAATAATGCATCGATGACCACTTAAACATCAGTTTATCATTTAGTTATACAAACCACAAGAAAATAATTTAGAGATAATGATTTAAAAATCTTAAATAACTATGCATATTATAGTTTAAACATAGAATAAAAATGTAATTAAAAGTACTGAAATCAATCGCACCAAGTATCCATGTATAAATTATTGTACTAAACTACTAGTTACATCTATTGTGATAATTATTTAGGTTGCTTGGTCGCCTAAACAATTCAGTCACAACTTTCATGAGAACGATTTTAAGCAGTGTCATTCAAAGTTTGTAACCATTAGTTACGATAATCACCCAGACCCCAATCAGGTAGTACATAACTACTGTCAATGACTTCATGAACTGATGCCACCTACTGATTTAGCCGCGCCTATCTTTCTTTTTGCCTTCTCCAACACCAGAAAATACTGCCCGTCGAGGTAGGAAGTGATTGGCTATACATAATACATGTCCCAACCACGTCAGTTGATGAAGATTTACTACCTCCTCAATCGATTTGCCATCTTCACCTAGTACCATATTCCAAAGCCAGGGATCGTTTACTTAGTGGTCCCGAAATACACGAACAATGCTTCGCAAATACCTATGGTCGAATACCCGTAATCTACGAAGATCTATTCCTAATGGCTATGTTTCACACCCATAAAGTAGAACGAAGCAAACTGTTACTACAAACTAGTTTTTTTGGTTGGCAAACGAATACCTTGCCTACTCCACTAGTGGAGCAAGTTGGCTAAGACCATGAACTTGTACCAAGATTTCGTCAGACACCAGACCATCAGGAACAATGAAACTCCCAAGATAATTGAGGCAGTCGATGTACTCAACCACTTCACTTCCTATCATAAGTCCAGGCGCTGATGCAGGTCAATCCTAAAGCAACATTCTGCATTTTGAAGGTGAGAATCTCATCTCAAACATGCTTGCATTGTTGTTTAGTGGTCAAAAGACTGTATTTTGTCAGTGTCCCCACCAAGGAGAGCTATATCGTCTGTGTATTTTAAGTCAACAAGTGAATCTTTTAGTAGAAGATCAACCCTTGGAAAGTTTGACAATCAGCGCACTAACCATAAAGGGATGTATGTGACAAAGTGGGGAAAACAGACAACCCTGATGAACACTTGAAGTTATCAACTCCGATAACAGTTCCCCATAGATTTCAACTCGACCAGTAGTGTTAGAGTAGAGAGCCTGCACAAGGTTGGTGTAATTGTTTGGTCAACTTTCAATGACAGACAGTAGTAAAGAGCCTCACAATCAACAGAGTCAAATGTTACCTTAAGGTCAAGGAATATAGTTATTGTCGGACGTCGAAAAATATATCTATTTTCTAGAACCAATATACTTAAAAATTTCAGAAGTTAATCTACAAGGCCTTCATGGTCTTCCTCTGTTTAGATTGCCTATAGCATTTTCAACCTCACTAAAGGTTGGAGGACCTACATCGATTCACCATTTAGACTGCTTGGAGAGAATGTGTTGGACTGTTCCCTAAAATGTTCTGCCCATCGGTTCAATCTCCTGGATTGAGAGTGAACAACGGTCCTGTCTTTTTCCAAGATAACCGAACTAACAGCCGGAATTTTAAGACCTACACCAGCGAGGCCACAGGAATTACTAGTGGGGTGTGAAGATACTCGAAGGGTAAATCGCCCCAGTTCTTTATATCAACAAGGTGAAACCAAACGAATAACTGTGCTTGGATCCCGTATGTGAGTTTCGGAGACGCAGCATACATCGATGGCGCGAGATTCTAGATTCCTAGTTAAAGAAACCTGGTGTTCTGTCTGACACAAGGTTCGAACATTAGAAACTCCAACATGTAGTTTAGAGTGTGGCTTCAGGAGACAAGGAATAACATTTCGTGAACTTAAATTATTAGCATCGGTGGGGTGTGGTGATAAAGATATACGAGAAGTGTTAGTCGTGGGTATGGGAGAATTATTAGTAGGTCATGGAGGGATCTAATCGTCAACGCCGCGATATCGCGTGCTGATAGGGGTATGAAGACAGCTGTCACTTACCAGTTGCCTACACCGTAGAAGGATATTTCTCCTTAAGGAACCTGATAAAGCAGCTGAATCAGTAGTGGTCTTAGAGATCTGAGAGCGTGACCGCAGAACTATAAGTCTAAAAACCTAGTTTTATTTTTTATTTTCAATTATTCAATATCATCGATATTATTTCTCGTACACTGTATCTTATTCCGTTAATTTCTCTTTTCACTTTGTTATGTGAGATGCAACAACTTGAACAGATACATATTTGTGACTGACCAAGTAACCGAACCAAGTAATCAATGATAAAATTTTTACATAGTGAACAAAATTTAAGAAATCATAGCTAAATTAGTTGTGACTTACATATGGTATACTGATCGGAGAAGCGGAGTTCTTAGGTGAGGTAGTCCACCTACAGCCTCGAATACACGTTGTGATATAAGAACTAACACATTAAGTCGTGCAACAATTCTGCGCTGCGCAGACACTTGAAATGAAACATCTGATTCTCCAAAGCGTCGATAAGCGTTAGTAAAATCGTTATAAATCCCTTTTAATAAATTATTTAAAACATAAAATGTGTCTGCAAACAGAAAAAAATAATATAAAAGGGGAACAAAGTATGATGACAAGCAACAGGAATCAGAAAATGTGATAAATAAGTCCGAGGCAACAACTTTAGTTCGATATTTAGACTAGTTTAACTAAACACTGCAGACATACTATTTGAAAAACTTTGTCACAAGTGTTTGCACCAATTTTCACGAATTCTTAGCCATTTATTCATTTATTTGAAGACACAGACATTGGTACAAGGGGGCACCAAATACGTATGCACCATATAATAAAAATAACATTGTGATGAGAAAGAGGTAAAGTGCGCATAATAAAAAGAACAACGTTGAACAGAAATTAGTGTATGAGAGTGAAATTATTATTATCAATAATAATAATAATAATAATAATAATAATAATAATAATAATAATAATAATAATAATAATAATAATAATGGGAGAAAAAGTTCAATTAGAAAAAAATACAACCAGAAAGAATTCTTCCATCTAAAGAAGTTACATTTATTTTTATGAAGAAAGCAAAAGAAAGTTACAGCAGGATCGTCAGTTGCTTCCATTCTGGGTCATGTCTGATAACGTCTCAAGCCAGTGTTGCAACATCTCTAAGACCCCGACCAGGGAATCATGAAGGATTAACAGAAGCCAGTCCCGTAAAGCTCCCTTTCATACTACGACACCATGTCATATACTGACCACCTCTCCGCTTTTTCCAACCAGTCCCAGAGTCGGCGAATCATGCACGACGAGGAATTCTCTGGGACGACATTCGTAGGACATGTCCAGGCCACCGAAGTCGATGCTTCAAGATAGTGGCACCAATTGAATGATCGTCACTGTTACCGAACACACGATGCCGAACCTCTGCATTACTGACATGGTGTTGCCACTGAATGTCAGAAATCCTTCGGAGACAACGATGATCGAACACAGAGAGTCGTCTCACATCCTCAACTCGGAGAGGCCAGATTTCACAAGCATAGAGCAAAACTGCTCTCACTGACGCTTTGTAGATCCGACCTTTTACAGCCAGACCAACATCACGAAGGCGCCAAAGATGGCCCAGATTGGCATAAGCCGCTCTGGCTTTCACTATACGTGCATTGATCTCATCACTCACACCACCACCAGCACTTATGCAGCTACCTAGATACACGAACTTCTCGACTACTTCTATCTGCTCACCGTCCAGAATGAGTACAGGATTAGAATCCTGCCAGTCTTGTAGGAGTACTTTGCACTTCGAAGGTGCGAAGCACATACCATACCTACGGACATTGATTGCTAACTGATTAAGTGCGGATTGCATGGCTTGAACATTCTCGCACAGTAAGACAATATCATCCGCATACTCAAGGTCGAGAAGTCTTTCTCCAGGCAACAGATCCACACCACCATTACTTACATCCGTCAGAGCTGTCTCCAGAATATCATCGATGGCAAAGTTGAAGAGGAATGGTGAGATTGGGCAACCCTGCCTATCTCCACTGCTTGAGTGGAACAGTGGAGAGAGGTGGTTGTATACTCTCATTCTGCCTGAGGTGTTTGTGTATAGGGCTTTTAGGATGTTAATAAACTTCTCAGGCACACCCTTCTTCAATAGACAATCCCAGAGAACAGTTCTGTCCAACGAATCGAAGGCAGCCCTGATATCAAGAAACACTACGATTGTTGGCCTTTGATAAGTATGACGGTGTTCTAACATTTGGCCGAGGGTGAAGATATGATCAATACATCCTCGACCAGAACGAAACCCAGTCTGCTCCTCGCGAGTCAATCTTTCTCGGGTTTTGAACAACCTACGAAGTATGACGGAAGCCAATAGCTTGGACGTAATCGGAAGTAGACTTATTTCCCGATAGTCGTTACAGGAACGACGTGAACCCTCTTTAAAGATAGGGACAACTATCGACTCCTTCCACAATGTTGGAACACTCTCTAATTGCCAGGCATTTGCAAACAACTCAGTTCCTTAACCAGAAGGTCGCCACTAACTTTAAAACGGATAGGACGTGGGTCGTTTGGACCTGGTGATTACTGGCGCTTCAAGAGTTGGAGTTCTTTGCAGACTTCCGCCTTGTTAGGTGGATCAGTCGTCACAGGCCATGGAGGTTAGGACGATCTGATCGATGTTGCCGGGGCAGCGGAACAATCAAACTGATCCTCGAAAAAATCTGCCCATCGTCATAGACGTCGATTGATGTTAGTGATTGGCATCCCGTCATCTTCACAGATCGTTTCGCTCACACCAGACTTCTTTCTGCCAGTGACTCGGATGAGTTAAAAGAACTTCCGGAAGTTACTAAATGCAACTGCTGCTTTCAACTCATTGGCACGCTCCGACTACCAGGCTTGTTGAGATCATTTAGATAGAACAGGGTTCCCACCATAAGCGAGCTGCTGTATAAGTTGAAAAATAAGGATACACAAAGTGGGAATAAAGGAGAGCAGATAAGTGACGTGGTATAAAAGAAATAAAAAAGAATGTTATATGATTGTGAATAAGATTCTTAGTATATTCGCAGAATAGATAAATGACTAACAAATGTACCTATGACAAAGAAAAACAATTTTCAAGCAATCATAACATATAACTTATGGGAAAAGAAATCATTATTGGTTAAGATGAATTTGTCATATTAAATTCAATGCGAACTCCGCTTATAGACTTCCAATACATTCGTAATATGATTTGTGTTTAGTGACAAATACTCAGTTCATGAATTCTAATGATTGTAACTGATATATAATCGGTTAACTTAAGTGTATTTCAAATATACTGTGTTCATCATTAACAGAAATCCCACTACTAAACTATACTTCTTGCTTTAGCTAGCGGGGGAGAAAAGAGGATAGAGTCTTGTTCACCATATTGAAGTCGGAGTTGTGAAATATTAGCATAGCTCACAAATGGAACGGTCGGACAAATCACTAATAACAAAAATGGATAAAAACACTATCAGAACTACATTTCGAACAATATGATCACACTGCTAGTATATCACGTAGTTCTGATAATATTCGTCATCTTGTTACACTATCCAAAGTTATCAAAGGAATTGTTTTAAAGATGGATATACCTTTCTTCAAATCAATTCGCAAGAACGTCACGCTATATCGAAGTGAAGCTGAAATAAAAAACAAAATGGTTTGTCATTGACTTTAAAAAGTTTAGTTCAGTGGAACATTTAATGTAATAGAGTAAAGTTAGTTCATTGTATTTTGGGAGTACTAATCGTTCTCAAACCCCACGCTTCCAGACCCTAGTTACATTTATGTGAGCTCGTACCTTTAATATCAACCCATATACTTGTTCTTTTATTTCTATATAAAATGTTCTTTTTTTATTTTTCCGATCGTCTGAGCTGTTTCTAAACAATATTTCTAAAAGTTAATTATCTACGTGTCTTCATAACGAAGAATGTGGATCTAAATTTGAAGGTGTTCTAGTAGTTAAAACACTCAAATTTCAATTGGTGAGTCATATGTTTGCGTGCTAATACTCTTGTTTTAACTTAGGTAGTTTAATATCATGACCAATCCTGAGATAAAAAATATGTGGCTCTAAATACAGTACACAGGTTTTTACTTGGCTGACATTGATATTTACTTGATTAATAATAACAAATACATGATAGAAAATAAGTTTGAGAGACTATCAGTCTTATCGTGGATATAAATACACTAAAATACCTTTAAAAATATCGAACTAGATTTCTAATGTTATATCCCGATAAGAATGATGAATGATAACTTTTGGGATCCATTTATGGACCAATACTATGCGTACATTTTTATCGTATAATTGTTAAATAACTAAACTATTTATACGCATGTCCCTCTCAGTATGAGCTTCATTTTGACCTATGAACTGTTATTATACGATTTACCATTCTTGAGTTATGCCCTATCTATCAATTACTATCCCCCTTATTCACAGCCACATTTGGCTAAATCTCGTACAAATGTTGTCTCTTATTTTATGGTACGATGAGGTCTGTCTGGTTGGTATATAAACCCAGTATGTTTGAAATAAATGATTCATGTCGCAGAGGCTGAGATTGGTGTTTTGGACTTAACTGGCTGGGCTAGGCAGAAAGCAGGACCAATAAGGACTCTAGACTGCCCGTACATGTTTTATGCGTTATTGGTCTGATCGATAATCCACTGCTCTCTGATCGGTGGTATCATTACGTTATACATTAACAGGGCACATAGGCCACAAGTTATAACATAACATATCGCATTACCACAAAATAAAATTATCAAATATGAATAGCTGAGCTGAAATAATAGTAATGTTAATGATAGTTAAAGGCTGCACATCGGAGAATATGGCTCGAAGAGGAGAGATGACTTCGAAGAATGGAAACTATGAAATACGGAGGTAGTGGGGCATCCGTAACACACCCAAGACATCTCAATCGATGATTTACAATCTTGTCAATAATCTGCTGCATTTGCCAAGTACAGTAAGTCCAACCAGAGCACTGCTGTTACACAATAAGCAAACTATGTACTTGGTGAGCTTTATTCGTGACACAACGGATGTTAGTTCAAGACAACTTGATATAATCCGCCCTTTAATCTGTGAGAACACATGTCATGATATTTTTACGCTTAAACTACTTGCCCATCTTCTAGTTACTACAACACTTATGAAACCTCATAGAAAACCCTTTCATCAATAGTGAAAACTAAATGCGCAGTATTCAGACTACCTGGAAATAGGTATTCTTAGACTATATTGTTGACTTTTCTGACGCTAGCAACACTACTCTGCAAAATACTAAGTTATTTCTATAGAAGATATATAAGCAGAGTGTTAGTTTTTTGTTTAGATCCATCTTAAAAAGCCAATAAGTTAAAAACAACGTACAATCTGGGACAAATATCGCCACCCTTCGCATCAGCTGAGAAACAGGAAACTGACAACCAGAGAAGCGAAGGATTATGAAAAAATACGAACGGTGCGAAGAAATTAAAACAAAATATAGTTCAAAATAGGCAAATGAATTTTTGGGGCGAGTATTAAGTAATACTAAAAGCGGACAAGCATGCCTAATGTGTCCTGATCAAAGTCCACAAAACAACTGAGTAGCCGATTACACACTGTCCAAACAAGGAGTATCCCAAGATGACTATTTACCACAACTAATACTATAGTACGCTTAATAGGAAACCCTTTATAATCAAACGATGAAAACTTCAGTGCGTCTTGACAGAGTTGCGCTTTAATGAATCGGATCAAATATACGGCTTTGAAACACAGACTTGCCTTCTAACTAAATCCTACCATTTTGGCACCCGTTATACTCGAAATGATTTTTATCCCTCGTTAATTTGTACAACCAACTACAACACATCAGATTCCCCGTTGACATAAGTAGCTATGTTGAATAACAGTGAATAATCAAGAATTTCTAGACGGACAACAGGACATTTGCATACACAGGTGGGATCAAAATGCAAGATAGCTAAGAACGATTGCTGATTGCTAATTACTGTCATAATGAACGCAGTAATGGAGATCTTAATGCATTTTAAACTTCAGTATGACTCATGTACAGAATGTTTTTAATTGGACGCTTTATTACAAGTTGACTAGTCTAGTCGAGAGCAATTGAACTCCGCTATTCAAGGGACTAAAAAGGTCACAGAGGACAAGATAAATATCAACAGACGGGATCAATCGGTAAAATTATACTATTATCTGTTTGATTTAATAAAGCATAGGATATGCTTTCTTTCTCCATTAGTAGGAGATGTCCCAAGAGGATATTAAATTAGCAAGCTCAAGCTTTTATTTGGTATAGAAAATGAAGGTTAAAAGTTTGCCTATCACTTTATATTCTCAGATAATATTTAAAATAAGACGTAAGTAAAGGCCACTCGGTTTAAGCACCCTAACTAGTTCACAGACGAGTCGCTCGAACAGCATCAACATTGCCAAACAAACATCATTGTGTCAGGAACCGCTTTGGTAATGAAACACATATCTGGACTCAAGCGGAATAAAATTTACCGACACAGCAATAATGAATGGATCATACAAATGTCTCACCTCCAGTAGGTCTGAATCCTTTGAAGTCACGCAAACGGAAATCTTGGTGCATTTAAACGATCGGTATTTAGACCCTGAATACGAAATTGCTAGTCCTTATTGTTCTATGCAACGAAGGTTTCCAGAAAAATTGTCTGTCCCCCACCATAGGAGATACCCATAAGACCTGCCATAGTTTAAGGACAGTGGCCAGTCGAAAATCGCGCCAGATTTCTGTTTGGGCTTCTATTGGTTTGTTTTTATAAGCATCTAGAGTGCATGTAGGAATACGCGACCATTCATCTCCTCGTGATCAAAACTCAGTCTTTCGGGGGTTCAGTGGTAAAAAGTCTGCCCCGACGGCCTTGAACGAACCAATCACAATTAAGATTGCGCCCTATGGATTTTGCAAGACATTAAAACTGAAGTTAAGAATACTTCTCCAGATGTCATAAACCCGGTAAAATCCATTAGAATCAGGTTCTTGAGTGCTTAATATTATGAAAACGTTCATCACGCAGCTAAAACGCAATTATAATAACGCGATAAGGCCACAAAGTACATGCGCCACACGATAAACGCCGGTGACCTTGAGAAACCTGACCTACATTGCTCAGATGGAGTTGAAAAATTAGTCTGGGTAATCAAGAGCTGAAATTCAGAGTTAAAAATTGAAGTAAATGCTTTCGTGATAAACGGACATCAGATATAATGCTAAAATGCTATCCGCCAAGTTCTGAGAATCAGCATAACTATAAAGATGCCGCAGGTATTCGGAGTTTGACAATGCCTTAACCAGTAACACCTTCTATAGTCGAAACATGAAGTCTGAAGCGAATAGGTTCGAAGATATATTTGGCAGACTATCGATACATCGAGAAGTGGTCAACTTATGCTGGCTAGCAGTTTTAGGAAATGTGATGAATGCAATATTAAGACATAATCTTGGACCTGATATATCCTTTGTATTCCCTCCTAGTGCTTTTACTTTCAATTGACTCATTCAAGAAGAAACTATTCACTCACGCAAGCGTACTAGAAAGAAACTAATGCAGGTCGTCAGCCTTCTCTTCTGAGTTTATATATCTGCATGCGAATATAGTATGGGATCACTCAACATATAGACGTTTATTATTTACATTGAAGCTATTCGTCTTCTGCTATATTACTACTAATTGATGTTTCGCAACGAAACACTGCTTCCTGACTGTTGGATAAATAGCTCAATTTTACCGGTATAGTATGTTTTTACCCTACGATCCTGTCGCATTGTAGAAAAATATGGCAATAACTCTTATTCTACTTGTCATATGCATTGAGATCATCTGGCTCTTACTAATCTGCAGGCTATATAGTCGCACGTAGGAGACACGTATAAGAGTAACGTGTTTTATTTCAGTGTAAACCTTCATGAAGTTCTCATCTGTTGAAATTGAGTTATCTTTGTTCCTTGCCTATCAAGCAGTTAGATTTAAGGTAAATTTAGCGTGTGTGATTTTATTTAATAGATGTAATCTTCTGACACATAACAAAAAAATTGTTTATAACGATGGCACACACGCTCAGCTATGACAATTCAGCTTTTTACACTAATTGACTTTTTGTATTTAGATAGTGTTCACACGATAAGCTTTATGAACCAGACGGCCAATATGTAAATCTGTAAGTACTAGCTGAGAAAAAGATCCCACCGAAATGCCTCGCATATTCGATTCACAAATTAAATGGGGAAGATTAATGGCCGGTCATTTAGTAAACGTTCTGCGGCAGAATGTTTGGAATAAATAACTTGTTATAATATCACTGACTGTTTGTGAGCCTAGACGGAAAGTAAAAATCACGAGTGATTGATAACTTGTATATCAACCTGTGAACACAATGTTTTATTACCTTAAACATATAATACACTACTTTAAGCAATATGTACCATAATTTTCTTTCATTTTAATTCTGACTTTGGAGTTCTTCCATAAGCACTTAAAAACATAAGTGATGACGGTCTCGGACATATATGGGTTTTTAAATTGTGACACAAATAATCTGTTCGCTATTATTTGCTGCAGTTTTGACTTACTCCAAATAACTCTACAAAATCGAGGCTTACAAGTGTTATCATTCCTTATTTTGCGGTTAGTATATTGAAAGGCTAATTGGATTGTCATAATATAAACTGACATTGGCTTCACTGATTCATGAGGATTCTGTCCTCTAGTAGTTCCATGCAATTAGTTTTGATAAACGATAATCGCAACCTACTGAGGAATCACGTAATTTTTCGCTGAATCCAGCCAGCTCCCACTGTGTATAACTACTCGGATACATGGGGGCGTGAACCCAAAAGACCACGAACCCATGCCATACACATTCCGCTTCTTGGTTTACCTTACCCTGTTCTGCAGGTTTGCCGTTACCAATCAGCCAGATTTTTAAGGGGTGAGATTATTCGCATACGCATCTCATTATGGCCTGTAAACTTCAAGTAGAAAATTAAGTGTTGGTAGGACTTGCATGTTAACTACACTTTGTGATATGGATGTTTTAGAAATTTTACAAGCTGTTTCCCAAGACTCTGAGACACAGGTTTTTACATTTTGATAAATAAATTGAACGCTGATGGTGACTGTGGGATGCAACCCTAAGATTATTTTACTGGGGTCCTCTACGACCTTTCCACCAAATAGATGTACCTTTTATGTTTAACAGCCTACAGTGATAATTACTATTGTAGCAATAACTATAACATTATTAATAACAATATCCATGTGGAATTAAGCACTAATATTGACGAGCTGTATGCCACAATCGCTCAAGGAATTAATTGACAGTATGGACTGTTTGAGCTACATTGAGTGTACTTTGTTTTTCCTGATTATTATATTTGATAATAACAGATCACGATTATTAAAAATAGAACAATTGATGCTCATTAAAAACAGATAATGCTTTATAAGCAGGAATGGATTGTGACTAGCACTGGAGTCCAAGGCGCACGTTTCGTTCTACTTGGGACTTGTCAGCTGGATGAAACGCACTCCGTGGAGTCCCCCGCTAGTCACCACCCATCTTTGCTTACATACTTATGACCTGAGGCTACGTTGAGACAACCCGTATAGGATTCACATATACCAGTAAGAAACTGATCGATTGTAGTCCTGAATATCGACGCGAAAATTCAAACAAACAATGCAAGTGAACCTAAATGATTCTTTAGTCTGAAAAATTTACCAAGGACAATGAAAGATGGTCGCTTAATGTCGTGGATTGATTACAGTTTGTGTTAATACCGTTCAGTGACGGCGTAATGTCCAGGAGGTTAAGTGTTCACGCGTGAGGCCGGAGGTCCTGGGTCAGATTCTCACACTCATGGTTCGTGATGTGCACTGATGAGGAATCCCGTGCTGAACCGAAACGGTCGTCCTGTGCTCCTTATATTTCAACGGCTCTCACTCCGACAGAACATTTGTATTTTGGAGCATTCACGTCATTATTAATCCCAAATGAAATATCTTTATGCATACTTATACGGATGAATGTTGATAATGAAAATACTATTTGCTGTATAAATTAATAATTCACTTTTCATGGTTTTGTTTAATAAACGAAGGTCCATAACAGACAACTGTTATTTGGTTTTAAGGCAGCGGTAAATGTAAACTTCTCTTTCATATGGCTCTCACCTTGTCTGCGGCTAATAAACAAACCACCTACTCGGACAATATAATTCAAATAAGAAGCAACCTTCAGTCATCAGCATCTGCTTATCGCCGTACTTGCAGTGACATGTGAGTATAGTGAATTTCTTAAAATATTCGTAGAAAATATTCTTGAGGGTTCGATTTTAAGACTTTATTAGCTGTTGGTCAACAGATTACTGATGTCTATAACACTGAAAATCAAACTCTTACACCCAACATAATAAGAATCAGATGAAACATTGAGATTCAGTAAACCAATATGATGCATTTATCATTAGTACGTGCCACATGTTTGATCATCATTTTAATAGGCAGAAGATTTATTTCATGAAATTAATATTTACAATTTTTACGCACTAATTAAGCAGGCGAACATAATACTTCGTTTACATTTGGTTTCACTGCTGCTTAACCATTCATATTACATAGTAAAATCTATTATTAAGATAGTTTATACTATAAATATCTTATAAACTCTCGTAAACACTGGAAAATTTAGTGAATTAATATTGATGAATAAGCCCGCTTCCTTTTAAGAACTTGGAACTCGAATTATCGACATCGTCTACGGAAGCATATCGTTCGCTTAGTTTCAATCAACTATAATTTAAAAACATTTCAGTTAGTATTGAACTTATTTTTGGATGAGACTTATTATACCAAACTCATTTCACCACATTTTGGTTAGCTATGGCATCCTTATTTGTGCTTCCGTCACTTATCACATGATTTGACATACTAATCACTTCTTTTGATTCTTCATAACGTCACGTTTTTCAGTGGAACATTTATTGAATATAGTGCTACAGTTCTTTCGTCAGGTTCATAACAAATGTTGATTGTCAAGTTTCAGACCTTGCGACAACCTTTTAGACTTCTCCATAGGACCTTCTCTATCTGTTGATATCGGAATCTTAGTGTTCTCAGAAGTTAGCCATGGGCGCGTGTGGATATTTTTTACTGACACTGCTTTTAAGTCCAAGTCAGTAAGGAAGGTTAACTACGAGACCTTAATCCCACCACTTAATAAATTTTTGTAATTACACTTTATTTACTTATTGATACATTGGTACCTTCAAATTCTAATACACTATCTCAAGTTAAAATATTTTCACGGCGTCAATCTACGAAATTCACTGTCATCAAGGCTCTTCTAAATAAACAAGTCTATAAATTATTCACTAAATGGATTTTGAACGATAATTGTTGAATGTATTGTAGCATCGGTGAAACGAATATACCCAATGAAGTCAACCTGATGAGGAATGGGTGTCACTGAACCCAAAGTACTGAACAATTCATCTAAGCTGCAAGGACTGTGTTTTCTTTATGCAGTTTAAATTCTGCAAACAATAAAGAGCAACGATGAAAACAGCGTATTGCTGAAAAGTGATAAGCCTGGAAAGTAGTTACAGTAATTCTGTACATTCTTGGCAGAGAAATACTTAAAAAGAAAGACGGCCAGAATTCCTACTTTGTTTGTCTGGATGTAGCTGAGGTGCAGGCTGGATATAGCAAATTTAAGTGTTGATTGAAACACATTTGCTATCAGCAACTAGGTGGGCCTTTTTTCATTATGACTTAACATAAACGATTTCAACTACAACAAACTTCTAGTCCTCAGCACCAACCCAAAGTAGCAGTCAAGAGGGGGAGTTAGCAATATACGTAGTCGCCCTCACTCTCATAGACTATCAAAAGCGAATGCCACCTTACAAAACCTTGTAGTAGTCATCTATGATTAGTTTGCTAAAATGAAGCACATGGACTACATCGCAAATAATGAGTCAATAAATGCACTATTTAGCAAGGTCAGACTGTTAGTTTAATGTCCCCCTATCAAA